CCTCCCAGGGGAATTAACCCCCCTTATATAGAGACAGTGTGCTATGATATGGCGTTTATGTCAGGAACTGCGTCATTGTGATGGATCTGTGTTGACTGAGCGTCTCGCATTGAACATCAGTGCTCAGTCCGTGAATCTTGGTGCCAAGGAACCCACTCAGTTCAACAATAGGGGAGATAGAGAGGCTTTTAGTCTAGCTTTGCAGGCATGGTTTCCTTTGTAATCTGTGGTAGAGGGTCCGGCGAGCCCTATGGCATAATGAAGTATAGGTGCAAAATGCTAGTAGAGTTAATTCTAGAAGCGCAAAGCGATTGGATGGCCGGAAAATTATTTCTCCGTTGTAGACTAATCCCCAACACCATTTTCCCAAAACTGGGCGCGCTCTTAGAATCAGCTTAGGTTCGCCAAGAGTGCTGAGGTTAGCTACACCGCTTGGCAGAATTTGTTCCCAAGACATTCATCGACTGCGCGCATCAACGGCGACAAAGTTAAGGAGGCCAGACGACATTCGATCGCCAATCCAGCTCCCTTACCACTCGTCTCTGTCATTTTACCATACAAAGCCCCCAAGATGTCCATGTTTAGGGCAAAGAAGTTTGATCTCGGCTGCTTCACTAACATCAAGGTCATCCGCGACCACTCGAAGCGCAAGGCCTTTGCCGCCGCCGAGCCCGAGAGGTGCTGACAATATCTCGTCTTCGGGTTCTTCGCTGGGATTCACTGGACTGATATGTTCATGACAGACAAGCCCTCCGCTATATCATCCGCAACACAACCCTCCCCGCCCGGACACGCGCCATCGCCCAGTTGCAGCTGACCCAGATGCACTGCTACACACGCCCGACCCAGATCCGGAACCGGTGTATTCTCGGCGGGAAGGGGAGGGGTATTCTTAGCGATTTCAAAATGTCACGGGTACGGCATAGCGCCCTGTTGGCGGGAAGTCCGGATGCGCTGACATTTGACAGTACAACTTTCGGTTACAGGCACTTGCGGGCAACTTGCCGGGCGTGAAGAAGGCCAGCTGGTAAAGGCCGCAGCACAGCTTTGGGATGGTCGGGTTGCTGTGGTGAAACGACCACGGGTTCACTTGGGGGCAATTGAGAATCTAGTGGTAGCGGCCTCGATGGCGGCCGTGTTCTCCCTCAACGGACGTAGATGCTGAGTGGACGGGATATCATCTACGGAGTAGGTAGATCCTCAGGTATGACCGTGTACAATATTTGTTACAATGTGAAAGTATATGATAAGGTACCCTTCTCTAAACGCCGAGAACATGCGATCCTAACCCTTCCGTATAATTTTGATGGTGTGCGAAACGCCATCCCAGGATGTTGAAGTCGTTCTCAGCAAATTTACTACAGAGACTTGCCACTGCTCTCCTCGGCTGCAACGGCCTGACTTAGGCTCTCTGCCGCCATGGCCCTCTCTCCAGCCCGCTTCCGCAGCACATTCTCAATGAACGCCTCGCCGGCCTTGTACGAAGATCGGACTAGAGGACCACTGGCACAGTAGAGGAAGCCCATGTCGAGGGCACGTTGCCTCCAGAGCTCGAACTCGTCAGGCGCGACGTACCGCTCGACCTTGAGATGCCGCTTGGTAGGACGCATGTACTGGCCGAACGTGACGACGTCGACATCGATCTTTCTCAATTCTACCGACAGGTCAGTGACGGCATTCAGAGTTAACCAAAATCACTAGACAACTCACCCCTCAGTGTGTCCCAGATTTCCTCCTCCGTCTCCCCCAGGCCCAGCATAATACTCGTCTTGGTAATGATTCCCTCCTTCCCCCTCACCTCCTTCACATGCCCCAGCACCTTCAGGCTCTGCCTAAACGTCGCCCTTCGATCGCGCACATACGGCGTCAAACCCTCGACAGTCTCCACATTATGCGCGTACACATCTAGCCCGCTCTCAGCAACAATCCTAACCATTTCCAAATCACCTCCAAAATCGCCCGTCAACGCCTCCACCAGCATCGTGGGCTTCTTGGACTTGATCCGGCGAATTGTCTCTGCAAAGTGCCGCGCGCCACCATCGGCCAAATCATCCCGGTCGACGCTCGTCAAGACGACATATCCCAGCCCCCACCTCGCCAGCGCCTCGGCCGTGTTCTCGGGCTCGTGCGGATCAAGCGGCGGCGGCCGCCTGCTCGTCTTGACACTGCAGAATCGGCACCCGCGCGTGCACGTGTCTCCCATGAGCATGATGGTGGCGGTGGCGGCCGCCTTGTTGCTGCCGCCCCAGCACTCGCCAATGTTGGGGCACCTCGCCTCCTCGCACACCGTGTGCAGACCAAGGCCGCGGAGGTCGGCTTTGATCTTGGCAAAGTTGGGGTTCGAGCCGGCTGATGGGATGGGTGTCTTTAGCCAGTCTGGGAGACGCGTGACGGTGCGCTTGCGGCCCTCGGGGCCGACGGTGGCGGTGCGCGGGGCGTAGGCTTCGCTTGGCGGGAGAGGCCCGGCAGAAGGAAGGAAGTCCGAGAACGCGCCGACGGTGGTGTCTTTGAAGTAGGTCGGGCGCGGTTTGGTGGTGCCGCCGCTCGGGGTTGGATTTGAACTTGCTGATTCCTGGATCTGCGGAGGGTCGGAAGGGGAGGGAATAGTGGCATAGGGCCGCGACGAGTGAACTGCAGCGCGAGCAAGCGAGCGCCGAAACGGCGCCTGAATCCTTTGGAGTGGCATGGTGGACGCCATTGTGTTGTCGGGTGCTGTACGCTCGGGAATCACGGCCAGCGAGCAGAGCTCGACGAGTCCGAGTCGGCTACAGCCGGCGATGGCGAAAAAAAAGGGCCTGGTCAGTCATGCATTCGGCGTCATGGAGCCAAGACAGGTGTTATAGGGTTAGGGTTGATTCAACCGACCTGAGTTGAACCTGCAGAGCAGACTTGGACTACAATGGACAGGGAATACTCAACCAACTTACCTACCTGTGGCTATCTACAATACGATATACCTTGAATCAGGTAAGCTCAAGAAATGCCAGCTTCAGACCTTGTGGAGGAGCAGCCCGGGAAGTGTCAGAGTGCGGGTACAGAGTGTGGGTACAGAGTGTGCACAGCTTGCAATCATAGGAACGGGATGTATTGGACGGCATGAAACGGAGCTGTGACAGACCTGCATGCTTCAGATTCCACGGATTTCGGAATTGCGGAGGACCTTTGTGCGACATCCTTCTGGTTGGTTTCGCATTGCAGGCCATTCAGCCATTGTGGCTGGTGTTTGGAATGCTGATGAGTCAGTGTTCCCATGGACTGGTGTTCTGGTAGCAGCTGTCTACGGAGGTGCCCTGAGGTGCTAGCTTCCTCCAAGACAAGCACCAGCGGAGTGAGTATGACAGGAAATAGTCACACATACTTTAGAATAAAAGTAAGTCTACACATACACTGGGCTGCAGGTTCAAACATAAAAGACGACCGTCTTGATAGGTACGTCTGGTAGCTTCGATTTGGACCAAGCACATGCAGGATTGCTGAGACATGTTCGCCTTACTAAATCTGGCATCTTGGCAAAGTGGGCTACCTCCGCTGCAGGTGGAGCTGACGGCTCTCGGGTACTCTGGACTGCTGTACTAACAAAACAAGTCTCAAGAATTGAAAAGTTACGTTAGAGGAATAACAGCAGCAGCTCTTCAGCCAGCTCTTGCCACCTGACACAGCCGCGTTTCCTGATCATTCCCCAGCCAGCCCGGCTGGCGTCGTCGCCTGCTGTGCAAAACAGGCTCAACTTCCCGCCAACGTCTTTCACCTCGCTCAATCCACCATCTCTCGACGTACCACCTCCGACACTATATCGCCATCACTCCACAACAGCGCGGTCGATATTAGCGAAACCACCGACTGCGACAACAAACCCTTCACTTGCCATCAAGATCGCTTGCCGCCGACCGCCAAAATGTCTTCGGAACCTTACGACCCGTACATTCCCAGCGGACAAGGGTCGCAGGGGAGCTCACGGGATCCCAGGACGGCCGCAATTCAAAATGTGGGTTGATTTTGTTTTGCGCCCGGCATCCTTTGAGTCAATGAATGGGTTCGATCGAATATGGCACAGCTCCCCTTCCCGCGAGACGCTACCATGCTCGCTTTCCATCACTGCGCGGCGCTTCGACTGTATCCAACATCGACCGAGCCTACCGCGATAACCATTACACAGCAGCTCAGCGCCCTGCCTTCAGAAACACTACGTCGTAGTGGATACTGGACCAAATCTTGCCAAGTGTCCGCCGAGTAGAACGGGAGTGGGAGCAGGCGTAACGTTATGATCGAAAGCCAATATTCCACTTACGTTTCGGCTTCTCTGAGACTCTTTGCGACACTGATGATGGCGGAGCCCTGGCTAACTTGCTTCAACAGGACATCGATAAGACAGTCGACAAAATGCGCGAAAACATTGACAACCTCGCGAAGCGCGAACACAACCTAAACCAGCTACAACAGAAGACGGGAGATCTGGCAGACACAGCTGGCAACTTCCGGCGCTCTGCCAACAAGGTTCGGAAAAAGATGTGGTGGAATGTGAGCATATCGACGATTCCCATTTGCAGGACTGTGTCTTACTGTGTCTCAGGAGATGAAGATGCGCATCTGGCTCGCCATCGGCATCGTCGTCCTTCTCGCCATCATTATCATCCCAGCGGGTTTGCGGTCCCTCCCTCGTGCGTAGAATCAAGTAACAGCATCTGACAAGCTTTCCAGTTGTTACCACGAGGAAATGAATCAACGACTTCCATGACGACCAAAAAGCGGTTGCGGAACAGACAGCATTGGGCTTGCAACTAACTCCACCGTACGAGATGGAATTTGGCTCATGCTCGTTTTGGAATTTGCTTTCTTGGGGTTTGTTTTTATGAATTCGCGGATTGCTGGCTGAGCTATGCAACTTCGCAGCAGTCCGCTTTGGCGTTTTTGGAATCTTGAGCGGCAACCTTTCCCGACTGTACCTGTACCTATGACGGGATTAGAGGGAACCGGTTTCCTAATGCGGTTACTTGAATGGCAGTCATGATCTTGATATCAATGTTTAACATGGGCATGGGCATGAGAAAGAGAAGAAACTCGCAGCACGGGTACCAGGAAGACCCAACGGGAGTGATGCAGATGTGTCTCGAATCCTACCTCACCTACCTTCATAGCCCTACGGCTCCAGGTTCAGCTCTAAGCGGCTTGCACAAGCACGTGCGCCGTCTTCCTCATTGAAACAGCCGCGGATTGTCATCGACTGGCCTCGGTTCGAGTCAATCGAAGGGATACTCTTTCTGGTGTAAGACAGCATCCCGCAGTTCTTGTCACTGTATTCCGCAAGGCAGTGGTCCATCTGAGGCGATTTTCCATTGCGATGTTCCGTAGATGACTCGATGTTCAGAACGGATCAGGGCATGCACATGGTTCCGACTTGGCATTGAACCAGAGACCGTCTTCCCAAACTGGTCCGGGTCGCCAAAGTGGAATCAATTTCACTCTTGCATGTGGCAAGCGGCTCGGATATGCACAATTAACCTGATTTGAGCGTAGGTATGACATGTTTCTGGAATCACTGGTGCCATCTGAACCTAGGTTTCATTTTCCTGCCGACGTCGCTCCACAGAAGCTGCAGGCGCTGGACCGGGGTGCTATGCTTCGGCGATCACCCCTCTCGATAGCGGTTTCGGTCTCAATTTTTTTCCTTGGCTGCCCCTCCACCGCCGGTTGACCGACAATTGCCAGGCCCCGACCTTCAAAAAGCACCGACTCCGGCTCTGCTCCCGGCCTCAAGCTCGTGCCATTCACCTTCGGCAGAGTCCTCTCGACCTTTCCTCCTGTTTCTGCTCCTCGCCTTATCTGCCATCAAGGGACAGAAGGTGCTCCTTACACAACTTGGTGGTCTGCTTCCAATTGACTCATTCGGGTCTAATTGCGAAGTCGCACCAAGTTTCTTGTTCGGCTCCTCGAACGCGCAACCCTTCCTCCGAACTGCACCACCGCCCGACGTGCCTCTCCGAGCTCCTGACAAGGCAAAAGTCAGCCTCTCAACATGCTCTCCGCCTGTGCTGTCGCCCTTAGGGCAGGCGCCCGCCGCAGCGTCCGCCGGCTGCCCGCCCGATCCCGCGCCGTTGCCGTCCCCGCCGCCATTCGCCGTGCAAGGCCATTCTCGTCCTCTGCAGCCCGGACCACCGACCTCAGCACCCGGGGTATGATCGTGCAGACTCTCTCGTCTGTAGGATCCAAGCGCGAGGTCCAGCAGTACCTCTCCCTGTTCACATCCGTCTCGTCTCAGCGCTTCGCCGTCATCAAGGTCGGGGGGGCCATCTTGACCGACTACGTCGACGAGTTATGCTCCAGTTTAGCCTTCCTGTATACCGTCGGCCTCTACCCCGTCATTGTCCATGGCGCGGGACCGCAGCTCAACACTCTGCTGGAGAAGGCCGGGATCGAGCCGCAGTTCGAAGAGGGTATCCGGGTGACGGACGCAAAGACGCTGCGCGTGGCCCGCGATTTGTTCTTGCAGGAGAATCTGAACTTGGTCAACAAGCTGGAAGAGAAGGGCGTGCATGCTCAGCCCCTGACTACCGGCATGTTCAGGGCAGAGTACTTGAACAAGGAGAAGTGGGGCTTGGTCGGAAAGATCACCGGCGTTAATAAGCAGCCGATCGAGACGGCCATCAACAATGGCTACCTTCCCATCCTCACCTCCATGGCCGAGACCGACGATGGCCAAATTCTCAATGTCAACGCCGACGTCGCTGCCGCCGAATTGGCTCGTGCACTCGAGCCGCTGAAGGTTGTGTACTTGTCGGAGAAGGGTGGTCTGTTCGATGCTGCGGGCCAGAAAATTTCGGCTATCAACCTGGACGAGGAGTACGAGCACCTTATGTCGCAATCGTGGGTCAAGTACGGCACCAGGTTAAAGATCAAGGAGATCAAGGAGCTGCTGGATACCCTGCCGCGGGCAACTAGCGTCGCCATCATCCACCCCGGGGAGCTCCAGAAGGAGTTGTTTACCGACTCTGGTGCCGGAACTCTCATTCGCCGTGGCAACAAACTGCTCTCGGCAACCAGTCTGTCTCAGTTCAAAGACATTGACGCGTTGAAGACTGTGCTGATCCGCGACCGGGAGGGCCCTGATGCCATGGCCACTGTTGACAAGTACCTCGAGTTCCTCAGTGAAAACAACTTCAAGGCATACTATGACGGGCCCATGAACGCTCTCGCCATTGTTTTGCCCGCCAGCAACGGGCGACAAGCCACTCTTGCTACCCTAACCATCACCAAGAGTGGGTGGCTGACCAATGTGGCCGACAACATCTTCACGGCGCTCCGCAAGGAACATCCCCAGCTTGTCTGGACCGTGAGGGAGGATGACGAGAACCTTGGCTGGTTCTTCGACAAAGCTGACGGCAGCGTCACCCGTAACGGCAGTGTGATGTTCTGGTACGGCATCGAGAACGGTGATGAGATCGTGCAATTGATGAAGGACTTCACTCAGAACGGCAGAGCCATGCTTGGGGATTCGAATCTAGAGTCACGCCTGTACCGTGCCGCGACCAACGGCGGTAAGCCTGTCGCTTACCAGGTGCGTGGCTACTCGACGCTCGCCCGCCGCCCTGTCCTCTCAGCACCAGTCTTTGGCCAGACGAACGGGAGGACTTACGTCACTCAAACCAACCCCAATCCACCGTACGGCAAGAAGAATGCTTTCAAGTCTAAGCCTGCTAGGGTAGCCCTCATTGGCGCCCGTGGCTACACCGGGCAGGAGCTGATTCGTCTCCTTGACTCCCACCCCAACATGGACCTTTGTCACGTTTCGTCCCGCGAGCTCGCGGGCACAAAGCTGCAAGGGTACAACAAGCGGGATGTCATCTATGAGAACCTCAGCCCGGAAGATGTTCGCGACATGGAGAGGCGAGGCGATATTGACTGCTGGGTTATGGCGCTGCCCAATGGCGTGTGCAAGCCTTTCGTCGAAGCTGTCTATGAGGGCCGCAAGGACTCAAACCACAAGAGTGTCATTGTTGACCTCTCGGCCGACTACCGTTTCGACAACACTTGGACTTACGGGCTTCCCGAGCTCGTGACCAGGGCCAACATCGCGCAAGCCACGCAGATCGCCAACCCGGGCTGCTATGCTACTGCCGCGCAGCTCGGCATTGCTCCCCTTGTCCCCCACCTTGGCGGCATGCCCCACGTCTTTGGTGTCTCCGGCTACTCTGGTGCTGGCACCAAACCCTCTCCCAAGAACGATGTCGGCCTGCTTACCGACAACATAATCCCGTACAGTTTGACGGGCCACATCCATGAGCGCGAGGTCAGCACTCAGCTCGGCGCCGAAATCGCCTTTGTCCCGCACGTCGCCGTCTGGTTTCGTGGCATCCACCACACCATTTCGATCCCGCTCAACAAGACCATGACGTCGCGGGATGTTCGCCAGATCTACCAGGACCGGTACGCCGGCGAGAAGCTGGTCAAGGTCGTCGGTGAGGCGCCGCTGGTGAAGAACATCAGCGGCAAGCATGGTGTTGAGATTGGTGGGTTCGAGGTTGACAAGAGCGGGAAGCGCGTCGTGGTGTGCGCTACTATTGATAACCTGCTCAAGGGTGCCGCTACCCAATGCCTGCGTAAGTTTGCTTCTCTACAGAATAGAGAAACTTATGTTGCTTGGTTTGCTAATGTTAACCGCAGAGAACATGAACCTCGCCCTTGGCTATGCGGAGTATGAGGGCATCCCTGTTATGTAAAACGGACCTAACATCGCCGTGTTTCGACCGTACATATTCCTTCTCTTGAGGGGTCTGCTTTAAAAAGCCGTATGGGGTTGGGGTTCTCGTTTACCATTTCGGATGTCATCAACAACTCGTTAGCGGACTCTATTTTCTGTCCATATGGTTGTGGCTGTTTTTGATCTCGGAGGTGTTTGGGGGCACTTCGTTTCTACAATGGGTTTCCGGCCATGGTGGCGATGATCGGTTGTTCCGTCGTCGACTTGGTGCCATGTGTTTCTTGTATATAGCTGTGCGGGAGAGGAATATCCAGATCAGACATGATAGATTACTTTGTTGCTTGTGTGGTCGTCACTGACGCGTGATATTTGGTGTCCAGGTCGGAGACCTGAGAGCGAGGATTGGCGTTTCACGGGCATTTCTCCGCGTTGTATCAACTGGTAATCTCAGTGGGCGGCGAAGCAAGAAGGAGTCCATGCATTGTGGACCTTGTTTTGCTTTGGTTTGTCTACCTGATGGTCAAAAAGACGCAGGCGTCACAGTAGTAGATGGTTATTCACGCTCTAAGGAAGACTCCCTGGTAAGATATATCTGAACTGAGACTCGCGGATGAGAAGTCCTCTGCAGCGTGGCCCCCTGAAGAGAGGGGTCACAATTCTGGGATGGATACATATTCGATCACGCAAGACGCCGGGATATTTGGGCAACACTCGTCCCTGTCCATCTCGTCAGTACCAAATTTGTCTTACCGGCCGTATTGAGGATGTGAATTTCACGATCCAGGGTTGATCGACGGGAAGACGAGGTGTGCCATCCAAAGGGCAGGAAACATGAGGCTTGTCTCCCCCCTAATACCAGTCAGCCCTGAGTCAGTGAAGCGGTTCATGGACATTTTAGGGAGGCTTAGCTCGAGGTGCCTTCAATTCCTCTCTCTTTGATTCCCTCGCCAGCCCAGCTGGTTATTCGCCGATTTCCTTGTTCATCTTGTCCTTCCAAAGCAACTGTTCCCAATTTCTCTCTTTTTCCTCTTTTCATCACTCTTGATTATCTTCCCTTTGGCATAATCCAACACTCCTCAACACCCGTGCACCGCTTCCATTGTACTGTATACCAATCTTACCTTCTTCTTTCTATTGCATCGCGCCCATCGCTTGATATCCCCGCTCATTCCTTTCAATTCAATTCGGAGCCGGCCAGCTCTCCGAGCATGCTGTACTGAGCACCTGCGCCAACCCAGAGAATCCTTTTGCCTGCAATGGAAGGATGGGCAAGCAGAGTTGGGACCTCGACTTCTTCCTCCTTGTGGCCGATCTGCTTGGTCAGGTTGAGACCCCAGGTGTATACTTTTTCATCTATGGTGACTGCGAGGCTGTGTTCGCTCGCGGCTGCCACGCAAGCGGGTGAGAGTCCTTCGACCGTTGTCGCAACCCTCAGAAAGCTCGGTTTGCCTCGCGAGTCGAGGACAACGAGCTGAGGAGGCAGAGTATCGATCTTGAGCCCCGTGGCAAATGAATAGAGACGGCCCCAAGTGAGACACCTTCCGTCCTCGGTAACACCAATGCTGTCTATCCAATACTGTTAGCTGAGCGGTTTCTATTATAATGTTGGAAGCGAATCTGCGCCCGAGACGGTTGTAAAAGCCACGGAGCGCGGATTTGGACGTACGAAAGTTGCCTCCTGTAATCTGCTTGATGGGCGGCAGGCCCACCAAACTCCTGACGAGACTCGGAACAGCAACGGTAAGGGCGAAACCGTACGCCGACTCATACTCGCCCGCATTGTCGGCGACGCCGATTTGGCCGGCGTTGTTGAAGCCCCAGCCGTACACTAGGCCGGTGCGCTCGACGGCGAAGGAATGGTTGGAGCCACTCCCGATATCAATCACGTTCTTCAAGCCAGCGACCTTGCGAGGAAGAAGTCCTTCCTTCGCCCAATCAACGATCCTCGGGGAAAAGCGGCGGCCCAGCTGGCCGTCGGTTCCTTTCCCCCAGGTGTACACGAAGCCATCGGCAGTAAGAGTCATGACGTGGTTGCTCCCGCAGCAGATCTTGACAACGTTCTTGACGAGGAGGATGAGAGCTGGCCGGGATTGCACTTGGACGGTTGGTGAGAAGGATAGTTTGCCGTCCTCTGACTGCGAGTATGTTAGAGCACTGTACTCGGCTTGTCAAGAATAGGTGGCTTACTCGGAAAGTGCCCCATCCGTACACGCGGCCAGTGCTGGTCAACGCAAACGTGGCATTGTCGGTGGCTGCCACCTGTGTGAAGATGGTGCCCGGAGGGACAGCACTCATGTCGACCGGTGTTGGGGTGGATTCTCTGGGATTGAGCTCTCCCTCGTCATCACTATCGCTGTCGCCGGTATCTGCGTCCACAAGATTGCTCTCCCAGGACGTGTCACGTCCGAGTGCGCCGTGGTCATTGACGCCCCAGGTCAGGATCTGGTTATCGTATGTAAGAGCGACGCCATGCATGGCACCGAGAGAGACCTGCACAACCCCAACAGAGCCAGAGAGATACGGGTTGAGACGGGGTTTAGCGACGTTCCCAGACTTGACAGATGGCCCCAGCCCAAGCTCGCCGCCACTGTTCGCGCCGAGCACATAGATGTTCAAGCATCGGGTGGGTCTCTGGTTGAGAGCGGGGAGTGCGGTGCTGGGCTGTCTTGCGGATGGCGGCGCAGGCCCGGAAGCTTGAAAATGAATGAGAGGATGGGTGCTCACCAGTGTCCTCTGTCGTTTCGCACGAGCTCCTGAGACAAGGCCGTCATCCTCAAGTCTTCTCTTGCCAGCGGCACCTATTCGGTTCCTTGCACTGGCCGTTGGCTTCCTTGGCGCCATGTCGTCCACAACAGCCTCCAACAGCGCGAGCACCCGGTTGATGGGAAGTTTGAATCAACAGTCTGCCGAAGAAGGACTAGAGAGCATCCAATTTGGTGAGCATGGACAAAGAAGCGCCGCCTTAGTCATCCTTGCAATGCTGCCTGTCGTGCCACCAATCGAATCGGCAACTCGGTTTCATTTGCTCCTGTCGATGTACATCGACTGATGAATCCGTTAAGAGTGGTAGTCGAGAGGATGACTTTTACATACATTTTTTGGGCTGCACTAACATCATGGGAGGAACGGTACTTCTGAACATTCGAACATTCTGCGCCAGTAAGGGTGCGTTGCCTGGGGCCTGGCTGCGCCTTCCTGGGCCTAAGATTATGCCACAATCATCTTTGAGCCATTGGTGCAGTGCCAACAACTCATTCACGGGCAGCGGGTTGCAAGAGAGTGCATAAGTTAAATTGAGAACCTCCATGATGTAAGGTTTGGTGTGCAGGGGCGGAGGCCAGAGTAAGAGCACCCCGAAGCGCATTACAGTAAGCACGCGTAAGATACTAGGCAAGGTACGTACCCTGAGTACTATTTGTACCGTACAATAATTGCGTGGGTTCTCCCGCAGAAAACCCACCTCCCTTCCCGCCTCCTCCCGCCCGCAGCTCCACACAAGAGGATAACAACGTCTGGTCAGCAGCAACTTCAAACCGCTCTAACTTAACCGCGGTATATCAACAGACGTCCAAGCTTGGTTCAGTCATCTGACTCAACAATCTGGGTCGGTATTCCCGGCGATTTTGGCCTCGGGAGCAAGAGCTCGACCTTCCCAAACCATCATTCCCATTACACACCACCTTCAGCGAGTGCCAGTCGAAAGCTTTCCGCCATGATTGACCTTCCCCTGGACCACGGCTCCCTGGAAGACCTCCTCCCCGTCTCTTGGAAATCGCAAATTACCGCCTGGCTCGCCGAAGATACCCCCTCCTTCGACGTGGGTGGCTTTGTCGTAGGCAACCACCCACGCACTGCAACTCTATGGGGCAAATCATCCGGCATTCTCGCCGGCATCCCCTTCTTCAACGAAGTCTTCACGCAGTGCGGCTGCACGGTCGAATGGCACGCGCGCGAGGGCTCCCACATCGAGACGCACGGCGGCAAGACGGCCCTGGCCACCGTGAAAGGTCCCGCCCGGGGTCTGCTCGAGGGCGAGCGCGTGGCTCTCAACATCCTGGCGCGCTGCTCAGGCATTGCGAGCATGACGCGCAGGCTGCTGGTTAATTTGCGCAGCGCCGGCTACAAGGGTACCCTGGCCGGCACCCGCAAGACGACCCCCGGATTCCGCCTGGTGGAGAAGTACGGCATGCTGGTCGGTGGTGCCGACACGCATCGCATGGACCTGAGCACCATGACCATGTTGAAGGACAACCATGTATGGAGCCGCGGGAGCATCACCCAGGCCGTCAAGGCCGCGAAGGCTGCCGGCGGCTTCAGCCTGAAGGTCGAGGTCGAGGTGCAGAGTGAGGAGCAGGCCGACGAGGCCATTGCTGCGGGCGCCGATGTTGTCATGCTCGACAACTTTAGTGGGGGGGGCGTCAAGACTACCTCGCGCAGCCTCAAGGAAAAGTGGAAAGGCAAGCGGGAGTTTTTGCTCGAGGTCTCGGGGGGGCTGACAGAGGACAATGCGGAGCTGTACATCTGTAACGGTATGCTCCAACTTTGGGCGTTATTCTGGATAGCAGGCGTACTGACCAGGCCCGCAGATGTCGACATCCTTTCAACAAGCGCTATCCACCAGGGTGTGCGCCACATTGACTTCTCGCTTAAGATCAATGTCGACAAGGGAGGCAACGGTCCAGAAGTGTCCAGCTAAACATATCTCTCACACAAAAAGGAGCACTAACGTGCGTCAGTGTGATGAACGGCGGCGAATTGGAAGCAAAATTTGCAGAGTCACGGGTTCCTTGCAACACGAGCAACAGGTCTACCACTTGGCTGGCCGAGGTGGGAGCCTTCCTGTCAACCAGGTCTTGGTGACGTGCGACTGCAATCTTACACGTCGCCACTTCACCGCCTTTTACTGCATATCAGCTGCATCTCTGATCGTCAACGCAATCAGACCGGTGAGATATCAGTGGAGGGCGAAGCAAGACGAGGACAGGGTTGCTGTATATAAGTTGGCGGCTAATGCGGGCAGTCTTGACATACATGCCCATGTGGTATCCCAGGCGTGATGATGCTGCTGGCCAACGATCTCATGCCGGCCGTCCCCGAGGTAGTCGGGGTCCGTTTGTTGGTGGCGCAAGTCCAAATTCGGTGAGCACATGCAGGCAATGAATGGCGTTCTCCAGTCTCGGTCGGCCATTCTTTGCCCCGGCCTCTGAGTCAACTCGGTGCTTCTTGATAGGTGCCTTTTAGAAATGCTGGCCAGCTCTCGATATCTTCCACAGTCCCCACTGTATCTCTGCGGCACAGGGCTTTGCCAAGCAGTCAATTCAATCCCAAGGTGCATTCGACCCCGGCAACCATCCTGGTTACGACCCCTGCTTGATCTTCGTCTTCCACGTGGCGAAGGCTGAAATCCCGGTCGGTAATGCATGAAACCTGGGGACACCGCTCAGCCCTCTCTGGCTTTGGGATCCGTCATGTCATGCCTCCCTAGCTCCAGCATCCGGCCAAGACAGCATTGCGATTACCCTGTTGGTCGCAATTGATCAACCCACTCAAAGGGCGTTCTCCGGCGTTCTTATTGATCAACTCGGCACAGATCCTTGTAGCCATGTGGTTGACAAGCATGAAGGACAGGACCCCTTTTCCCTATCACTTCCTTGTGGTACATGGAGAAAGCCTTGCCTTGTCATTTCTGGACCCGATGCAATTCCACCATGGTTGTAAGCCATCTGAGCTTGGGACTGCCCGGTCCTCAATGGCTGGAAACTGCCCTCAAATGGTGCTCTTCCCTTTATTAGATAACTAAGCCCTCGCGCAGTCTGTCGCATTAAGAAGTGCAGAGCAGACACACCAGGAGAGCGCCACTACTGCGTCAAACACACTTTGTAAGGGGTTTTCCAAGCGCCAGCGGTTACTTGCTGCTGGTTGTTTACTGAAAACATTTCTCCAGCAACGGATACGCGCTGACCCCTCGGGTTCACAAAGTCCTCGGTACCTGAACTTAGCAGCTTCCACACCCTGACCGGAGGCTATCCATTCACATGGATGAATCACAAGGCTACCAGCTACAGGAGTGGACAATGCTGTTCGTCAACAGTGTCCAAGCGGAAAGACGAAGACGAGAGGAACACACAACGGACACATGGCGTTCCATTCAGGAGTACGCAGCAGCTGCCGATCGTAAGATCAAGGAGGCATTGGGCTCGGAAGGCCCAGCTCTGCGCCCGGTGTCTACGGGGACCACAACAGCAGTAGTAGGAACACCTAGGACGAAGGCAAAATGATGGGATGGGATATGTGAGATGTGGTTCTCCCGAGAAACTGGGATATCTCTGGGGACACGCGGCATGGAACAGGTGTTGCAGCTGCTGTTCTCCAAATACTTGAAGCTCACCGGAATTAGAGTATTCCCCATTCCCGACAGTATAAAACAAGCGAGATTATCAAGTTTAAAGGGGGAGAATGGGGGGGACGCCAAACGTGGTCTCTTCCTACCCTCAAGAGTGATAAGACTCAAAATCCCATCCGCAAAAGGTGACGCCAAGCTACAAGTCTTCTTGGGGCGGGGGAACAGCAGCCACCCGCGTTGGAGCACAGCGGTCGAAGGGCGGTGTGGTTTCCTGCATAAAGCCGAGGACACCCTGTTTAGCTTGCTCCTGCGGCTGCCCCCGGCGTGCCTTCGTTACCGACATAATCTGTCCGCTCTCCGAGATGGGCAAGCAAGCCAATGACGGGCGGTTGGAAGCGAGTGAGCTGAGATGCGTCAGACTGACCGGCTGTACTGTGCCTGGACGGGAGCTCGCAGGAGCCGGTGAGACAGGACACTGCCGTGCTCGAATACTCTCGCAGTTTGATGGTTGTATTTGTACTTTATACGTGCAATACAGTCCTGCCTGTCTTGTGGTTTGTCTTGTGATCGAGTACATGTACATGGGACCTGTCGGTACAAGCGTACTGGCAGCAGTCATGTCCCCTTCGGCCAACCGACAGCCTGACTCGACGGAGACGTGATGGCACACCGGTGTTATCTACAGTATCTCTCAGCGTCTGCGGGCAAGCGTGCCTCGGTCTCGGTGACCCCGGGTTGCGGCATGGAGAGGGGTAGACGACAACAACATGCGGTTGGCACTGCCGAACAACCCACAGCTATTAATCTCAACAGCCCAACTCTGATCAACTGAGTTATTCTGCTCGTTCTGAAGGCGCCAACGCAGCCTATTGATATTCACCTCCAGATAAAAAAGAGGCATACTGTCCACTTTGCACGCACTTCCTCGTCACCGCCATCATGCTCTTCGAAGACGACACCGAGATGGTTATTACCCACCCTACCGAGTTGGCTAGCACTCTTCTCGTTGAGGAGTATCCGTCCGAGGCCGAGGTCAAGACAAGGTCCGATGACAGGCTCCAGCCGCCCAGCAAAACCTCTGCCACTCTCACCCAATCAAGCATCCCCAGCACTGAGGCTCAAGACCGGAGTGCATCCGGTCTGTCTGGTGACGGCTTTGCGCTTGCCTCGTCTGCCGACGACACAGCCGCTGCCGGTACCGGGCTGTTTCCCGGAAACTGGTCGGCCGTCGGATTGGAGGGTACCTATTCATGGGCATCTGGACAGACCGAGGGCAGGACGGACATGTCTTGGTGGTGAGTGTGCCTGCCAGTGTCTTGACTCTGCGGTATTGTGGGCTGTAATACGCACCAAGACTGAACACAAAAGCGGCTACAATAGCAATCCTTTAACCAGCGCAGACTGTCTTGGTTCTGCTCGAACGGGCCGTACATGGGCCATCCCGCGCGGCGGTCGGTGCAAGGGGGAGGGCAAGCCGAAGAAACAGAACAAATCCCGCCGCCAGCTGCTTTGGGGAGATGACGAACCGTATCCGTATCCGCCGAGGAGGAATCGCAGGTTCTCGGGGTCTGGCGATATGGAGGTGTCAGCAATGGTGCCACGAGGAACGGGAGTGTGAGTGGGTGGGTCGACAGAATTGTGGTTGAGTTTGTTTCAGGCATGCTATTGCCCCTTTTTGCTTCCTTGCGAATCTTGGATGAGGTGGAGTTACTTCAGTTAGGTGCTTTTTGTAGAGAGAGCAGTGACCTCTGCTGTTATGAGTTTTCCTGCCCTTGCCTGCTATCTGACGTTAGCTAGTGACATATACAGATTGTAAGTTGCTTTTGCAACCAGAGTGGAATTGCTGCTCACCCTAGCAGATTGAATGTCGGTTTCACTACGTGAGCACATTGCCTCGGTAGTTTCAGGGGGCGCTCATTTCAGAGATGGCTGAACTGTATCAAGCACAAGATAGGAACAATAATATACACAAAATGACAATTAAGAGAACATGCAGCACATAACAATTACACGAAGCTCTCCAGGTGTCACCAGATTCTACGGCCCAGCTGCCCTTCCCCACACACGTTTATCTCAGCACCCTCAGCCCTGCGCTTTATCCCAGTGACACCAGCAGGAGGAGCAGCACCCTTAGCTAACACACCTCCTCCCTTGCTTCCCAGAACCTCTATCTTCAGAATAGCCTGATAGTCTGCCTCACCAAGCGCTTTTGCAAACCTCCCCTCGTTTATTCTGTTCCTGAATCCACCGCTGCGCCATCTCCACCTTCTCCTCCCACGCCTTCCTCATCCGAACCCCCTATCCGCGTTGACCTTAGTCACCACCAGCGTCTAGGGATACGCCAACCGGTCCGTGACGTGGGTGACTGTGACACCGACCCTCCCGGACAGCAATCGATCCAGGATATTGTGCAGATGCTGCCTCCGTTTCCTGCCCATCTCAAAGCGGCCGACTCGCTTGTCCCGCGATTCGAGAAAGGATTTAAGGGCGTCGCAGTCGTTGCACGAACTGTAAGCCATGCAGCCCGGGGACGGACAGGTCGGGCTGTGAATATTGAGGTGGCTGCGGGCCGACCCAGTTGGTGAGGTACGACTCGAGAAGGGAAAGGACGAGCTGTTTGTGGCGCGGAGAGGGAGAGCCCGAGAGCGCTCGGGGGAGGTGTTTCAGGAAGGAGAGCCAGAGGCGGGGGAAGGCGATGGACGGAATGGAGGGTGCTTGAGCGGCGATTTTGAGGGAGGCAGTCATGAGGAGGTCGTCCCAGCCGTGGGCGAGGCAGTTCTCGAAGATGCTTAAAAGTGTGGCCCAATTGATAAAGCGGCTGCGCTGCTCGGGAGTGACTGCCGGAGGGGCGTGGTAGTAGAATGAGCGTGGTTGTTCCGCCCTGAGGGCGTCCCGGTCGTACAGCGTCGCGATGTCCATGGCCGAGATGGCAGATCCGATCAGCCTCTTGCATAGATCTAAACTCTCGGGCTGCGGGAAGACGCCGGCGGATGAATACGTCGTCAACTCTTGGATCGCGGCAATGGCAAAGGGCGTAGAGCTGATGTACGCTTCAATGGCTGAGAGAGTCCAGCCGGCCTCCAAACGCAGCTGTCATGATCATGGTCAAGCTCTTACTGGCCACGCCGTCGGTCCTAGCCCAGGTTATGACATTACTCAACAGCTCATAGCCGCGAGCATGAAGGCCATTTGTAGCAGCTCATAGACGACGTTCGGATCCCGTTTGCAACTGGCGTATCTCCAGGAGTGTAAACTGGTCTTGAGTGCCCACGCCGTCTTCGCAAGGCTGCGCATGATCTCCCGGGTAGACAAACTTGGGGTCCATACACTTCTTCGCATACTTGGGAAGGATGCTCTGAGCGCCGGCCGGGTCAAGGCTTCTGGTCAGGTACTTGTCTGTCGAGTGGCGCGGAATCAATACGGCAACCTGGCGAGCTGTTAGTTATCTTGCTCACTTCGTCTTGCACAAGAGCATGACAGCTTACGCTTGTCCGGTACCAGTGAGTCGCTTTAGGGCCCTACAAAACCATAATACGTCAGTCACGACGTCAGCGTCCGAACTACGCAGGGTGGACGCACCGAGTTGCCCATGTAGTTATGGTAATGCTCATTACGGTCTCAACCTCAAACGGGTCGCAATGCTGAATCAGGTTGGTCTCGATATCCGTGTCGTCGGGTTTCATCTTAGAGCGAAGCTGAGTGCCGTCAAAGTCGACTAGCTTCTTGATAGAGATGGACGTCTCGATATTGTCGTCAATCTCACGCCAGATTCCATGCCCATTTCCATCATCGTAGTCGTTATGATCATCATAGGAAGACCGACGACTCCGGCCCCAGTCCATTTCAATGCAGCCCATTTCTTCTTTTTCGAGAACGGCAAGGAAGACATCAAAGTCCGGTTCAGTTGACAAGTCCCTCAGACACTGACGGGAGCGAGGTCAGTCGTCTTGAGCGCCCTGAAGGCAATGCTGGCTTCCGTATACTCGTGATCGAGCATGTAACACAGATGATGGATGTCACGGTCGTCTGCCTTCGCTCTCAAAGCTTCGTGTACAAGCCATCTCCGCAGTGCATGTCAGAGGCCTCGGAATTCAGGCCGACGTATAGCGGCCGACGGAAGCTCGAGGTCCGGGGGAAATGGCCAGGTTGTAGGTCAAGACCCATCGGTAGCCAGGAGTGACGGGCAGGACCTCGTGATGGACATCGGAGTACCAGCACAACATGGATGGTTGGTTCGTCGAGGTCTTGTACGTTCTGGACTGACCGCGCATGCTTCAAAACGAGATCTCCGCCTTCATGAAGGGGAAGGGGGAGGGGGGGAATGGGAGGCAGATGACGAGAATCCCGCACATGCCTGGGATCTTCTCAGTACTGAATATTGGGGCAATAACGTGTCAGCAACACTGATTTCATCTGACATGGACGAATGGGGATCCTGACTCGGTATGGGATTTGAACATGGCTCCCTTCTCATAGATGGTCATCTTGTAGAGCTTGGCGGTGGTGGGGGAGCCGATGCCCAACGTCGCGCCCACGTGCTCAATGCATTGATCAAGGACCCGGGACCACTCGGCATTGCGGAACTCGAACCTGGGAGGCATCAAGCTTCCTAGTGTTGCGCACCGACGGGTCGACTATGGTCTCGCTGCCCTTGCCATAGGGTGCTTGTCGAGACTGGGCGATCAGCTGGCGAGCTTGTTCCCCCTGCAACGGGGCAGCGATGTCTCCAACACCGTGCACAAACAGGCCGATGGCCTCGCTCAAATTGGAGACTTTCAACCCGGTATAGGACGCAACGCTGCCTATAGCCTCAATCTCGTCAAGCTCATCGCAGAAGCTGTTGATAATATCGCGACGGCTCTTCCGCTCGCCAGTGTCACTCAGGTGCTGTTTGAGTTGGTAGATGATGGCGGTTGCTTTAGTAGGTCTTTGACGTCCATGATTCCTCTTCTTCAAAGTGTCCGAGTGGTGAATCGGGACGGTTGATGGATCATGAAAAGGAGAATAAGAGCATAGATGACTTTAATCAAACTGGTAGAGTTCGTCGCATCAACCTCGCGCAGCGCGATTGTGCGCTAGCATCACCGGATTATCACGTTTGGCCGTGTATAAAAAGCGTTAACATGCAGATGCGAGATGTCCCGTGGCGAGAAGTTCCATGATCGAATAAACAGCAATGTGGAAGCACAGCCAATGACCAAGAGGGCGCGAGTGTCAATTCCACGGGTGTCAAACTCATCTTCTGAGTGACCTGCCGTACCTTAGGTTGTATGTGCATACGTACTGTACATATGTACTCTACATACGGATCCGTACCTTATTGAAGGATCAATTCTGCCGACACAGGCACTGGAACTCCGTACACAACCCCACTAAGAAACCTGCCGGCTAATCCGTACATACATGCCTTACTAGAGGCTTAGCACCATCCAGGTGCCATTATAAATAAGTGAGGCCATTAGCCCCTTCCCAGGTCAGGCAAACAATCAGGTGGCTGTATCAATAGATGGTGCTTGTTTTCTGGAGCGGCTGGAAACTGAGTGCTTGGAAGTTCGCCTGAAGTCAGCTCACGTTGTATCGATACAAGGTCGCTCGTCCTCGGATGACTGCTGGGAGGGTTCAGGGTTGCAACTCTGCATTCCATCCTCACTTCCCGCGTCGTGAGGTTGAGCCTCGTTTCCCTACCTCTTCAGCTCACTGTTTTTCACGTCCACGCTTGCCCTACCCGTCCCACACAAGCAAAGCCGGAAAATTCTCCATTTGGCTTCACGCTAGCGCCAGATTTGAGGCACAGGTCTCTTCACTTCCAAGTCCTACCATCGATCAAAATCATCCACCCAACATTGCTGACCTTCAACCCTGAACCAACCGGGGTATAGAGGAGCCGCTTCATATTAAGATCACATTCAATCCCCTATATGCGCAGGCAACAGAAGTATCCTCAATGAAGGACAAAACCCATCTCATTGAGCTCGACGGTCGGACGGGTGAGGGCGGCGGGCAGCTTGTGCGCATCGCCTGCGCCCTCGCAGCTGTCGCAACGCAACCCATTCGCATAACGAATGTGCGGGGCAATCGTGAAGGGCCGAGAGGCGGTGGTACGTCATTATTCCGCGTCACTCACGACAATCCTACCTAGGTCGCATGCTAACAGCAGAAAAAGGCCTTAAATCGCAACATGTAACGGCCATCGAGTACCTCGCCACGGCCACTGATGCCGATGTCTCTGGGTTGTTCATCGGCAGCCACACATTAGAGTTTCACCCGAAACTCCGGCCTTCCGACCTCAACAACCGCAACATCAAGATCACAGCGGATTCACCAGCAGCGTCAACCCTCCTCATCTTCCAGGCTGTGTTTCCTTTTCTGCTGTTCGCGGGCAACGACAAGGGCGAGCCAATAACCCTCGAGATTTCAGGCGGCACCAATGTCTCGTACTCCCTATCCTTCGAGTACCTCGACCAGGTGCTCCTTCCGACCCTGCAGGACGCTTTCGGGATCACTGTCGAGAGAAAGCTGCTCTCCCGGGGTTGGAGCCTGGGCAAGCAACAGCGGGGCAAGGTTGAGTTCAGATTCAAGCCTCTGAAGCCAGGCGAGACACTCAAGCTCAAGGAGAAGGACAGCATCGTGTACAACGGCGACGGGCCGATGCCGGTCATGGAGGATATCGAGGAGATCAATATCTCGATGATCGTCCCAACCGAGATGCACGAGGCTATGACCGAAGCGCTCGTCGCGGACTTGGGAGCACTGTTCCCTGATATCGAGCCCAACTTCAATACCATCGAGGACAGCGGTGCCGACTCGAGGATATACGTCTTGCTCGTCGCCAAAGCAGGGATGGTGCGCTGGGGCCGGGACGTCCTCTCGTCGATGCCGAAGAAAGCTAAGGGCAAGGGTGCCGCGCAGACCGCGAGTTCACTGTGCGCAACCATCTCACGAAAGATAGCGAAGGAGCTGTACGAGGAGGTCTCAACAGGCGGCGTCGTCGACGAGTTTTTGCAGGACCAGCTGGTCATCTTCCAGGTGCTGGCCGAAGGCCGGACGTCGTTCCCTCGGGGTGAGGCTAAGGACAGCCTTGAGCAAACGATGGCGAACCTGGAGATTGACGACAAGAGACTGCGCAAGGAGAAGACGGACAAGCCTTTTGGCGATGGCAGCACGCACACCACAACAGCGCGGTGGGTGACGGCCGAACTCCTACCAAATGTTGCGTGGTACAATAAGGGGTTAATTTGCGAGGGCATTGGCATGCAACTGGGGAAGAAGCGATGATGACGGGTGCTACGTGGCAGCATTGGTGCTGCCTTCTTTGACAGGCCTGACCGGGCTTCTTTCCGGTCGGCACAGGAGGGCCTTCGTGGCTTCCGGGCCTTTACGAGCGTTAGTTCTGATACCCTAGGGGAGAGTAATGATGGCAGCAGCAAAGACAGATCAGCAAATCACCCACTGCAATAAATGAAGACTCACTGTGCATGTAAGAGACCATGTACCCCACCGCTGCATGCCTTCACCTTTAAGCTCCTCATCATTTCATCTATACTTTTCGTACGCCTCGGCCTCCTTTTGGCGAGATTCGACCAGTTCAATGACCTCACGGCTGTAGAGATCTTCGAGGCTCTTGGCTCCATGAAGATACTCCTTCTGGTGCCTCACAGCCTCCTCTTTGGTCAGGCAAACAAGATCGCGCAGCCTGAGGTTGGATGACTTTTGCTCGGCATCGCCTTCCCCAATACGAACCAGGGTGGTTTCCTGAGGCTTCTTCCACCGGATCAGCATGAGCTTCGTCGGAATACCGGTTATAGCACTTCTGCCCCTGAAGGCCTCTTCCACAAGAAAGGCGATGTCGGCTGGGGTAATAGGGACCTTGAGACCGATGCACACATCCGTCCGGCCGCCTTCGATCATGCGAACGATCTTCTCCTCGCTAGCTTGGACATACGCCAAAATAGCCTCGTACATCTTATCACGGGCCTTGGCGGGCTGGTACTCCATAGGGTAACCTGGCCGCTTTTAGCAGAGATACTACATATAATCTCTGCGCATCGCCTGACTCACCTGTAATCTTCAGGATAACGTGGTTTGCCACGGTGTATCCAAAAACAGCGGGCATAGTGCCTAACACCGGCAGGATCCGGACTCGGAAATCGGGCAACACACCCAGGTCGCCCACCGATCCCTTCTGGAACTCCTCCTCGGCCAGCGGCAGCAGCGCCGCCTTGCCCTCGCCCATCTTCTCGGTCGAGTACACGACGGGGATCCCGCTACTGACACCCAGCAGCTTCAACCGCCGCCTCGTCGCCCTCGAGAGCCCGTCCTCGAAACTCGCCCCGATATCCCCCACCATGACCCTCGTCGGATCGCTCTTCGTCCCTGCACCCATGGCCGAAATCACCGGCAACCCCTGGTCATGGCAATACTTGAGCAGCTCGACCTTGCTGTCGATATTGTCAATGGCATCAATCACATAGTCCGGCCGCTGTGCCTCATCCCCTTCCCAACCGTCCAACAAGACCCCGGCAGCACTCCCATCAAACTTCTGCAGCCGCAGGTCAAACCGCACCCACGGCGTCACCGCCACCAGCCTTCGCTGCAGGCACTGCACCTTGGGCAAGCCAACGTCGGCCAGGGTGGCCACGGCGTGCCGGTTCAGGCTACTGAGCGTGACCTGGTCGAAGTCGATCAGCCGGATGCGGGAGACGCCCGAGCGCGCGAGGGCAGCGCAGGCGTGCGAGCCGACGCCGCCGCAACCGACGACGACGACAAAGGACGAGCGCAGCTTGCGCAGGCCGTCGTCGCCCAGGAAGACGCGGTTGCGCGCCAGCTGCTCGAGGATCAGCTCGTCGTCAAAGTCGCCGTTCTGTGCGCGGTGGGCCAGCGCTTGGTTGTGCTCGTCTTCTTTGTCGGGTTTCGGAAGGGGGCCGACGCGGGTTACCTGCATAGTGATGGTGGGTTAGTGGTTGGTCGGGGGAGCCAATGGATAGGGACGGCGAAGAGGAGAAGGAGGGATGTTGGGGGGGGGGCGGGAAGACGAGAGGTACCGATTGGAGACCAGGCTCGCCGTCGCTGGGCTGGGGGATGGACTGCTTTAGTCGAGACACGCGGTCGCCTTGTTGCAGGCGCTGATAGCTGAGGACGGCGCCCGCTGCCAGAGTGGCTGACACGATGGCGGTTGCTGCTAGCTGCACCTTTGAGGAGGATGTGAGGGACGCCATTATGCTGGAAACTATTGATATGCGGAGAAGTCTCTAAGTCAAAAACCCCACTGCCTCATCCTCATGCAAGTCGCTGACGATCGGGTGACGCGACGCTCAATTGGGTCGATGCAGTGGTCGCGGTTGTTGGAATTAAGTTGGCTCGAAATTTCCATCTCAGATGTCGTCCAGACGTCACTTGGCTTGGACAAGGGTAGCTCGCGTTGCCACTTTTCCTAAACCAGTTAGTGTGCGAATTCCCAGGCTCTCCTCGAAGACATATTCAAGTGTACTGCGAGCGTCCTAATTCAACTAACGTTAACTACCTCTGCTTTCAATTTTCACCGGTTTAACTGCTTAGTCTACCTAGGGAGCCCACCCAGCTTACCACCAAACATCCTCATCGCCCTCGTATTTCCAAGGACTCAATTCCATTGCATCAACGTCATCAACTATTGTAAACCAAAGAACCAGCGAATCGCTTTAGAAATGTATGTGTACTGGTAGTTGAGCTTTTCGGACAATTGTGTGTAGGCGTTTCGGGAGCCCCACTCCGTGCTGGAACTCACCTCCGTGCCGGCCCCCATCTCCGTGCCGCGACCCACTACGAAGCCGAGTGCTCCACCCTTCGGCGCCCACTCGACGTGCGCCGGAGAGTCGAAGAATATCTAGGCCCAACAGGGGCTATTTGGGAGGTTGAAAATCATTGAAGAGGCGGAAACAGTGATACTTTAAAAAGGTGTGTTGTATCGCGATACGTAGTTGTATTTTAGTGTAAAGGCAGTTCGATGGCGGTGTTATTCGCGTGGTGTTGCGGCTATGTGGAACCCTAGATTGAAATGGCTAGACTGGTGAAAATAGGAAGCAGGGTTGAGGTGAAATCAGGAGGCTCGATTTACTGAGACTAAACAAACACCGGAAAGTGGGGCTACAGTCAGGAAAAAGTAAACGATGTCGAAAAACTTACTTGCTTTCAAATTTTGACAGTATGCTTGAAGATATATCAATCGATTGCTATATCCTAGTAAATTTAAACGCTTATTTACTTAATTTGATTTTGTCGCTCTCTGTGGTCATTGTGGTGGCTTAGAGTGGGAGGTTGTGTTTGTGAGTTTCATGTTATATCCTCGAGGAGCCAGGTTCCTCCCGAGGTCGGCGGTTTTTTCCTCCGAAGCCCGAATACCAGCAGCACACGAGGACGATCGTTCCAACATCAGGATATCCATTCGTGGGCTACCACCACCAAAGCAGCCTATATAAGCCCTTGTATTGAACTGTTATAGTACTTCCCGTGGCATCGATTGTGCTCACCAGAACGTTAGGTTGTTCAGTGGGACTACCCTCCCCATGTCTATTGTTCATCCCCCGCCATGCAGACGCACATCGCTGTTGAGGAACCTTGAATCACGCTGTCCTGCCAAGTAAGGGAATCTTCTTAAATTGTTGGGCCTGCAGCGTGTTCTGGGCTTTGCTTTGGGATCACGGATACTGGGTGAAACTATCTGCACTAAAACCCCCGCAGTCTGAGCTCGGCTCGAAATCGCATTCGGTTTCGTTTTCGTACTACTTATGTTTTAGACCCCATCTCGAAGTGTAGCTCAACGACTCGCATTCGAATCCGGGTTCACCGGAGGGGTTTCATGCATGTGGACCTCGGGACCCGAGTGTTGAAACCATGGGTGACCGCCTTCAGGTCGGTCCGGTCTAACCCCGCAACAACGAACACGCTCGTTGCTGTATCAATACCTTATAAGACTACTGAGTTCCCCAACTGTGATCTGGGCTGAGGACGACGGGTATTATACTGACTCATATCAGGTCCGTCGGAGCAGAACCACCCTCGCTGAGTTGCTCAAGACTGACAATCCCGCAGCCTCAACCATCATGTCTTCCGCTCAGGGCAAGACAGTCATTGTCACGGGCGCTGCTGGTGGTCTCGGCAAGGCCATAGCTACTGCTTTCCTCGCAGCCGGCGCCAATGTCGTGATTTGCGACGTCAACCCCGAGCGGATTGCCTCGGTCAACGAGGAATGGGCCAAGTCCTACCCCGACAAGTTCCTCACACAACAGACCGACGTCACGGACGAGGCTGCCGTACAAAAGCTTGTAGACGACGCCGTCTCTAAGTTCGGCCGTCTTGACATCCTTGTCAACAATGGTATTCAGCCTCGCCCCTTTATCATCCCCTTGCTCCCGTCTCGCGCGTCCATTGTAACCCCAGCACCGAGGATTGACCCCAAAACTCCCTTCAAAGGACCCAGAGCATTGCATCATAAAGCTGACCTTGTTGCATAGCTGGCGTGATGGACCGCTTCGAGCCAGCGGGTGCCTGCTCCAGGGAGACGTGGAACCGCGTTCTCGACATCAACCTGAACGGGCCGTTTTTCACCACCAAGGCGGCCATCGCCCAGTTTGAGAAACAGGAGTCCACTGGCGGCGTCATTATCAACATATGCTCAACTGCCAGCATACAGGGCTTCAAAAGCGGCGCCGCCTATACAGTGTCGAAGGCCGGCCTCGCAGCCTTGACAAAAAACACCGCTGGCTTTTACGGTGACAAGGGCATCTACTGCATCGGCTTGGCATTGGGAGGTACGTCAACTTCGGATCTTGCGCTGGCCACCATGCTATCCTGGGAGCAACACCCTGAAGTGTAAAAGAATGACATGAAGCTAACATGGATGTCCCAGGCATGGCCACGAATATCACGGATGCCCTTGCCCAGGGCATGCACATGGAGATGTTCCAAAAGATTCAAGCCTCGCAATCGCCCGCCGATGCCTCCAAAATGGTCCCGATCGAAGCCGTGGCCAAATACTGCGTCTTTCTTTCCGACAAGGACATCAGCTCCTGTTCCAACGGCTCATGCATTGTCTTCAATAAGAACTGGCCCGAGGCATAACGTGGCCAAGCGCTACATGGACAGCGTCATTTGGCAGCCACCCAGGGGATGGAAAACGAGCCGGCATCCCCCCTCTTTCTGAAACCGGAGCAGATCAGTACAATAAATAAATACCCTTCATACTGTGGCCCATGCCATCCCTGCTTCCAGTTTAGACACGTTCACACGGGCCCGGCGTCACTGGACCAAGTCCAAAGGAGACTCTCTCAGATCACCAGTTCAATAACTCTGCTCCCGAAGAGGACACCGCAGCTACACTAATACATTGGTGAAAGGGGCGGAGGAGAGTCATGAAGGAAGACATGCCCAGGACACCGAGCCCAACACAAGCCAGCAGAACAATAGAGCCTCTTGTTCCTCTCCTATTCCAAGAAAAACCCCAGTGGTTTTACCCATTATTCGTCTCCTTGTCTTCTTAACTGGTTGCCACGGCCAGTCGCCGCCGCTTAGTAGTCGTGGTGGTGCTGGGGGCGGGGCAGGCAGTACGGGCTCTGGCTCTACCAGTTATATCGGCAGACCGTGTCGTAACTAGGAGCCTCCGAACTGATTCTCAGGGTATTCTCCGTTAGCATCCATCCCCGCTGGCCTTTTTTACAATTTTCTTTCTTTCACTTTCGGCGCTTACGACCTAGTGTCCGGAATAGTCGCACACACGCCAGCCCTGGCAATCCCAGGTACACCAGTAGCTGCCCGGCTTGCACTCCTGCTCGTGAGGAGGCGGGTGGGAATAGTGGTCGGGACCAGCCTGGGGAGCGGCGCCCTGGGCCTGCTGGTTGACATCCATGTTGTTGGCGTCGGCATTAAGGGTGACAGCGGCGATGGCGGTGGCGGCCAGGGCGAGGACGGAGAGGAACTTCACTTTGACAGGAGGGTTGGTGAGTGGACTATGGTGTTTTTTTTTTTGAGCTTGCTTTGAATCTGAGGATGTGGTGAATGCTGGTGGTGAGGAGAGAGAGGAGGATGAGTTAAGGGGGTGAGGATAGGGATTATATTTGCCTTTTTTTCTTCCATCGAGTCCGACATCTTCTTCACCGATCTCCAGCTTGCAGCACATTGAGTCTCTCCCTGCGTGCCAAACGCAGAGATGTTTTGGTGTAGTGATGGCGGCCAAGGCTGGCTGAGAATGCTGCCCGGTGTTTGCCCGTTGCTCAATCTATGTCTGGATTAGCCACACCCACATGCCAAAATCAGGAATCTCGCAGAGCGCGTCTCTCTGGTAAATACTTAACAGTTAACGCATCGTCAACGGCAGTAATAACATCTTCAACTGCTCTATTGGGCTTTTCCCGAAGGCACCGGTCATCTGGATATAATGGCTGACCGGTATCTTGATTCGCATTTCCATGCACCATCTCCATTCCGCCTTTCCCAGATTTTGGAAGGTGGTCGCATCTAAGGTTCCATAACCGTCATGATATGATGCCTGCTTTTTATGCCCCTAACGGTATCCAATCCATGCCTACCGGCTGGCCCCAACAAGTTGCTTTGCCGTGTCCCTCAACTTGAACTTCTGGATCTTGCCACTGGCGGTCTTGGGGTATTCTTTCACGAACCACACATGCTTCGGCACCAGGTGACTGGAGAGATGCGTCCGAACCCATTGCCTGACGCTTTCTCTCGTCAACACGTCTCCCTTACCACCACCTCCCGTCGTCGCTTCCTCCCCCTCGGCCACAACCCCTTCGTGCACAATGACAAAGGCTGCCACGCTCTCACCGTATTTCTCGTCCGGCACGCCGACCACACTAACCTCGGCCACCAGAGGATGCTGGAACAGACAGTTTTCGATCTCTAGCGGGTGGATGTTCTCCCCGCCCCTGATGATCAGGTCCTTGATCCTCCCAGTGATCTCCACATACCCGTCCTTATCCATGCTGGCTTCATCCCCGGTATACATCCAGACCTCCTCGTTCCCATCGTCGTCGCTCTCAAGTTTCCTTACCTCCTCAGTCCTCTCCTCATCCCCCCAATATCCCTTCATGACCAGGTATCCGGCAGTCGCAAGTTCTCCCCTCTCCCCGATCGGGACCACCCGATTCCTATTCACAGGATCCACAATCTTGACCTTGGTATGCGGCATCACCCGGCCGACCGACCGCGTCCGCTTCTCAAACGGATCTCCCGGCGAGGTCATGCAGCTGACGGGACTGGTCTCGGTCATGCCGTAGCAGATGACCAGATCCTCCAACCCAAACGTAGCATAAAGCTTCCGCATGACCGACTCGGGCACCGAGCTCCCCGCCGCAATTCCCTTGCGCAAGTGCGTGGGGAACGCGGCGACCTGCTCGGCAGGGAGGAGGTCGGCGCGGTGGTGTAGCAGCTCGAACATGGCGACGAACATGGTGGCGACGCCGTACAGGCCCGTGGCCCTGTGCGCCGCGCACATGCGCAGCGTGGCGAGGGGGTCGAAGGCCGGCGAGGGGAAGAGGATGGCTGCGCCGGTTGTCGCGGTCGCCATGTACCCGAGCACGGAGCCGAAGCAGTGGAAGAGCGGGGGCGGGCACACGATGAGGTCGGACGGGTCCAGGCCCATTCGGTGGGCGATCAGGGCGCCGTTGTTCAGAATGCCCGTGTGGGTCAGCATGGCTGCTTTCGGGTGAGACGTGGTTCCTGATGTAAACTGGATATTTACTAGCATAGCAACGTCAGAGTGACTACTCTTCTTTCTCACAGCCAGCGGTCGCAGGGGATAACCACTATAGATTGGTACTCACTCGTTTCTGAAGCAGAAAGAGGAGAGTCGGGGGTTATGGGGCGGGCGGCGTAGGCCGAGAAGGAAGGGCGGATTGTGGCAAGGCCTGGGATAAGGGAGGTAAAGGGTGTTAGAGACCGGAGGGAGGCGAGAGGGGGGAAGCTGCTGAGCGGGTGAGACGCTGAGTTATCGACTAGCACGACAGTTTTGAGCGTCGGAATGTCAGGCGCCTCAATGCGTCCAGACTCGAGATCTGGGACCATGGACTGGAGAAGAGGCAAGTTGCTCCGCCCGCGGCAGGGCTTGTAGGGTAGATCAGTAACAGCCCCGATGACGAGCAACTCAACAGCCAGGTGGTTGAGGGCGGCTGTGATCTGATTGGCGTTGAAACCGGGGTTCAAGGGGACGAGGATAGCGCCGAGCTTGAAGATGGCGTAGGTGAGGACCGCAAACTCGGCCGTACTGCCCAGGCTCACAGCGACGCGGTCTCCCTTCTTGACGCCCAGGGACCGCAGGGAATGAGCAAGGGCGTTCGACGCCAGGTCGAGCTGTTCGTAACTGAGCGTCGTCTCAACGGCGGCGAGAATTCCATCGGCAGGCAGAGTTGATAACGCGTCTGGGCTTGCTGTTGGAGTACGGCAGACAACTGCTGGTCGGTCACCGAAACTCGAAACAACAGTGCTGAAATGCTCCGGGACTAGCCGGCAATGTCAGTCATAGGGGTTTCCCCTTTCCAGGTCTTAGATCCATCAACGTACTAGTATGCGGGAGCAGCGGTGGCTGATGTGCCTGTCAACGCCAGTACTTCCCTCCCAATGCGCGTCGAGTGCGCTCACCTCTGCTGGCCCCTGGCAAATGCTCCGTGTCAGAGTGCTGATCACTCTCGCTGCCACGTCGCGTGGGCTTGAGACTTGGTCGCGTCGCCATGGCGTTTTGCAGTTCCGAGCCCCCTTGTTCAGGACCCTACTTCGTAGGTTCGCCGAGAACAGGCCTCCCATCGCGGCATGGTTCTGAAGGCGCATCGTGATGCAGGACCCGAGTTGCCGTCCCTTGCCAACCCTCCTAAAGTGCTCTTCTGATACCGTACAACTCAAATTAGACGAACAGTTACGGTGGCATGGTATGGACGAAAACGAGATATTAAGACGAAGACCGGCGAGAAGGGGACAAGAGAGCGGTCTCGGTCACCGCGGGGCCGGCGGTTGATCAAGCCATGAGCAGCAAGCCCCAGCTTTTCGTATCCTTGAATGGTACCCAAACCAGGAAGGTCCTCGATCTCATCGCCTTGGCAGGTGGAGTAAATGCGGGGGTCCTCGGCTCCCCGCAGTGCACCGCTTGGCAGGCGCTGCAAGTTTGGGGTAGGGATAGAGGTTATTTGAGGTCTGCCTTACGGAGGTACGGTTAACCATCAGGCTCGTCGTCTCCTGTATCGTCTGCGCCACCCCTCTCATTTTCATGTTTATTCACTACTCCAGAGCCTGCCTCCCGTTAAAAGAAACGGAAGAAAATGAATGTCCAGTCCTCCGACTGTCAATGCCACAGTCTCCTCGCCAGGGCACTCCACCAAGCCAATCCCCACAGACTTGGGAAGCCCCTCGGCGGAACGGTACCGCTGGTACTCCGTAACTGAGACCATACCCCTGATGAGCCGTTCCCAACCGCGTGTACTCTCCGCGCATCCTCATCTTGATGACAGAGATTCTAGATTTGCCGAAGCTGTCCATGTATGTACAATCGCATAGAATGCAGCAGGCCTTGCCTTTGCCTGTCCCCGATTTTCTGTACACTGTCTATCCTCCCATGCTGTGCGGTCTCACAGAGAAGCCGTCTAGTACGAATGGAAGCCGCCACCGCCACAATAACGCCGAGCCATGCTGGGTGTTGTAACAAGTGCCATTAAGAAGAAGTTAAAAGGATGTACTCGAGGAAAGGAGAAGTCATTTGTGGCGGGCATCAATGCCTGGATCACTCGCCGATGTGCCGCTCACTTTCGGGCTTCCACGTTCCTTTGAACCCAGTCATGTTAGCAGTCAAGCACAGAGTCAAAATTGGAGAGATCTTACCCTCGAAATCATGCTTCACAAACGCCATCGGGTCGTCGGTGTCCTTAGCGCCCATCTGCTGCACCCCTGGCGAGAAACTCGTAATCGGCAACACAATCACATCTCCGATCCGCCTGCGATTTTCCATTCCCGTGAAGTTCCGCCAGTCAATCGGCCCGGCCGACTGGCTCATGTCAAAGTACCGCGGATCGTTGAAGTACTCGAAGATGACGTCGGTCCAAAGCGCGGGGCCTGTGAACTCAATGACATTCTTGTCGATAATGTTCTTGAGCGACCCAGCCTTCTTCCGCCTCAGCGTCTCTTCAGTAATCCGCGTCACCACCTCCCGCAGGACGGGGTGCCCCGGCTTGGCTTGGATCGTCCACTGACAGAACTGGACCCGCCTGCTGTACCAGTCCTTCCAATCCGGCCGGTCGGGGTCGGCCTCGATGCCAATCACCAGCCCGACGGTATTCCGCGGCACCACCTCCGGAATCCAATCCAGGGCGCTGCGGATGGCGTACGTGTCAATGTCCGAGTAGATGCCGCCCCTCGCCAGGAGGATCAGGTAGCGGAAGAAGTCGGCCTTGAGCACGGCCAGCGGGAGCGCAGCGTACGCCTCAATCACCTCGGGCACCGACGCGTAGAGCAGGCGGATCAGGTGCACCGCGACCTGGTCCGTGATGACCTCGTGGATGAAGCCTGGGTGCTGCTCGGTCCACGTCGCCTCCTGCTCGCGAAATTGGAACTCGGCGTGCGCGGGGGTCCACCTCCAGGTCTGCCATATGTATGCGGGGAACTTGGTCTCGACGTCGTAGGGAAATTGGTACGCGAGCCTGTCGTAAAGCGTCATCTTTGATGGGTCCTGCATCGTCTGCTGTCCTTGCGGTGATGGCCAATTGCGGTGCCCTCCTGCGTGTACCGCATTGTTGGATGCGCCTGTTGTGACTGAGCCTTGTTTCGAGTCGGAATCGGACTGTGCCTTTGGAGGCTGGACGGCTAACGACGAGACGGCTCCTGATGTCGATCTTGTGGCGAAGAAGAGTACGCTAATGAAGAAGGCCGCGGCCACGAGGGCGCGGCGGAAGCTGAGCATCGTGCCCCCGTTGCTCTCCTGGCGCACCAGACGCTTTCAGCTACCTGTACCACCCCTACTTTCTAATCTGTCGGATGTACGCGCGGCGGAGTAAGGTGCGGCAATGAGATCCGAAGGTTGAGTATGGTCTTGGGTCTGCGCCCCGTTTCGGCGTGGATCGATGCTGGTCCGGCCAGGCTGGCGTGTTGAAGAAGGAATCGCGGGGCGACCTGGAAGACTGTATTCGAAACTTCAAAACAAATATCAAGAAACGGAGAGGCCGCGTCGCACAACGTGTGTCGAACGGCCAGAAGCAGGACGTCGCAGCGAAGAATGTTGCCCCTTTCTCGAAAGCGGATGTCGCGAACGAATCTGAAATGGCAAAGGTTCGGATCGGCAGGGTGCAATTCGTGGTCTGTTGATCATGCCGCGCAACCCTGCCGAAGTGGACTTCGACAGCGGCCTTCACGGGAGTGGATAATAAATCCGGGAAACAACGAAAGATCGCTGCCAAAGAATCTGTACAATAACAGCCCAGGAGGCCAATGCAGAATCCCTGCAACCAAACACACGGACTTTTGGTCACAGTTCGGTGTCAAAGTCCAAAGGACTCCAGGCAAGCCAATGGCGGCCTCAAGCCTTTGACAGCTGGTCAAGGTGAGTTGCAGAACCAGGACTGCACCAGCCCTATGATGATGTTCAAAAGGAGATTTTCTCCAGGGACGCCGTCGTCAAGATCAAAAGTGTGGGGCCGCTTAATGGAATTTGAGACGAGAAGCGGTAATTCTTGGCTTTCTTCATTGATGACGTTTGCAAAAGTGGTTCGTGCAATACCACGTTGTGTCGCCCCACCCACCGAGCTTGATCTGGCCATGAAGTTTCCGGTTTACCACAGTAAACAACACCATCAGCAAGATGTCCCGGCACGAAAGCAAAACTCGAAGCGGCGACAGACTGTATTCGTCGACGCAGAGAAAAGACACTCGTTTAACTTCTCAGGTACTTTAGCTGAGTATGGCTCTCAAAGGACCAAGGTTGGAGTTACATCAACGCAGTATGACGCCGAATCTGCCGGATTTAGATTACGCGTCGCCTGCTTCCATGGCTGGCTTACGCTGCTTATCCACCCAATCTGTTGTCACAGGCGTGATTACACAGATGCCAAATGCTAGGTATGCAGGTACGGTGTCGAACTAAGGACCTGAAGACGGCAGAAGGCGGTACTCTGAAAATTCCCAGCCAAGCCTTCACCCAGTTCGCCGCCTAGGCTCGGCGGGACCGATCGATGGCAGCCCTACCTCGAACCGTCCGACCAGCACATTTCAAGGTGCAGTTCCGCGATACTCGTTTCCTTGGTGGTTGCCTTGTTCTCTCCTCATCGGCTTCCCTGTCTGACATAGAGCGAGGCTCCGAGCCCGCGCCCAGAGCTGCAACCTTGCGCCAGTCGAGGCGTTGGGCACCGCAGCTCTGGCCTTGTTCTCGGGCGGTTGCATGTAAGCCATCACTGATCTCGCGCTCAGCTCGGTATTTGGGCTGCAAGGCAACATGCAGACGATGGGGATGGCAAAACATGCAGCCCGTCACCTCGTGTGGAACGTGCAGTTTGCCTTGCACATCATCAAGAAAGCGCCCGATGCCGCAATGTGCGCCGTTCTCATTTGTCGCTCCCGGTAACCAGACCATGTTGGCACTTATCGCAGTACCGATCTTCCGTGAGAAAACGAGCACAATTGGCAGCCAGGAGGCTGGGCAGGTCAGCCACAAACGCATAATTAGGAAAGGCACAATCACATCTGATCTGTGTCTTTCTGTGTTGCCTTATATCTCTGTGCGGGAGGTACTCTCGTGCTTTCGAGAAGAGTCCGCAGTCGGGTCACGACGACAAACACTGTGCAGATGTTATAGCGGCAAGAGAACATTACTAGACATGATGTCAAGGAATCTGAGGACAGCTTGTTGGATGGATGCTTTTTCGCATGATGCTCAGGTTCTACCTATACCTCGAAGCCGGAAGATCTTTTCCGGAGCTCTGGAATTCCATACCACTGGCCCACAGCACAGCGGTCCGTGAAGCTGGCTGATCCGGGCCAAGAACGGGACTGGTAACCGGTGTAGAACCACATGGGCTTCTGTCATTGACCAAATATTAGGGTTGCAGAGCCCAAGATCAACATTTTACATTTTTTTTGTGACGAGTCCTGTTGCAAAACAACCTGCGCATTACCTGCAAAAGCTGTGAATTGCAGGAAGGGCTTACATGTTACGTGCGTGTAAATCATCAGGGCTTGGGCAAGGACTACATGTCAGTGTAAGCTATTCTTCCGACTGGTCGCAAACAACTCGATGGTCTCCGATGCGCAACCCGTATCCGGGTCAGCCCCACATTGTCCGATGTCCTCCCGCCATATCGGTGCCGTTCTTCGGGGCTCGGCTCTCCGGATCTTGGGGATAGGTTGCCGGCCTCTCCACTCGAAGGGTTACTCGACCTCGGATGCGCTGTCATCCCAAAGGTAGCACATCTGGTGCCCCATCAGATCTAGAAGAGCATGTCAAGCCAGATGGTTGTATGGCAACGCCGGAGCTGCCGTATTGCATCTCGGCATCTGATGCTGGGGCCATTAGCGTGTTCAGATTTGCCCAAGATAGGTGTTAGCTTTTTGACAATAGATAAATAAATAGAGTCAATGATTCTGCTTTCACACAGTTTCGTGAAGCGGCCAGCTGTCCCTTGGCGGCCATTCTTCCACCGCAGACAGACCTCAGTCTTGCAGTTGGAGCCCGGCATAGGGGCGGTTGCCCCGGTTACGGCGGGCGTATTTTACCCCCTGATTTGGGCTTCGTCTGTTGATGGCAAACGTGGAAGAACTCAAAAAGCACCTTACGGTGGTGGATGAGAAGGCAGACGAAATGAGGCGATTGTTGGTTACTGCTCGGGGTCGAAGGCCAGTGAAGGGTAGCAGGTCTAAGATTCTTTGGGCAACGATGCATCATTCTTGGGATCTGGGGAAATTTAGGGAAAGAGAGCGGAGGGTATCAAGAGGAGGGAGGGATGGCACTTTTCAAGCTTGATCCCAGGTTCTGAATTGCTTAACTCGGTGGGCACCCCTTCGGCAGCTTCGGCAAATCGTTGTTACGGTACCCGTGGCTCAGGCTTCGGTGCATCTCGTCAACTCGCTTGTCATACGTCTGGGCCCGAAGAGATCCAGCCCAAAAGTGCCACAACCGAGGAAGGTTATGCAGAATCGGGTAAATGTGACGTTTGAAGTGCACGTTTGACCTATTATGACGGACAGTCGAAAACCATTCTTTTCGAGTCTCATGCCAGGACCCGATCCAAAACAGACCGGCATTGGTCAAGATCCGGAGTGTCGCATACCCAATCCAAAAGGCAGAATGAAGCGTTTGAGAAGGGGATCATATGAAGATACTAGTTGATATTGCTGTGCTGTCAGATGTTGCGCACTCTGTCCTTCGTTCTCAGTACCGATGGAACTGGCTTTCAGAGCGAAAACCAAAGTGATGCATTTGACTCGCTCAAAGTGGAAACGGTAAAGCTGACAACTACTGAGATGGAGCCAATAACATACAAGATCTCGATGACGAGAAATCAGACCGCAACTGATGCTCAAAAGGAGGTGGTCAGATGGCCAAATCCAACTTGTGGAACAACCGACCGGGTGGCAACATTGAAGGGTAAGGATGGAAAAGAAGAAAAAGTCCCGCCCACCCCACCGTACGTATTCATTCTGTTCCCCTGTGCTCCTGCTCTCTTCCATTTTTTTTTTTTTTGGTTGAATCATTGGAGATTCCTTAGACCATTCCGTCGTCACACATGTCCCATTCCTCTTCTCCTTGCGGTTGTTGGCAATGCTGGTTGACTTGGTGGTTGGTGTCAACAGCGTCACTTAGCCCGTAGATGTCGGCATCACGGAGACGAAGTGGATACGGCGAAGCGGCCTGGTACCCGGCACCGACGAGGCTGAGGCAAGCATCGAAGCCGTACGTGGGATTTTCGCCCATCATTCTACCTTGGCCCCAAGGTATGTTTCCTGGATGAGGTCTCCAGGGCAAGACAACAGGCTCGTCCCTACGATTTTCTTTCTTTCTTTCCTTCTTCTTTCTGCCTCTCTTCAGCTTCGAGTTCTTTCCGTTTGCACCGGATGGATGTCGGGCCCTTCGAGAGAGTCAAGCGTCAGTGGCATCGTCGCCGTCCTTGACTGGGGTTGATACTCACTTGGGAGGAGAGGGAGGCGAGCCGGGAAATACGACCATTGATGCCGCCGTGTCGTTGCTGCTGCCAGGGGACGCATAATCAACGGCCTCAGGACTCGATTGCCCATAGTGCCCTTGGTCGGGGCCCGTCGGCGCATACAAGTCCTGGCCAGGATCCAGAGGTGGAGAGACAACGGCATGCCGGAAATCAGGGTCGGAGTCATCCGGACAAAACGGAGCTGGATCAAAGTCGGGCAGTGTGTCCGACGGGCTCGTGAGCCCGGTGGACGAAGTCCGTCCCACGGACGTGGTTGGGTGGCTCAATAGAGCACTGTTGACTGCTGAGCCATTCGATGCCAAACTCTGCGTTGTCTTGGAACGGCGACGGTTGGATCGTGAGTCGATGTTGGGGTCCGAGCGACGCCCTCTGCTCGGCATGATGGGACGGGCCTTGGAAGACGTGGGGACAAAGGGGGTTCTTTCGGCGACGATCTGAAATGCTCCTCGATGGCGACCGACATAAGTCGCCGAAGCGAAGTGAGACCGGAAGGGGTCTAGAGCAGTCATTTAATATCCAAGGAGCCCAACGAAGTCCGTACAAGGCATCGGATACGAAGCGGTGAAGCCTGTCGGTCGAACAAGTACAACTGGTTGGCTGCGGTGACGGTTAAGACGGGGATCCACGCGTTAGGGCGAAGGCAACCATCGACTTCTGATTCCTTTTTCCCCAAGCGCGAATCGGAATGTGCTGCTGGGATCGAAAGCCGAACGTTGCCATGTGTTCATCGCTCACTGCACGCGCAGGAGATTCAGTTAACATCGAGGACATCATGTGGTCTTGCGCCGGATGCCGGACAGTCTGCCGGACTATCGGTGTCCTGAAGGGGTTCGATTTATCTGGAACGACGCAAAACATTCGGGAAGGGTTCAGATGGTTCGCAAGGCAACAAAAATCGAGGGTTGGCGGGGCGGTGGACCGATCAATCGGTGGCTCAATCGTGGATGTACGGTCTTGACATACAGGGGACGGGGACAATAGCCGCTTTCTTGCCAGTATCGAGGAGGAGGGGACCTGTCGGGGCAATGCCAGTAAATAACCAACAGAAGAAACGTTTCGGCACAGAATCAACGGGTAACTGTTGTCGCAAGCCGTTCTCGAAATCTGTAAAAGCCCCCGAATGTGCCCCGGGTTTTGGCTGCGCCGAATCTGCAAGTTGCAGGCCGTCATCACATTCTATGCTTGGCCGCTTTCGAACCGGCCGCGTGCAGACACATCCTCGCCTGAAGTTAAGGGATCTCGCTTGTAGGGGGCCTGTCCCAAATCATCGAAAGGTTGGCCTCGCCTCTTTGCTGGTCCTCTCTCATCCTCACAACCCTCCTTCAAAAGCTTGCGTCTTCCCCCAAGGCATTAGTGGCCATTGGACTCGAGTCCATAATAAAGAACTTCAGAAATTGAAGCCTGGTTAGAGAAGCGTCACGACAGTGCTTGCTCCAGGACAGGGAGGTATGAACATCTTGGCATGGTCAAAGCCACAGGGCCGAGACCCTCAGGTATGTAGGTGTATGCGTGTCGAAGCGCTGAGATCTCAAGTGGTCGGGAGTTGACGGAAATTCCCGCACCTCCCACTCCTTGTGCGCGGTTCACCCGCGCAACCAGACATGGTATGTCTCGATTTCAAATTATGTACTTTACCCTCGATTTGCTGTTGGACCCGTGTTCAAACACGATGCTGGTTGTGGCCCTTATGTCGGCATTGTGTTCGTGCGCTGAAGCCGAAAACGCGCGACTGCATATTGCCGCCAGGTTTTGTCTTGTATGAACCGTCATTACCGCCGCCGTCCCAAAACGACGAAAACCTTGAGGTCCTCAAATGTACGTTCGGAAAACCAATTTGGATGACGGTCGACACAAAGGAATCCGGAGGCCGCAGATTGGGTTTTCTGAAAGCATGATCTTGGCGAGAGAGCCCTCGCCGCCCTGACAGTTCGTAGGCCCTGAGAGCCGTTGGACGGTAGGGTGCTACAGAGAGACAGAAACTGCCCTGTTTGCTGACTCGGTGCATTCCGCTTCGCAGATCGGCAACCAAGCGCCCTTGTTACCTGCCCTCCCGTGCCAGTGCGAAATCGGCTTGCAGTAGCGGCACGCCACCAACTGCTGAATTGCGCCCGCTGGAACAATGATCAAGGCGCCTCGAAGCCGCACAAAGGGGCCTGGACGAGCGTCATTGATGTCGCATATTCTTCGCTTCTTCAGTTCAAGGTCGCCCCCCAGGCCACATTCACTTCGCACTCCTTCGACCTGAAAGCATTGCTCTCGTCAGAATATCATCGACCGCGGCGTTCCCGGTTTTCTTTGCCCCGCCAAAAATACCGCACGCCACAGAGCAATGCAGTGACGTTCGTTCCTTGCGCCTGCATTACATTGTGGTCCGTGACTGACAGACTTGCTGTCAAACAGGGACTTACCGCGTTTGTTCCCTCCCAAATTCGCTTGGCCTCGCCCCCTGCTGTTGCTCGAAATCTTTCGGTCCAAGAATGGTGATCGACAGTTCGTTTTACCTCCGGCCAGTAGACCGCCGACCCTCTCGAAGGTCGCTACCGACATCGCCAGGCGTTTTGTCAGGATGCCAGTCAGGCAGCTTGCAGTCAAGGTGTATGAGCGCATATACACAAAAACCGGTGCCTCTGTTTCGAGAAATATCGCTTCGGTGACCTATTAAGTTCTGATCATTGCCCTTGGGAGGACGGAAGCTGCCGGCCTGGTGTCAGAATAAGCTCACCGCCTGAACCATGCTGAAGATCGACTAAGAACGGCCCGACCCGCTGTGGAGCACTGACGTACAGACCGCTGCTGCCCGGTGGGCGCTGGAACCGTCGCATGGCTCGGTCGCACGCTCCCACCAGCTCCTTTCTCCGATTGGAAGGGCAGGGACTACTGCAGAGTTGGACAACGACCGCGGAATGGCCGGCGAATTTCTTTCATGCAGCAAGGGTGGATAGGATTTGCTGGGGCAGCCGGGCAGACCACTGTTGAGGAACCAGGCCGCAGGGATAAGTGACCGTGGGGGCTGGTTCAGTGAAATTGCAGCTCTCACGGCACCGCGATTGACGATACAATGCCGACACGTCGAAGATGTGGACAGGCAGCGATCTGCTTACTACCGCCACTCAGTTCGAGGCCACAACTTCCTTCGCCAGTCAGCGTTCTGTCGGATGGCACCCTGGTTGCACAACTCAAGCCCTCGGAACACGGCGCACTCCCCATTTGCTGAAAGCGACGCAGCATATTTTGAGTTGGACCGCGGGAAGCACTCAGAAGAAATCGTAGGGCAGCAAAGACGTCTTCAACATTTGGTTTGGCCACCGGTGTGTTGGCGACGTATGGCTCTGGATGCTGTCAAATTCAGTGACACACAATGAATGGAGGATACCCAGGCCCGAGAGGGAAAAGAAAAAGCATTAACCCTTGGGGGCAGTTTGAGTTCACTGGCAGCTTGGAATGTACTTTGTTGCTTTTCAGTGCACTTGTTGGGGCATCTAAGGGGCTGGACCCACTTTCTGCCCGCTATGAACTTCGTATGCCAACCGCCTTATTACAAATTTCCCAAACCGGACAAGAGTTGGACTTGTTCAACTCCAAACCCACCTCGGTCTTGATATGCCATGACGAGTATTCAGTCGCTCTTAACCTCAGGACTGGTAATCAGAAATTTCATTGTCCACTCCTACATACACGAGACAGTGGATGGGCTAACAGCTGATCGGCTGACAATCGGATCGCCCACTCTCCACACCACCAGAGGCAAAACCTGCTCACAGATTCCATCAACCTGCTCCTGACAACCCAAGACCAGTTTGCCAGTACCACTGTGCTGTGACAGTTCTCATCCTTCAAGCCAAGATCTTGGTGTCAGATCATCACCCGAAGTTGACCCAATATCCGTCACTCTTGTCCACCATCGGTTGCTGTCTCCTCCGGTGCAGTCGGCTCTCCGGTCGGTGACTCCGCACTCGATTGCCCTTCATCAACAGTCAGCATGCCGTTGCTGCTCTGCGAGTGCGGTGCTGCAGCAGGCAAGAAACGCGGGCCGCTGTACGATGCTTGGTGGTCGAGCCACCCTTGGGTTATTTTGTCCCTAAAATCTCTTTCGGGCGGCGACTGGGACGGAGTCGAGCTCCTGGTTCCACCGTCAGTTGGCAAGACCAAAATGCTCTTGGTCAGGTGCGTTTCCTACGCTTCGGATACCGACTGATGAGTCGGCGTGCTCGGCCGGTCCGCGTCTCTGGGAAGATCAGAACTGCGTGTTTCGTCATCTGCCACGGAATTTGTGCCGTTGACCCTGAGGCAATTGCCGCCATCCAAGCTTTCAGGAGCGTCAAGTTGCGTGGGTCTGTTGTGGTTACTAGCAACACACCCTTTTGGATCCGGCTCGGTTGACATCCTCTCAGATGGCGATAGGCTCTGCACAAGCGATGGTATTCAAATGCTTGCGGACACTCTCATGCAGATGGATTGGGAGGAAAATACATCGCAGACCCAAAAGGGACGCAATATGACTACACGAGGATTTCCGGCGGTTGATATGGGAGGACATCACGGGCCGGAAAAGAGGGTGCACTTCTCGACCCTACACTGCCTGGCGTCATACAGTCGTCCTCACCGCCTCGAAAGGAAAAGAAATGAACGAGATAACACGGTTCGTAAGTGATGTGATTTGGTATTCCGACGACACATGCACTGTCCTTCTTCGACATGGGTCACGGGGACGACAATGGAGCCATGCGATGTAGCTGAACATCCCTTATCATGCCAGGATACCGCGTCACCTCTAGAGATGCTTTTGGTTGCCTTAAACAATGACAAAAGGACCGGTTCGACCCACACGGTGTTGGCTGACGTTCCCGGCTTCGGCTGGCCAACGTGAAAGGGGCATGTTCTATTATCTCACGTCGAACCATTGGTCCACGTTGACATCCCTGGCTAGGACCCGCTGGTTGTTGTTGAATTTGCGTCGCTACTGTTCAGACTCTCATGAAGGCGTTTTCGGTACTCAGCGGCCTCCGCACCTATGTGCGAGTCAAAAAGCAAGTTGCATATGCTGATGCCTCGCCCGCTAGCTTGCTGGTGATTGGGCCTTTGTTGGCATTGCTCCGTCGTTATTCATGCCCGAGACGCAGAACCCGCACATAGGCTTGCGCTTCAGAGACCGGGAAAGTTCTCCACATCTTCGATCGCTCGGCAATCTTGCACTCCACAATTTCAGTACCACTCATTGCCGATAGGTTAAGAGGCACCACACCCAGCCACCAACTGTTCTTAGAGAAGGGTGGCGCAGCGCCCTCTCCGGTGCTGATGCCCACGTCATTGGTGCCTTCAGACAAAATCACATAATCGTGACCAGACGAGAATGGAATGGGTGCCAATCGGTTGCTGGCCTCATGATTTTCTGATCCAGCCTGCTTGGCAAACATCACCCGGATATCACTCGGCCTTGTAAGATGAGAAACCGCTTCGACCGGTATGTGAAAGACTCCTTCGGTGAAGAAATAACGAAAAGGTAGGATTCAGTGTCGGGTGTCTGTTGCCTGGCCGGCAGCCCGTTACGGCAGCGGGTCCAAGTAGGTAAGTCAGGACCGCCGAGAGAACTTGGGTGAGCGCGCACCAGGCAAAAAGGCGCCAAAACGACTACGGGAGGAGGGGGAAGTCGCCCAGGCTGTCCCGGACGGGAAGGGCTTTCTGGGACTTGGGCGCCAAGGCATTGTTTCCGACCGCTCACCAAGCGTGGATGCCTCAGTGAAGGACTTCCAGAATCTTTTTTTTTTCGCAAAGTTCACGCCGTTACGCAAGTCGAATACCTACTTTTGCCGGGCGCGAAAAAGCATTTGAATTACATGGATTACTTTTCACGTGGTCCAGGAGATTGTTCGATCGTTTGTTGGCCACCCACTACACTTCTGGCTGTATCATGGGGCGATACTGGAACAACGTCATCTCTTTTTCGGGGGCATACTCGTTTCCCAGACGCAAGATACGGAGTGTGTACGGATCCGTACGTACGCAGTACTTGAATCCAACCTGGCGATTTTTGGCGATTACCTGCCATTTTGGCTCCACCTCGACCCCGGAGACCTGCAGCTGTGGAGATTAGACGGCTGCATTGTGTAGGCCATGCAGCTGCAGGTTTGGCTTCGCTCCAGCTCTGCGTCGAGAAACCCCACAGGGTACTGAGAATTGAGAAATCTTAGCAGATTCGTTGGCGTGGCGTCGTGTGCTAGGTATTGAGTAGGACTTCTCTTAACAGGACACTCTCCTCCGAGCTGGCGGTCATCTTAGCCTTCTCATTTCTATACGTAGGTGCCTCGGCAAAGAGCGGCTGACTGCCTGCATAGCGAAAAAGGCAAAGTCGGCTCCAGGTGGCGCAGACGTTTCAAACTTGGCAAGGGCAGGAGCAGAGAATTTTTTAAGCATCGCTGGTGAAGCCATAGATGTAAATTCCTGTACTGCCGGGGCATCCCGTACCCAGTCAAGCTGTCAAATCCCTGGGCTCTGCTCTCGGCACATTGCGTCCCTAACGTGTTCCTCCCGAGCACCTGGGTGATCCTACATGGTAGCGTACCGCAGGAGAGCAACCGGCATTAGTACCCTGCAGGTGGATGATCACGAGCTTAGCCATGTTCGGTGAAGTAGCCTATTGTCTCTTGCTTCCAGAACACGTCCCTTCTCACAGCAGGTGTAACTGCTGCGTCTTCCGGGATGACTCAAGGAAGCCACACAGCCCGGGCGGAGCACCGGCCGGCGGCTAGGTTGTGCTGACACAACAATCCAGACACTCTGCCGAGGGCTCAGCAGCCACCGGCCGATGAAATCCAATGCATGTACGGAGTTACTGGACATCTCAGATCGGACCGGATCAAGCGTGGGGGTCATTGGCTGGGGGTCATGCAATGCTTGGTTTCTTTGCCTGTTCTGGGTCGAGCGGTGCTGCGGAATTGACCAAAAATCATTGGCTGGGAGACCGCCACGGTTACACAACAGACAGGTTCCGTGCCTGGATTGCCCAACTCAACATCAACGGATTGGCGCTACACCCACAACCGGAGCGGAACCGGACGTGGATGGTGGAAGCATGGAGATGAGACTATGGCGTTGGTGGAGACTGAAAGTTATCAAACCGTTCTAACGTGTTGGTCCAGCGGTCCAACCGTAGTCGGACAAAGACTGCTCATGCGCCCGTTCACCATTTAGGGCTGCCAAACCGTTGAGGAGGCGTCAATTTCACTTCCCGGACTAACAGCCTGAAGCTGTTGCGTCAGAAGATGGTGTAGTTAACACCGGAGAAGAAGCGGTTGGCCATTAATTCCACTGTGCAAAACGTACCTGGTAACCTTGGCGATTCCAAGCTTCCTACCATCACGGGCTATAAAATCTAACAATGGCTCACCTCAGGACGGACTCGACCAACACACCTTGTGAAGCCGACATGCGACCTGTGAAGCACCTTGTGGTATCTCCAGGGAGGGCACATAGCTCCATCCCTATCTCTTTATATATATAACACTTTCCATTGAGCTCTACGCTATTGAAGTCAGTCTGATGGCGGCTCCCTCCAACCGCTCCCACACCGGCCGCCGAGGCCTAGGCGACCGCATACCAAAGCCAACTACCAAAATTAGATACTCTCCCGACCTTCAGCTCAGCGATGACCATCCCTGCGCGCCATCAACTCCTTTCCCAATCTTCACCCCGTCCAACGCCGGGCCCTGGTCGCGCAGGTTGCCGGCAACAGCCCAAGAACAGCCCGGCCATTTCCCCGCATGGGAGCATCCACCGATACAACGACAGCAGTACCTGACCTCTCCAACAACCCACGCCAACCATGGCACCTCCCACTCACAACTGAGCCGCCTTTCCTCTCGAATTTACGCCGTCCGGACCTCGGACCCGGCCGATTTCGCCGCCCCATGGGAGTCGTCCATAGTTCCCCTCCTAGCCGAGCTGCTCCGAAAGCACTGCAGCTGCGATTTCGCCGTCGATGTGCACAACTTCCCCGAGCGATCGAGTTCTGCCGTACCAAGGTTGATCTATATCACCCTATCCGGGGACGCTGACACCAGGGCGCTTGAACAGATTATCCGTGCCGAGCTGGAAATGGCCGTGCCAGAACGGTTTCACCCGGTCGCTCTCGAAATCTGGAGGGGCGAGGTGCGCAAGTCGCAATGGTGGTACGTCCCTCTCTTCCTCATCGAGCAGCCACTCCAATTTCGTGTTTTGGAGTGTCAGTGTGCGCAATTAATACACAAAATTGACACCGACCTCAGGGGCGACGCAGGCACGCGGGACATGGTGTGCCCTCCAAGGAACGTGGCGTACAGGGACACCCCCGTCATCGGCATGTCGATTGGCCCTACCCAAGTCCCCGATGCAGCGTCCTTGGGCGGTTTCGTCAACGTCCGATCCAACTTGTACGCCATGAGCGCGTTCCACCCCTTTGAGGACGCCTTCAAAGCCTACAAATTGGGCGTCATGCATCCGGCCGCCCCAGACATCCCCCTGATTGTGCCGTCGGATCCGAGTGCCAGGCCATATAGTATTGGAAGCGTGGCCAGGTGCGCGCCGCCCGGGACACTGCGGCCTTCGTTATCTTTCCAGGGAGGAAGGTTTGAAGAGCACTTGACCATGGTTGAAATGGACTGGTGTCTGATTGGGCCTGTGCCGAACGGGAAGAACATCGTTTCCGTGCCCAGTTTTCGGGCTGACCGGTGCGTTGCTGTGGAGAGCACGGCTGCTGTCGAGGGCAACACCGAAGTGTATGCCATGGCCAGGACTAGCGGATACTCGCTCGGTTTCACGTCTGACGTCCCTGGGTTGTTGGAAATCAGCGGCCAGCTAAGGAGAGAGTGGACTGTTCGGCAGTACTCACCTATCGGACAATCAGAGGACGATCGGACAAGCGGGCGTTGGCAGACTCTGAAGCAGTGGGTCACAAGCGGCATCGGTGTTGCGGGAGACTCGGGGGCATGGCTAATCCGGAGATCCGACAACGCTTTGATGGGGTTAGTATGGGGTCGCAACCACGACTGCGGCGACCCGTTGGAGCGGGTCCGACTCACCTACTTTACCCCGATTGTCGACATACTGGCCGACATCCGGGAGGAGTATGCCGAGGATCAAGATGTTTCGCTTCCAGTCTACTCCCAGGGAGACTTGGCGCGGGGTGTTGAAACCTGTGGTCCTCAAGAGATAATCGGATTCGATATGTCTTGTGACCCATGGAGCATGTATGCTCAGCAAGCGGTCCGGCGGCAGCAACAGGTCCAGGTTGATTTAATTCAGGGCCACTTTGTCGGTGACGGGGTGCCGTCGTCTTGGGTGATACTCCCACCACGACAAAGTGACGGAGGTCCCGCTCTCCCGAATACCCGCCCGAGGAGACGCCAGCAGCATGGAGCCCTGGGAAGTTCCATCCCGGCAGCAGATCCACTGACCACTCCTCCACAAGTCGACGGTGACGGCTTCCTTGCGGACCCGCATTCTCAGGACAAGCTTCTGCTGCGGGGAGTGGGCCTAAGTCCGGGCGTCGATATGCCACTGCCCGAGCTCACGACTGCAACCTCGATAGGAACCAGCTCCAGTATGGCCGACAAAAGCTCGGAAATGGCGTCGGCAGGCAACGGTGTCCGGATCGTTGGCGATCTTGACATTGACGAAGAGATTACCGATGTCGAGGCGCCTATCCAGGCCAAGGCGTCCTTTGCCCTGAAATATCCCGGGTCCTCGAGACTTGATCGGGTACCGGCACAAGTCGGTAGTCAACTGTGAAAAGATGGCCGATGAACGAATCGATATCATGTCATACTGAGCCGCATCAACCGCAAAGTCGACCACGGAATCCTTATCGAGTCTGACTTCTACACATACCATATGCTCTTGTGACTTTCACCGATCCGGTGGCTCGGGACAATGGTCGGGAAATGATGACGGCCGCAAATGCGCCAACGGAGCTGATCGTGGCCCTGAGATAACCGTTTGACATAGTACCGTGAGATTGCCAGTGCACCGAATCCCTCATGGACCGGGCAAGTTCGCTCAAATGGGGTTCGTCCACATATTGGTCGGCTCGACTTGGATCGGTGCGGCTGTTGCCTCGGAGGCCATGACGCAAGGCTTCCACATGACAACCTAATCCCAAACTCATTCCGCGGCAGGTGTGCGAGCAGGCTGGTCCAAATCGTGGAGGGGCATGCACAAGGCTGAGAACTTGGAGGCTGGGATTATGAGTTTCAGCCTGAGTCACCGCATGCCCGTCCGAGAACGGGCTGGTGACCCCCTGGAGGCCAGGGTGACCAGAGTCTCTGGTTAGTCCGCTGCTGCCGCGAGAAGGATGCTGGCCCGGTTTTTGAAGCACGTCGTCGTATGGGGTTTGGGTTACTGCAGCCTTGGTTGGGGCCTTGATTTGACCGAGCTGATTTGGCTGCACAAGACTGCTGCAGGATTATGCACGTGTCGGGCTGGAGATATGGGTATTCCTTGCGAATGAAGATGTAGGCAACGGTTCGGAAAGTGAGACGCCGTGCACCACGAACCGACGGTGTCCCAATGATCTGGAAGATGACCCAAGGTCAGAATTCACCGTTGTGTAACATTTCGACTCGAGACTCACCGAGAACTTCGTCATGAAATGCATGCATAGCCGCCCAATCTGCCGCAGCTACCCGGTGCTAACGACATGATTCTGGGTAGACAGGTGCAACCGATAGGGCTGACGGCGCTTGAGGTGGCCATAGAATATGTCGCACAGGAGGGTACGCTGAAAGAGAACAGGAGTTTAACTTACACCTAAGCCGTGAGAAAAACGCGAGTCTGAGCATCTGGTATGCGCGAAGGTTGCAGCCAGTAAGCACTTGATGAAATGCATCAGAGCAGTTTCCGATCCAGATCTTGGCAAGGCAACCAAATGTGACCCAAACGCCGGGAGCCGGAGCAGTCCTCCCAACCGTCCTGATTCAATTAGAGGCTTTAAATCATGCGCAAGAGGACAGGGATTCCCTCTATGCAGCATCTTGACCGATAATCCAACTTTCTAGAAATGCGAGGGTGGAAGGTGGGCAATAAGTCAACCATCCGCATGTGCAGGATGGGGGCACAGCCAGCCCCGCCGGATTCGACGATCCCCGATCTCGCCATCGGCGTTCCCCAGCAAGCCCAACCACTGATTTCGACCGCGTCAAAAACCAGGCGTTAAGCGGCCGCCGCTGCTGGTGACGGGGGATGCTCGGTAAAGGCAGACATCCGCCCAACCGAAGAGTCCGTGATGGTACGGGAGATCCGAGTACCAAGTGGGTACGGCGTGGTGGGCAAGCTGCAAGGTAGGTTATCAGGTAAGGTATTCATTAACTTACTGTGTAAACAAACCCCTTAATCAACACGCCTGGGTGGCCGAGTTAAGCGACAATACCATCCCAGCCCGTTATTCAGGGGAAATGACTGTGATACCTATGGATCCAGTACGCAGTAACAGATATCCAGCAGACATCACTGATAGAGATGGCGCCGACACTGGGGAGTTCCGAGTCCAAAAAAAAACATTGCAATATTTCGTGCTTTTGCTTCTCATTGGCCATCTAGGAGCATTCAAGACCCCGGGATTCGGACCCCCAAAACACAGTTCAAGGACACCCAATTCCATTCTCACGCACATTTCAGCCGCATGGTGCCTCGTGGGGGCGATGCCTATCTCCCTAAACCTCGTTGCACCCAACACCAAGCTCCGTCGTCACCGATCATGAAATTCGACATGATAGGTATCATAAATAAGCGCCACCTCCGCTGTGGCGGAAGCCTCAAAATTGACCACGCCCAAGCTCTCCCACCCATACTGATCCAAGACTTGCACGTGTCTCGGAGAAGTGGTCTCATTCGAATACAGAGTGGCCTCACGAATCTCCCGTGGGGGCCAGAACTAGAAGGCGTGAAAGCCATCTGGTGCTTCACCGGCGATGTCATTGTCCTTGAAAATGGGACTTTCAATGGTTGAATCGCAATCCACGCCACTATGTGAACATCTCCAATCACCCAGTCACCCAGTCCTGTCTTCAGTAAAACCAGGCGCAGTTCTCCTTGCGAATCAGGGCTCTACAACATGGAAGCAGGGAACTGAGCACCAGTACCTTGTCGCGAAGGCGGAAAAGGACCACAGTCGGGGGAGGGATTTCACAAGCACCAGACATGGCTTCAGAGCACGAAGAACCCAAATCCATTACGGGAAATTTTGAGCGGGAAACGTATCACCGGCCAGGCCTTGACCACCACACACTGATGTTGGGTATCATTATTGCATCAGTACCTTGATCATGTCCATTAGATCATTAGAAGCGAGCCCACAAAGTATCTAGAGCCAGGCTAACTCCATCTGGCCTATAGAATGCCTCATACCGGGTAGCACAAGCTCCCAGTGTATATGGATATGCCTACAGGTACCTACCTTACATGCCTTGGTAACTCTGCCGTCTCTGAGATTGCAAACCCCTTATCCTACGAGTACCTTGACTACAGCCAAGTCTCACTCAAACTATACACTCAACTACCGATGTAGAGCTCTACTAACGTGCCCTGAAAATCTATTGACGACTAGGTAACCTAGTAAAATCAAATCCGGCTTACGGTTTTGTGGAGACGTCGATTCCGAGGATCAAAGACCATCGTATAATTTCATCCATGACTCCATCATGATCCGGCCGTTGCAATGGGTCAAGGCTGTCTGAATCCTGTTTCTAGCAGACACCTGCACATTCAACTGTCAGCATATTGACTCGAGATGATGTCTTGAGCTTGTCGTTGGGCTTGGATCACTTCTGTGACGTACCGTGACCGCAATCCGAGCCGGCGTTCGTGTGAATTGTCGAGACAGGGGGGCTTTCGCGGGAGGCTCGATTTCGGCTCGAGATCGTGCCCTTCTTCCGTTTATTGGCGCGAAGAGGGCGGCCTGGCGGGAGAAACAATTCAGTGCGGAGTCTGACATTCCTGACAGAACAAGGAGAACCCCTTTCCAGCACACCCAGCCACGTCTCTCCATAGAACACTGCCAGTGGGAGATGCCTCAGTTTGCAATCACCACGACTCGGTTCCAATCTCGGCTCCCTTCGTTTTCTGCATTCGTGGAGCACACATCACCATCTCGTCGACAAACGTAGTTCATGCAGCGACGCCCGCATCAGGAAGCTCCTCAAAATCTACAATCTCCCCCGGAGTAATAGGGATCTGACCGGGCATCTCCAGATCCAGGTCCACCTCATACTCAGGGCTCACTCCAAATCGCTTCGCTTCCTTGTCAAACCTCAACCATTTGCCACCCTCCCTCTCCGCGATGCGGCAGCCCAGCCAAACCACTCGTCCCCTCCTTTCCTCCGTCATGCTGGCCAATTCAAAGTATTTCTCATCGTCGTCAATCCTCTCTTCAGTGACAAACCACCCGTCAGGGAGGTACTTCTCTACCCAGGGAAAGCCCCGCATGGCAAAGTCATCCGGCAGAGGCCTCCTCCTCGGCCCGGCGCGTTCGCCCCCCTCCTTTACGTCTTTGCCTTCCTCCACAGCCCCTGGAAACCAATCACTCTCCAAGAGCCTAGCCAGACCGTTACCCGGCGAAACGTTTTCAAATGAAGAAGACCCGTTCAACAACGTATTAAGCATGGAAGCCGTGAGCTTCCATGGAAAGTGAGTTGCCAGATAAGCCATGGCGTCAGGACAGAACGTCAAGTGGTGGACAAAAACGAGGGTAACGTGTAGAAAAGGAAGGATGTTGGGGTCACCAAAGCGGCGGCAGACGACGTCGTAAGTGCTAGTGAAGAGGCGGATGGCGTTGGGAAGCTGGTTGGTGCTGTTCGGGCCGGCAGTCGTAGCGTTGGGCGACGGAGCTTCAGATGTGGAAGTGACTTCTTGCATCGGGTGGTCTTGGGATTCCGTAGGCTTGAGGTGTTCCCTGGAGAAAGCTATAAGGGCTGCGGTGATGGGGTTGGCTTGATCTCCATATCCGGTCAGAGCGCAAACGTTGGAGATGCCCATGTGATATCTGGTGCATCAAGTTAATGTTTGAGTCTAAGAAGCCGCTTCAAAATCACGTACCCCGATTCAAGCCATCGGCGAGTGGAGCGACCGATGTGGTTGTCGAGCAGCTTGAGGAAGGTACCCATTGTACTCTCCAGCTCCTCCAGTTGCTTTCCCGTGAATAGGATGCTATGGGTCTTCACAAAGTTCAGCTCGGTTGGTCCGAGTCTGGCCTGTTGGGGGTTCGGAGTGCGGGACATGATGGGTTCGAACAGAGTCAAGATGCTCTCCCGTGTAGACAGGAACGGCATGTCTACACACAGGGATTTCGAGTAGTAGTAGAGTTGCTGCAATGCGTTCGGGCGAGCAAGGATAGCCAGGTGATGGTAGAGCCTGCCTGTAGTCGGAGACTTGTCAGATGCTAGAGAATACCAATGGCGGCTGACGGCGGTCCAGACTTCTCGGTCGCGGATATCGTCGTCTTCGATTGCCATTCGGTACCGCCCTAGATCACCCAAGCACTCAATCCATGTGTCCTCAAAAGCAGGCACCGTCTCATAGAGCAGTGCCATCATGGAGTATGCCATATAGATGAAGGTGAGCATGTGATCCAGGCTGGCCGGTAGGCGATGTCTCAGGAGCTCCAGGAAACTGTGGATGCCGTGTCGCCACATGCGGGCCGGCATAGCGTATTTGGCAGCCAATCTCCTCAATGCCGGGCTTGCTGAGGGATGCTGGGAGGCCAAGAAGAAGTCGTGGTGCTCGTGAAGGAGGGTGCGGTGAAGCGCAATGAGGGCCTGCCACTGATCGTTGTTGAGCTTGTTGGCGGGGTCCGTTTGCGAGCTCTGGTTGTTGTCGACTTCGATGCATTTGCTCTCAACCATGACCAGCCCGGCGTAGATGCCCTTGACTTCAGCCACCAACTGCTCCTGCGAGATGGGGCGGGTTTCTGGTTGCTTGAGGATCTCTGTTGAGTCGTTGTCCGCATGCGGCAAAGCTGAGAGATGGGCGGGGGACCGGGCTGAGGCAAAGGACATTTGGCGATGTGACTTGGAGAGCGAGCCCGATGGCGGACGTTGGCGCTGGGGGTAGGTGGCGACCTTGGACTTGAAAGCGCGGGGACGAGGGACAGCAGTGTCGTCTTCCGGGTCCCACAGCCGTCCCTTCTGATAGGACCCTCTGGCGAACTCCTGGGTGTCCTCTGGGCTCCTTGCTTTAGACCGCTTGGGTGGTGACACAGAGCGAGACCTGGAGCCGTCCCTCTTGAAGCTGGGGGTGGGGCTTTTACTCTTGCCCTTGCTCTTCCGATTCTCGAGAGCTGCCGCCGAAGAGACCGGCCCGACGGGGTTCCTTCGGCGGGGAGGGGACGGCTGAACACCCTCACCGATGCCAGCCGTTGGGAGCCTTCCAATGGCATCGGGGCCGGAATTGCCAGGCTTAGCCTCCCTGGTCCGCGTTAGCATCGACGTGCCAGACAGAAAATGCAGAGGCGGCCACTTGATCGAACCTTTCGCCTGACAGCGCAGCCTCCCACTGAAGCCGAATTTCCGCCGTTTTTTCCGCCTCGGTTCCTTTTTCATTAAGAACCTGAGCATGCGAGTCTTGCCAGTGTTTCTCAAAGACCGGGAAGGCAGCTTCACTGCTGCTACCATTGTGAGCAGTTTCGGGCGTGGGAATCCCGCAACCACACAGAGGACACTGGATGTCAGTTTTCTTCCGCGACGCTCGTCGAAGATGCTCGTTCCACCGTTTTGAAAAGTCCATTGCTCGCGGATCGGTTTGAGCGTATGTCGCCGAATGACGGCCAGACTGTGTTCTGGAGAACTAGCGTGATGTACGGTGAAATGCCATTCAGTACCGTTCAAAGTTGAAGTGTGCCTGCAATGCGCCGATGCCGCCAAGCCGATCGGGAGGTTCCGAGCGGGGTGATCGAACCTTGCAACCAATTGATCGTTTTTACCACACGTAAGCACGCGAGTGAGGACGACAGTTTGACCTCATTAACTTAGGAAATTCTAATCTTCAAAGTGATCGAATAATATATTCTTGCAACGACAGACTGGTTCGCGCACCAGTATACAATAAAATGTTGAACATGGCCATTGCCCGGGTGCTAGGGGGGAGGTACGTACCCCCACCTTAAAGCGGGGGTTGGCTGCGAGGCTGTCGCCTTTTTGAGTCTGTGCTTGGTTCGCGAACCACCTGCAAAAGATGCACCAATGCCCCACCGTATTCTCAGCCGCATTCTGACGGGTTCCAATGCCATGGTACACGACCTGTCCTGAAAATAAGTACCTTGGGGCTCGCTGGATCTCAAATCCTTTCTTCGCGGCTTGGCGAGACATCGCACACCTCTCCAGTGCCAGCTTCTGATATGTACCTAACCAACAGGTTTGGCATCGAGATTGCAACACTTTCACCGAGAGAGGCATCTCTCTTCCGCCCGGCCTCTCCTAGAAAGGCTCGGATGCGGCGCACAATGTGCAACCAACCTGACGTACAAGCCCTGGGCTGACCTTTCACGTACTCCTCCGGCGTCTTGCAAATTCGCACTCCGGGAGTGTATTCGGGCGATCTTGTCTTTCAGCACCCTCTACCTGCAATCGCACAGCACTCCGAATCTGAATTTGGCTTTGTCCATATTTCCTGTCCTCAACAGACGAGGATGCCTTTCAAGCGTTGCCACATCGCAGTCCGCCTTCAACCGCGGTCGCACAGGGCCTTCGTCATCTTCAGCACACCGAAATCCTGCGCTGGGCCCGTAAAGCTGCCTAAGAATCCGATGCTCACCTCAGGTTGAAATGTACACGGCTGATGCACAACAAGGCCGGGCTTCGATCTTGGGTTTTCCCACCACGTTTCCGCATATTGGCCCCATCCCACATAAACTCTGTCTCTCTTTTTCAGCGGTTGCCGCACAAATGCGACACTGGAACGGGCCAATGTGCTGTTCTTACAAGCTGCAAGCTCCAGCTCTCGTTTGTCGGCTCAGCTGATCACTCCGCGGCTCAGCGCGCGTGGCAAGTGGCAACACCTCCGGTGATTCGCTTTCTTACCCTGAAGCCAACGAGCTGAGAGAGAAAGCATGCTGGACTCCATGCCCTGATTAGCAGGGGATTTCGACGCAGCAACATCTCTATTTGCCGCCCCACGCTTCTGTTTGGCCGCGACATACAACCCTCAGCTGTCATCGCCGGTGCCACCATGGCTCACGACTGGTTCCTCATCGGATTTGTCCTCGGCAAGCGTTACTCATTGAGGAAAGCTGCGAGCATCTTCCTCAGCGATCATTTCCGAGCAGCGGCACTGCGGCTTGGCGGCGATACTAACCCAGTGGTTGGATGCTGACAGTATTCCCAGTGTCTCTCGTAAACCGTCCCAGTGAGGACGAAGAAAGCAAACCGCAGCCAGCACGACTCCGAAGAAACTTCCCCATCGAGACCGAACAGTCGACCGCACTTTCCCGTCCCACAATGAGCCGTCGGGCCGCCACCAAAGAGGCGAATGTTGCCTTCTTTTTACCGCGGCTGTTTCACGCGGATTCGCGGAAACTTGAGAGTGATGAAAGTTCCCGGACTGGGAGACAAGCAATAGGAGGTTAGGGACACAATCGAGACACGGCACTGGATGCACCGGGGCGTGACGGGAGCCACTGGCAAGAAAGGGCTCTGGATCGAGACGTTGGCCGCCGACTACAATCATTGGAGCCTCGCAGTTTTGGAGCTTCCTGGACGAGTCGGACCCGATTCGTGTTGATCTGGTTATGGCCCATCGCTTCAGCAATGGCGAAGAATTAGGCTCGACTGTGCACAACAACACTCACCGAGTGTTGCCCTCCGGACACGGAGACGAGGGCGAAGATCTCAGGCGCAGGTGACCGGCCGTCGACGGTGCCAGATGGGTTCGTAAGGCATCGACGTACCCACATCCTGTCTGACAGGCGCCGTTGTGGTGGTCAGCCATGGTAGATGGCGAAAGGCAAAAGCGAGTCTGGATACGAGTGGTGACACATATGCGATGCTCGTTTTGGCCGAATCCAACGACATTCTCCGTTGATCGCTCCACCATGCTGAATATATGTTGGGAAGGCTGATGACTCTGATGAGCGTCAACTTCCCGTCCAATGGTTTGGACTGATCGTGAGGACACCAGTGAGGTTGAACGACTCCCAATACACGCACAGCCTGTGGACGGCTATACCCTCAGGCTACTGGCCAGAGATGGGAAGGCATGGGTGCTGTGAGGACAAAGGCGCATTCACCGAGATCCGGGTGATTCGCAGGAAGTGCTGAAGAAGCCTGGACTCCATGAGCTGTAGGACTGGTCGTCCATTTCTGTCCCAAAACAGGTTTTCCATGGTGTCGCGGCAGGCGAACACCAAGCGCTGGGTCACATCCCACCAATGGCCACCACTGTTTACACTTAGTCGTCGATACAGTACCGGGACGTGTGTTTGTTTACAACTTAAAAGGGCGACGAGAGTCGCCACACGAAGGAGTCCTCTCGAGCAACTGAGGACCTAGTGCCTATGCAACGCCATACCAGTGTGGCTGGTGTTGACACTATGGTTGCCTGCGTTCGCTGTACGGCATATCTTGCCTCGACCGAAAGCCTGCGGCACTTGACAAGGCTGAAGTGGTGTGGACAGCTTGCTTCAATCCAGCCAGTAATAGGCGTCGAGGGGCTTGCCTTGTCGGACTCTAAGCTCCGCCAGAGGTCTGGGTCACTACAGCTTGGTAGGCGGCAGATGAGGCTAACCCGTGCCGTGCCGATGCATGTCTCGCTCTGCCGGAGTCATACTGGGCAAACAGTTGCCCGTGCCAGTTGCAGCCTTGTGCGCCTCAGCGAACCACCATTTTCTGCCTGCAGTGATTTGTCTTCGAATGCCCATTCCGTGGGACAAGCAGCATTGCGGTATGGTTGGCATGGTCAAAGCCTCGAGGGGGTGCACTGAGTTCACTACTGCCTTAACTGGGATGCGATTGCAGGCCAGAAGGCAGAAAGTGCGTCTTTAGATTCATCCCTGCTGGTCGAGCTCCGGATTGACACTCGACTAGCCGCCAAAGGGAGGTATCAATGACAGACAGCCCAGACTCCTGAAAGAGCAGCCGCCCGGGCTCTTGGCCGGCCAGCTCCCGGCTTATTGGTGGTTGACTTCGCCAACGCATACCTTACCAAAGACTTGATGGCCCGGAATGTCCCACTGGGGCTGCAGACGGGCGACGACAGATCCCCGACATCCTTGACAGCGCAGTTGTTACCGAACCCCGGCAGGATTGAATGCGCTGGGCCCCGGCTCGTGCACTCGCCCCTCAAACGCCGTTCGGGTGAATGTACGGCCAACCTCCCCTTGCATCCGCGCGCTTGGGCATTGACTTGGGCTTGACCTGGTATGCCTATCTGCGCCGGACCGAGCCCTTGTCGTCCCCGGCGGAGCATTTGTTCCCACTCTGCGAAGGGCCCTCGGGGCTTACTGGTTCGATGGATGCAGTTCTCCTGCACAGCCAGCTTCTGCCGTCTTACACGAACTTCGCGTGGAACTAGTGGCATTGGACATGAAGCTATATCTGCAAGCATACCCGCACCTAGCTGCTTGGCCACAACAGCGGTCTTTAAATGCACCCAGGTATAGTCGGGACCCATCTTGGGCATTGTTCTCTGTAGATAGGTAATGCCTTAGACCCTGCCGCAGCCTTGATGCCTATAGCCTCACCCAACATAGATTGTGTTGTGGCATAGTGATAGGCCCGTTTCACATCAGAAGTTCAAAGCCGTCAGTGGTGGAGCGGCTGGGATTCAAGCTTCGGCTGGATGCCTTGACAACCGCCTCATACCTGGGCTTTCATGCCAGGCAGAAGGAGAAGGGGTTGTATTGTTTTGGCAAACACTGCCAACAACACAGCTGTCATCAAACAGCCCAGAAGCTGACCTGGAGGTTCGTGAGACCTTCAAACTGAAACTGGATGCGCGGTGGATCTCGTCCCATCTCGAAGCCTGCATAACCCTTTCACAACATATTTCGGAGTACGATGCCTCCCGCAAATCTGTAACCTGCCCGTGGCTTTCACATTCGTTGTTTAGTCACACTCAATTCTCGCGGTTCTTCTGTTCTTGGCATCGTGCAGCACTTTCGTCCAACTTCGGCTACTGACTCTGAAATACAAATTATGCCTACAACATGAAAATACGAAAATGTTATGTTTCATCCGATGTGAAGCTCACCTATCATGGTGGGATGTTAGGATAGCCGCAGCAATCCAAAACAATTTGAGTGATTGATCAGGTCTCATTCAAGTCATGCCCGCCGAGTGCAGTATGGCGCGAAACTAGTGGAAACCTGATGCGCCCAACATCCCCGCATTTCATGCCTTACTGTGATAAACTTTCACTGTCCGGCCCGCGATTTTTGCTACCATACCAGGGGTCGATCTTAGTACGGCGGTTGACGGATAGACGGTCCCGATCCGGCCCCGAAGTCCGGGAACAGTAAGTTTGTCTTACCCCATTGCAGCCTTGCAGGGGATCAGCCCTGTCCCGGCTAACCGTGGGCCAATCTGTGCGGAACGAACCGGCTAGGCAACCAGGTGCCTGGTTGCCTGCCGCAGAGCCGGTGGTTTTGCATCCACACGGTAGGTGAGAGTACCTCCATACGAATTAGTGAAGCTGTTTGAGGCTGTTTCATTCTTTCTTCCATTCTCCGGCTATACCGGGAGGGGTTTCGGCTGCGTTCCATTTACATCCCAATGGCGACGGTGCCAACCTAATTCGGTCCTTCCCCAACTCAGACATCCATTTGTTGGCCAAATTCTACTCACCAACTCCGGGCTCAACCGCGCGGTATCCAAAACGGCGATTTAGAGAAGTGAGATGGCCAATGCCTACGAGGCTAAGGACCTGGCTCGAAGAGCCAAAGAATGCAAGGCTAGGAAACGGGCAAACTGCTTGTACATAGGCAGAAGTATACTTGTAGAGGCACGTGTCTCGGCCAAGATCCGGTTGCCTTGGCTTGACTGGCCGAGACGCTTCGGATTGTCCAAAACCACTATCATTAGTCGATTCGCTTCATATTTCGTGAGGGGCTAGTGGCTGCGTTCCCGGTAAGTCGCGGCATATTGGATCTGATTCTTCCTAGATCACTTCCACACTTCCAACTCGTCGCAGAGTGCGGCACGTTCGCCTTCTGCTGACCGAAGACGACGAAGTGGTTGATATCAGGCCACTTTGCCTGGCCGCCGCGCGTTTGCCTGTTTGCCCGGAGTTGTAGTTCCAACTGGCGAGTTACCTAAGCTATTCGTCCTTATGCACATGTCAGCGAGGCAGTGCTACCAGGCAGATGACGACTGCGGCCGTTATTGCAGTAAGGTAACCCGAGGAGAACCGAGTCTGGACGCATGTGATAACACAAACGAGCCTTGCCTTGCGGACGGCTGATCAGTCCGTGCTGTGTGTGATGTTTAGGGTACCTGTAGGTATGTAGTTCACTACCAGGTACTGGCCCATCAGGTTTAGTGGGTCACGAACTCCTTGGCTGGCATGTTCACTAGGAAGCGTCCTTGCAGCGTGTGCCCTGGCTGCTGTCATACACTGAGGTAGGTAACCCAGACCTTCCCTTCCAGTGGTCAACTTCACATATGACCCAGTTCGTCCAAGAGGAACGAAATTGTCCGTTGACGTATCTAGAGAGACAAGTACCCCTGAGTACCCAGCTGCTCATGCTGCTACCACGTTGCTGAGCTACTTTTGCAATGTAGTTGAGGGTCCTTTGCCTAAGAGGCTCCTGTTTCAGTACCAATTCTTGGGGACCGACTACGTTCCCCGCGTGTCTATGTAACGGCACACAACGTGCAGCCATACCGTTGCGCCATATTCCTAGAAAAGGGTACAAATGATTCAATCCGACAGATTGAATCACTGGCTGCACTATGAAGCTGTAATAACTGGCACCTGTCGCTGGGCGTTGCCGACCCGACCAGCCGTGCCGTTACAGTCTATATGCCAAAGTGGCTATCGGAACGCCTAATAGCCCTCGGAATATCTTGCTAATATCGGGCTAACCGGGTTTACGCGTCAGCATAGTTGTTGGAAAGCCAACAGCCACGAATGTGCCGCACCGTAGTACTTGGGTATCAAAAAGATGGGCAACCACTCAATTGAAGATGATGTTCCTGTCTGTGTTCTTCCAGAAGTTGCCTGCCTGTTCCTGATCCTGAGAATCCTGGTGCCAAGCCATTGGTCACCCCTGAACTGCCCTCTCTGACCACCTGCCAAATCCAACAGGTATAGGGGAGACAGAAGTTTTTAGTCTAGCCTTGCAGGCATAGTTTTTCTTTGTAATTAGTAGTAGAGAGTCTGGCGAGCCCTAGAGCATAGCGGTGTAAGAATAATAATGATTACAGTTAATAAAAAGAATATATATGTATAACTTATATGAGTACTTACATGGTGCTCTGATCTACCGCTACGGAGGCTGTGGGAACAGCGAGAAATTCGGTCACATAGGGACTTACAAACCGTACTACGAGGAGTAGGTGCCCGGAGTACTAGGCTTGTTCGGAAAGTCCTTGGCTGGCTGATGGGCTCTAACCGGCTGCTGGAATATAGCCTAGCTAGAAGGCTAGAGCTAGAAACAGCAGAGGCTAGAAGGCTCCGGAGGCTGGTAAAGGGCCTCCTTTCTTTTGTAGTATGTTGGATCCATATATCGTGGCTACAAAGTGAAGGACAGAGGTTTTATCCGACCTATACGGTACGGTTTCCTTTGTATATAGCAGTAGAGGTACCGGCGCGCCTGCGGGCATATCGGCGTAGGAAATAGTAATATATGAGTCTTGATGGATCGCTCTACGCGGTTCGCCGTTATGCCGATGCTTCGCGGTCGTCGGACCATATTGCTCTTTTGGATGCTAGCCAGGAGCTGTCCGGTTAGATCAAGGTCATCCACAATGAAGTATGCTCAGAAGAGAGAAAGGATTGAGGTTTCGCGTGTGATCTATCAAGTCAAACAAGCAAGACGGAAAAAGGACGAAGAACGGATTGACGAGGACAACTGAAGGGAAAAGGATCGAAATTAACGAAAACATTTCCTCCCCGAAGGCGAAGTTACATACTTTCGGGAGAAGGGCTTGTTGTCCGGTCGACAACATGAACGATGGGAGCTTGTGTGCTTCGAAGATGGAAGGGTAGAAAGAAGCGGAAGTAATCCCGAGCATCTTCTTGAAAGAGCGCAGGATGCGGTCTGATGGGAGGAGAAGAAGAAAAGGTTCAAATAAAAGTCCTCTCGACTTGGGTTGGCAATTCAGATTGTTCCTGTACTTGCAGGCGTCTATGTCAGGTGGAAGTGGATAGTCTCTCACACCGTCGAGAACCCGACCTCGCGATAAACAAGGCCGTGGAATTGAATGTTCATGGGAAATGCGATGGGCCAGAGGTTGGGATCAAAGGAATGGAAGTCTCCAGGTTTCGATTGAAGTCTTTCCAGGTTGCAAAGAATTTGGAGGTCGGTACCAGGCAGCAACCTGCTTTTGCTTCAAGTTTGCAACAAGATATCGAACTCAGGTAGCTTCCATCGCTCCTTCCCTTCATAATGAAAAAAGACGAATAAACGTGTAAAAAAGCTCTGCAGCCGTCTTTAAGTTGGGATATCCTTATCATCAGACCTGAAAACCAGTGGAATCAAGACAAAAAGTCAGCACTGAGCTTCTCACAAGATTGCAGGGATACTTGATTCCCCAGAGATTCTTCAACTTCCGAGTTTGACTGAGCTGGTCTACCTGGAATTTCGAAAAGGTGAAGAACGAAACGTAATGGCTAAACTGGAACAACCCGGAATTGCTCGGTGAACAAAACAGATACCAAACTTTCCAGTCAGCTTCAGGTGACAGGTTGACGCTGGTGATGTGAACAAGCACAGTTCATCATTTGAAACGCTGCAAGCAACGGGCAGAGCGACGTTGCCGGCGACGATGGAATTTCCACTACCTCACACTGCAAAAGAGAGGAATCTTCCCTAAGGGAACCGTGCTTGTACGGGGTCCATCATATTGCGGACTCTCGCCCTCGGTCAAGCAGATCGAAGATTCCGGCCACAAGTGTATGTGCGTTGTTCGTTCAGGGGCTTGTTTATCGTATGTTCCAGCTCTCAGCCACATAGCTCCCAGAGCAACCATTCCCACAAGGACCTTACCCCACACCAACCCTATCGAGATCCACCTCGTAAGCCCACAAGACGCCCACCACAGCACCCCCATCAACCGCGGAAGAACAATCTTTATATTCAACGCACAATCCTCTGTGGCGCAATTGGCTAGCGCGTCTGACTGTTAATCAGGAGGTTGGAAGTTCGAGCCTTCCCGGAGGAGTCGATGTTGATAGGGTTGGGGGTATCATACGGGGTTTCCCCTAGTTTTTTGTGTTCAAACATTTCCTTGTGCCTCAAGCGCGGAAAGCATGCCCTCGCCCATCCAAGGCCCACAAACGAAATGAGGGACAGGATTTGGGGACTCAATCATCCGTCTGCTCCTTCGACTAACCATCAAGGCGCAGGAAACATAGTCTATCACCTCGGCGAGTCTTCCTTAGGATAAATAGCTTAGGACAGGAACAGTCAACAGACAACCGCTCTAGGAAACCCACCCCCAGCATCACCTCTTCAAGCCATTCCCGTTTTCCATCATTCCAGCTCGTAGGTATCCAATCTGACTAAAAGATACTCTCCAAGCCGTCCCAGACCCCGCCCTCCCCGTTCGGCCCAGCCTTCTCTCTCCTCTTCCAATACTCCCCATTAAACTTCCAGTACATCTCGCCCGTGACCTCGCACTTGGCCCTGGTAAACCACGCGGGGACAAACTCCTTGCCCCTGGCCTCCCTCGCCCTCCTCCTCGCCCGCTGCGCCTCCTCAAGCCGATTTTTCTCCGTCGCGGCAAAGTCATACTCGCCTTCCTCCATCGCCCTCTGGTCCGGTCGGAACCGTGAGTCGGTCGGCGCCAGCCACGGGCGGAGTTGATCGTCAATGTGGTTGAACGTGAGGACAAACGGTGTCAGGTTGAACGGGATGCCCTGCGGCCGCGGGTTGGCCTGCCAGATAAGGTAGGCCTTGCTCGGGTCCGTGATGCTGCCGCTGTGGATCGAATCGTCGGCCGTCCCCGCGGCAGGCTCGTCCACGGTGGTTTCGTACCCGGGCGTGAGGCGGGCGTAGAGCCTAGAGTTCCAGCGTCCGCCGAGACTGAATCGCACGCGGCCGTTGGCGTCTACCACCTTGCCCGTGATGATGTACGCGCTTGACGCCTTCCAGCCGCGCGGCTTGAACTCGATGTGGCACACTTCGCCGGTTGTCCAGTTTTTAATTTCCATGGGGCCGTAGTTGTCGACGACGGGATTGCCCGTGATGATGCCGACAACGGAGGAAGTGACCTTTTTCCACGTGTAAAAGTCCTCTTTCCCGCCGTGGGTTGGCCGGAGCCTGAGGAACCAAGTGCCGAGCGGATTGATATCGAAGGAACGACCGTAGAACTTAGACTTGACGGCAGACTCGCCATAGTACGTCCACTTAGGTGACTCAGCCCACGCCGCGCCGATTGGCGGGTGATGGCTGACCTGTTCAATGAAGAAGCGGTAGTTTTTGTCTGGCCGAACGTACTCAAACGTCTCGCCGAGCAAGGGATTGAAGGGTTTGGCAACACGTCCAATGGTGGATGCGTACTCGCTAGCAGCAAAGGCCGCAACGTAGAGCAGCCGTTCAATGGAGTCCGTGCGGTCGGCGGCAAGGTCCAAAAGATCGGCATACTCCATGTCCTCGCCGCAGCGATACAGAAGAGAGGTGGGTTCGTTGAAAGACACCGGAAGTGTCATCTTCGTCATGTCCTTTCCGACCATGGACTTGAGGATGCCCTGGAAAAGAGTAAGTGAAGAAGACTACACGCCGGATTCGCGCGGACTTACCCAAAGCGAGATCTTTGGCCGGTTGTCTGCGTCCATCTTCAACCGCGTGCGGATTCCGTTCTCGTATCCTTTAAAGGAACTGCTGATGTCGTAGGCATCGGAAATGACCAGTTGCTTCTGTTCTTGGGACATGGCAAGCTCTGATGGAGGTAACTGAGAGACTTCGACCTCACCGGCATCGACTGCATCGAAGAACTCCTCTTCATCAGATTCGGAGTCTGAGATGTCGGCAATTTGAGACATCACCGTCTTTCTCCTCGATAGGCTCATGGTAGGTGACTTGGCTCCCATAGACTCGGCCGCGGTCTCCTTCTCTGCTGTCTCTTGGACGGCAGATTCCTCTGGCCGAGTTGCCGAGAGGGGCACTTGGTTGCTTTCAAGAATGCCATTCTCGACGACTTCTTTGAGGATACGCTTCGTCATCCTCCGCTTCAGTTCAGCCTCGCCAACGCGGGCCTCGAGGGCCTCCTGCTCCTTAGCAACCTGTGCCATGCTCTCCTCCCACATGCGCCGCATCTCAGACTCGCGGTCTAGGCGATACTGCCAGTACGCGTCGCGATCTTTCGAGATTCGGAGGAGATCACCGATAAGACCAGTAAGCGAGCGGATGGCGGCGTCATACGTAGCTAGAGCTTGAGACGTCTTGGTGTCGGACAGAGTGAGAGCCGGGTTCTTGGTCGCCTCAAGGAGAAGCGCCGATGTGACACTGGCCATGGATTCAAGCTGCAACTTGGCCGACTGAGCTGTGATGTTGAAGGCGTCTTTGTTGGCGGGCGGTGCATCGTGCCCACTGGAGCCCTCGCCGAACTCGTCGTCCTCATCAGCTTCGTCAGCAACAGTACCCCCGTTGCGGTCTGTCTTGTCTGCTTCGGTCCCTGCGTCAAGAAAGTCATCCTCGTCGTTGCTTCCCGGCGTCGGGAATCCGCTCCTGCTGGATGCTCGTGCGGAAGAATGAAGCCGTGTGAGTTGAATGCTGTTACGTGACGGCTCAGCAAAGCTGGCGTTCTCGCTCGGTGGTTCGGAGAGGTGCGTATGCTCGGCCTTCGCTTGCTTCAGCAGCTCCGCGTTCCGCGCGCGCTGTCGTTCTTCCTCCTTGGCCTGGTCCTTTGTCCACTGGATCGAGTTGTTGAGGGCCCAGAACCAACGCTTGGCTTCAACCTCGTGGTTTGCCTTGAGCGTGTATTTTACCGAAGACTTGCCGTGGATTTCGAATTTTGTCTTCTCGTCGGGACTCATGTGCAACTTTGCGATGCGCATGTTGATGGCTCCACGGCAGGCCGAGCCGGCATCGTCCTGGTGCTTGTAATAGCTAAGGACGCCATCCTCTAGCACAAACCAACGCAGCTGGTACCCTTTCCGGTAGTTGGTCCACTTTTTGAGGTAGCCTTTCATCTCTCGCGCTTCCCTTCCGGCGAGCGGATCACCAGGGGTTGCCGTGGCTGCCCCCTGAGTTGTGGATCCCAACACGGCCTTCTCCTGGATGCCTCTCTGAGCTGCGACGGCCGCAGGTGACTTTTTCAGCATCGCGCGCGTAATCTCGTCCTTTGTCACATCTTGCGGCAACTTGCCCTTACGATCCCGGCGGAACGGGTCAGCCCCGTGTAGAAGAAGAACCTGGATCAGACGGCTGTTCTTGCGTCGGGCCGCCTCGTGCAGTAGTGTACCGCCAGACTGAACTGTGGTGGGTTCTGACGCGAACTCTGGGCTGTTGATGTCCAGCACCGTCTTGAACCGCGGCTCCTCCAGGACCTGCTCCAATTTTTTGAGCTCGCCGTGGAGAATGAGATCCTGAACCTGCCTAATCTTGTTTTCGGCAAACAAGGACCTTGAGAGCTGCAGCTGTTGGAAGATGTCCGGGTTGCGGGCGAGGTCAATGGGGAGACGCCCCTGATGGTTGGCGACGGCGTCGTTGATATCCTTGTTCTCGAGGAGCAGACGGACAACCTGACTCCTGCCCTGCGCCGCGGCGACGTGTAAAGGCGTGTTGCCATCCTTATCCCGCGCATTGATATCGAGTGAGCCCGCGCCGTCAGACAAGACATACTCGACGACGGGCAGTTCGGCGCACTGGATTGCTAAGTGAAGTATTGTGGAATCTTCGAGGGCTCCGGGTTGGGTTGTGAAAGAGGAGGTACTCATGCGCGGCCCGTTGTCGGAGGTCTCGCGGATGGCTCTGGAGATGAAGGCGGTATCGCCATTACGCAGTGCCTCGACGATGCGGAATTTCCTGACAGACGATTCAAGCGAGGATCCTTTGTCCATAGAAATCAGCGACCTTCCGCCGGCAACCGAGGGGGCGTTGGAGGGTGTTCGGCCGATGGCGCTCCCGGAAACAGAAAGTCTCGAGTTGTGACCTCTGAGGGGATGTTGATGTGCAGCGATCGATGGTTCCGAGGTCGTAGTCGTCGCGGGAGCCCCTGTAGGCGAGTTGCTCAAGGAGCTTGACGCGGCGGCCTCAGCCGAAGACATGTCTTCTTCAGCGCCTTTTCGTCTCAAGAGAGATAGTGCCGATGATTTGGTTCGTCGATGCGAACTGGAAGCGCGACGATGTTAGCGGAGAACCCCAGAGATGCTTCCCAGCACCAGGTTCCAAGACACCACCGAGAGTCTAGACTGCAGTATCGTCAAAGGCATCTCACACTCCGGCGGCCGGTGAACAGGGAGCTGGCCTGCCTACCTCTCCCCCGCTTCGGGCATAGTCCAATCCCCAGCACTTCCAGATTTCTTGTCAAGCGGCTTGAGCAGTATTGGAGCGGACTCGGGCGACTAACGGCGATTGCAAGATGCCACAGACAAAGAATGTATGGAGTTGGTTCGAGTTACTGAAAGAAAGAATGATATTGTACAATCAAAGGTGACCTGTCCTGATCAGGGCGACATCGCGAAGCGGGTGGTGGGAAGTGGGGAGGTAACATTAGCTTAAAGACTGGGATGTACGGATTATTCGACTTGGCAACATCCCCTGGAAATGACGTGGGGCAGTGCGGTGGGTTCCGTGTGGGCCATTTCTGGCGACAAAGAGCCGCTTCACGTGAGTAAGGCATCCTTCCGTCTTGTTCCACGTCGGCCGGTCCGTTACCAAACTCTCAAATCTACAGTGATTGCTGAAACACTTTGTGCGGCGAGCAAGGCCAACCGTTCGGCCAAAACACCATCCACGGCCTGTGTACATCCGTATATAGAGGTAGCCTTAGCTATCCGTACTGGCCAGCTCCTAGTGGCCCCACTGTTGCCTCTAACGAACCGAAACGAAAGCACCTCAGTTTGTCTCTCCCTGAGATAGTATGCGAGCTCGCTATCCGTACCTTTTTTTGTACATTTGGAGCTCGACTTTTATAGAGATACGACATAAGCGAACGTTTCTCAATGGTGGACATGCTGTGAACCAGAACGAGAAGATCAGATATTCACCTATGATAAATTAGGCCCATTCCCAATCAAATGTTGAGGTTGGAATGGAGTCCGGTGGCCCTGGTCTTGGCGTCAAAGTTGCAGGCTCCATCGACAGCTGGAAGTGCCGGCAGACCTCGGCAAAGACAGAGCAGGCATCCTGATTACACATGTAAGGCCGGGTGTTAATCAGTACATCTGTTGATCAATCAATTCATTGCGAATTCACAACCACTTTGCTGCCTCATACGAAGCTGTGATTCCGCCCTTTCACTCGGCTATCGTCCGACGCCAAAACGCAGCGTAGCTATTGCGGTCCGTGTCTTGACTCGTTGTCGACCTTCTCATCCGACCGTCTTACACGCCCCTGGCGGCCCGCCCAAGGACCGGATTCGACGCATCTCAATCGCGTTTCAGACTTTCAAAGACTTCGCAGCCGCTTGTACTTGCCATAGAGGCCTTGGAGCATAATGGCTGACCGCCCGACGCTGCTGCGGCCGCCTCCCGAAGACCCCAAGAAAGCACCCATCGAGACTGCCTTAGATGTGACGGAGCTGGCCGTTCTGGGTCCTGTAAGTGATTGAAGCTGCCATCACATGTCTGCATCTGTGTTGCCATAACCACTCGATGGTTGCTTGTGAACCCCCTCACCTTCCCCCGTCATCCTCGCAAACGCGACAGTCTCACTAAACCGTCTCTCACAGAACATCTTCACCAATACGCGCCAGCCATGGCATCCACCGGGAGCAAGGGGTATCTACGGCGGCGCTGTAATCGCCATGTGCCTGGCCGCAGCGCAACGCACCGTCGCACCTGATTTCCTCGTCCACTCCTGCCACTGCTACTTCCTCCTGGCCGGCTCGTCCGAGCTCCCCATCCTCTTCCACGTCGAGCAGGTCCGCGACGGCCGCTCCTTCGCCACGCGCACCGTGCAAGCCCGCCAGCGCGGCCGCTGCATCTTCACCACCACGATCAGCTTCGTCCGTGATTCATCCTCCAACAGCGACGCCGTTGTCAGCCACACCAGCGAGCTCCCCCGCGGGGCAGACGGTAAACCCTTACAGCCGCCACCGGATGACTACGCGGACGAGCCTGAGGTGATGGCCGGGGGCCCGTTCCAGGGGACCAAGATCCAGGTGGTCAACCGGGAGAGTGACAAGCCCGGCGAGAAGAAGACGCAGCAGTGGATCCGCGCGCGGGGCAAGATCACGGGCGGGTTGGCGGCGCATCTGGAGGCGCTGGCGTACGTATCAGACAGCTACTTCATCGGAACCATCACGCGGATCCACAAGCTGTGGCGGTTCCCCTTCAAGGCCGAGGAGTTCGACCAGCTGCCGGGCGCGCTGCAGGACAAGGTGAGGACACTGCACCAGTGGGAGGGCATGGGGAAGGACCCCAGGGAGATGGTTGGGCGGCCGGTGATTGGGATGATGGTTAGCCTGGACCACACCATCTACTTCCACGAGCCGACAAAGGTGCACGCGGATGAATGGATGCTCGCCGAAATGGAGAGCCCCTGGGCGGGCGACGGGAGGGCTGTCGTGATGCAAAAGATCTTTAGCAAGGACGGCACGTTGCTGGCGACCTGCGTGCAAGAGGTATGTATTGCGCTCTTTCTGATCAAATACTTGGGGACCGTTTTGGCTGAGTGTATCATCAAGGGCCTCGTCCGTCTTCAGCAGCCCGCCCCAGAACGGAAGGACTCTAAGTTGTAGAATGATGCCCTGTGATCTGGGATTGTGATTGTTCACCTATGTCTTGGTAACGCTCCAGCATCTGTTCCACTTCTGGTAGGACTGCGAGGGAGTTTCGTTGTCATGTTGGGAAACTGCGAGGTTTGACTGGGCGACTATGTGGTATAGAACTGCATTGGTGTAACTCTGTTGTCCGGAACGATGAATAGAATTGTCATATTTTGAAGCGCTTTCGTAGATAGCCAGAATTGAGTGTATGTTCGACCAGGCCTTGCCACATGACTAAGGCTGCGGGCAGCGAGGCCACCCAAGTAATGAGAGGCAGCAAGCTGGCCGGTCACCAACACCTCAAGAAAGTCCCAGTGGGAATGTATTCTGTGATTTCTGCGCTCTGGTTGACCTTCCGTCTATCCCAAGTGCGCACGGATCGCTCGTGATCCGCAATACTTGCTGTGCCTCGCCCTGATAGCATTGGCAATGCCCCAAGAGGCCATTAGTTTCTACCGTGTTGTTTCCCTTCCCGTCTCTTCACACGCCATGCCTCCTTGCCCACCTCTTACAAGCTTCTAACAAGCTGGCTATTTGTTCACCACAACACCGCGACCTGTTTTCCAGGGCAGCCCTCTTCTTGTCTCCCCACTTAGAACCGGCACGTGGCCAATAGGAGAGAAGGATGCCCCAAACGACGAAACGCCGAACGCCCAACTGCAGGCAAGCCGCATCTGGAAAAAGCGGAATGTCGGAAATAAATCTACTTTCGGGCGGGCACGTCAATTGGGACGGTGGCGTGTAGCTGGCACGACCCCATTTGGGTGCTGGTATGAAGGCGTTAAGCTCAGATGGTGACGCCGTCCAAGCGGAGTACCTTGGACTTGTCCCCCAGGAGCTGGGAACGGAATTCAATGATTCCGCGGGCTATTGTGTTGAAGTCCTTGACCTTCTCGGCCTTGAACTTTTGGAGAAGCTCGCGCAGGCCTTGGATGAAGCGGCTCTTCTGCTCGCCACTGTAGTCATCGGGATTGCCAAGCTCCAAGAGAATTTGGTCATCTGGAAGTAGAGGGCCAGATGTCAGCTTCCGGGGGAGGGGTGTTTAAGGTCCGATGTTAGCAGCCTGTTCAGAGTGAGGAGTGACTTACCTGGAGGACAAATGGAGCTAAAATGCTGGAACTCGCAGTTGACTGGACATTGTTCTCCAGTAAGTTCATGAGGGCAGAGCTCTTTCTCGGGGTCAATTCTGTTGCTGTAAGTCAAAGACTTCAAGCCACCCGCCACTGCATGTTGGTACTGGGGGTGGAATCGGTACGCGTGGAAGTATCGGAGCGGACTCTCGTAAGGCATCAACGTGCTGTCCGGTTGTGATGCCGGTTCACCACGAACCTGTGATTTCGTCAGCCGCCAGGTGCCGGGACTGCGCGAAGAAACGACGTTTACTTCTCCTGTGGTCTCAGCCTCAATCTCCTGCACGGCTTCGCGGGGCTGCGCAACGTTCGAAATCTGGTCCGGAAGCGGAACTGAGGCCAGTGCATCGATACTGATGAGAGGCTCCGCTACGTTCGGACTAGGTGACCTGGAATCAAGCTCCATAGGCGTGGTCTCGTCGGCCCTATCGGTTTCCTCAGGCCTGCTGGGACCAGGATTATTGTTTTCAGGCGGCCGTGATGTTGGCGATGGCATTGATGCATTTCTTTGCCCCTGAGAGATGGCATCACGCCCTGGCAAGGGCTGCTCGATCCTCTCGCGCGCGGTGGAGAAAGGTTCGACAGAGTCGCTAGGCTTCTCGCTCTCAGGCACGGCAGTGTTGACACCGGCGCTATCGGCGCTGGGCGGAGAGGATTCCCTGTGTATCTGCTCCTGGAGTGACTCGTCTTCGATCCTCCGTGCATCGCCAGTTCCTGGCCCCTCGTTTGGCCATGAAGGGAATGGAGCCGAGGGAGACACGTGCGTTTGATGATCCGCCGAGGCGTTCCCATTTTGCGAAACAGAACCCTCCGCTTCCTGTTGACCATCCGTCCCTTCACCTGCCTGCGACGATGACGAGTCACCGAAGCCATTTCCCGGACCTGACCCGTTCAACTGCGGGCCTTCCACCGGAGCAGTCTCCAGCTGTTGCAGCTCTTCAGCTAGCATCTTTTCCTCAGCAAGGCCTTTGTCAATCTCAGCCTTGAGCCGTGCTTGCTCATCTTGCAGTTGCTGAAGTCGAGTCAACTTTTCGGTGAGAGAAGACTTGACTCGGGGAATCTCGAGGCTCACGAGACGGCCGCGGCGCTCCGCGCGCTGCAGCGGATCCAGATGCATCGACTCGGAGCGCCTGGAAAACCTGGCCGATGATGGCTCTGGTGTGAGTTGTGGAGAAGTCCTCTGGGAGCGATCTGGACTACTTGCGGATTCGGCTGACTCCACTGGCGGCATCCGAGAGGCGCCGTTTCCACTGAGCTGCGATGATGACCTATCTTGCTTTGGCGTTAGTGAGCCGCCCGAAGACTGTTTCGCTTTCCGTTTCGCCTCTGCAAGGGCAATTTTTCGCCTCATCTCCTGAATCGCCTTTTCCTTTAAATTTAGCTCCATCTCTCGCCTTTTGTTGTCAACCAGAGCGCCAGGTGGGGTCACAGAAGGCGCGGGGCTGGAAACACGGCGTTGAGTGAGGGTATCCGTGAGCGGTGGGAAGTCACGGATAGCAGGTCCACGTTGACCCGGAATCCCGCTTGACTGGATCGGCAGTATCTCATCAGCCGGCGACCCCATATCCATGTCCATGTCCATCTCCTCATCGTCGGATTCGTCGCTCACGTCGATGATGAGAGACGTCTCCTTGCGGATTTGGCCAAAAGGCCGCTTGGGAGGCATGGGGCCCGATGAGAACTCGACGAAGTCTGATGCCACTGGGCGCTTTCGCTGGTTTGAGGCGTTCGGCTGAGTATTTGGTGAAGGGGCTAAGCTGGCGGGGAGAGGGCGGGATTGGGGCGGTGTGTGTTGAGTATTGGCGGTTGTCCGAGAAACGCTTGCCGCCCGGGAACCTGCGGGAATAGACAAGGGGGCGGGACTTCTAGTCGTATTGGTTTGAGACACAGAGGTTCCATTGCCGTCAGTCTGCTTGCCTCCCAAGCCAGCCGCATCAGTTGCCGATTTTTGAGCCTCCCGGGCCTTTTGCAGAGCCGCAATTTTCTGCTGGATCAAGCGTTCCTTCTCGCCCCAAGTCTTACTTTTGGGCGGAGCTGGAGCTGGTTGTGTTATAGCAGCCTCCTGTGGCTGCTCCTTTGGAAAGCTGTGCTCGTGTTGGGTTGGGCCGGGCGCGGGCGGTTTAGGTGTCGCTGGAGCTTTTGCGGCTTTAGCTGCAAGGAGCCGTGCAATGCGGTCTTTCCGTTCCTCGCCTTTCTGGGACTGATCTGCCGTGGCGGATGAGTCTGCCGTGGCGGTAGTTGTCTGCTTCGATTGTGGATCGGACGATTGTTTCGGTTTAGTGGAGTCGGGTACGCCAGTCCCGCGATGTGGTGCTCCTTTCGTCTGCAGGGCAGAGGAATCCACGTCGGTCTTTGGCATGTCGAGATGCAGGTCCCGGAAGAGGCCTTTGATCAGCTTCTCGTTGAATCCTTCTTGAATGTAATTTTGGTATTTGACGCCTAGCGGCCATAGGCGTAAGATGGCTTTCTGTGCTTCCTTCCTGGCCTCTTGTAATGATTTGAAAGAGCCCAAGAGGTCTTCCTGTGCTTGCGACTTTGATTCACACATCTGAGTTGAATCTGAGGATGCGGGTTCCGCTACAGGTGGCCCATTTGAAGATTGAGGGCCGAGGCCAGTTGTGTTCGCCGTCTTGACAACTGACTGAGAAGGGGCTGATCGGACTCCCTTTCCGGCTGTGGGTTCGCTGGTGGGCTGCGGTGTCGGAATTTCGCTCTGGATTTCTCGGGGAGAAAGAAACGGCGAATAAGATGCCGAGCGATCACGACCTGCAATCGTCATTAGCATCCGCATCTCCATACTCTAAAGCATAGCGGTAACTACAACTCATACCTTCGTTGCCCCTTAAATCCTTTCCACCATCGTCCTCGTCAGTGCCATAAAATCCACCTTCAGGGGTATCGGTGGCGCTTGCAGGTTGGCTGGTCCCTCCAACCGACAGAGGCTGTGGTCTGGAGGCAACTTGTTTTGGGCCTGCAGCGGAATATTCCCGAGGCTCGTAGAGATCTTCAAACTGTCCCTCGCTCAATTCACCCTCCTCAATTTCGACACCGGCGGCTGAGCGATCCGCTGCCGGAGCAGGCTGGCTTGAAGGCTGTGCGCCATTCTTCAAAGTGCTGGTGATTTCGGGCTGAGAGCGCTGGGGCCAAAAGTCGCTCCCTTCCTGAGGCTGCGGTTGCGGAACGTTTGGTGCCGGTCCCGGAAAGTTAGATGGTTGAGCCCAAGCGGCAGCATTGTAGGCAAGATTGTGATGAGTCCCAGGGGCAGCTGGGGTTCCTATCCCAAGGCCGGGAATGTTGATCGCGTTCGAGTCGTAAGCAGTTTGCGAGGCATCGCGGTTGATTTGGGCGGCGTAGGAGTTGTACTGAGAGTTCTGGACGGCGGCCTGGTAGCCCGGGACACCGGGATAGGCGTGTGCTTGAGCGGTGTGTTGTCCGTAAAACTGGCCGTAGCCGTACGGAAACGGGTATTGCGACATGTCCGATGTTTGAGATGCGCTTGTCGCTAGATCTTGGACATTTCGATGATCGAAGAAACGGAGCAGAAAGTTTCGAGTGCACTTGAAGCGCGACAGGGGAGGCAGTGCTGAGGGTCGTTGAGAGAAGAGATGCCCGTCGAAGATGAATACTTGCACTGGTCTCGGGGAGAAGTGCAGCGCTTCAAAGGCAGGTGTCTTGGACGTTGACAGAATCCAGAGCGCGGCCGGACGAAGTGTTGGATCGGTAATCACGAAATCGTAGGGCGATGTTCGCTTGCGCTTGCAGGGAGTCTGAACCTGAGCTTTGATTCGCGCCTGGATCGTCTGCTCTTCAAGGATGTTGTTGTGCAGGCTCGGGAGGATCACTCTGGCAAAGCGTGTTCCAAATGGCGAAAAGACGACCACCTGCAGGCGGTTAACTAGCCCTCGAAAACCGGCGCTAATCCTCCAAACCTGGCGTCAGGTGCACGGACCAGACAAGTGACATCAAACGCCGAGGGTCAGGGTTGCAAGGCTTCTGGTTTGTTTACTTGACCAGGATGTGCTCCCGGCAACCACGATCCGTAGGGCGGCACCAAGCTGACCTCTTCTCTTCGATGCACCACCTGCATTTCCTCTCTCCATAATCAAACTTCTTTGATCTGGAATACGGACCAAATCACAGCTAGGTCTCTCTGTGCTTGTCCTTTCATATAATTTTTTTCTGCCATATGCTGGGTCATCGCATTGCACTGCGCGCTGCTGGATGTTTACGGATACAGGCACCGCATACACGCCTTGACCAGAGCAGCGCTACGACATTGTTTCCTGACAGTATTCCATGACCTTTTTGAATTCCCCGACTCCTTTAACCCCCAGAATCAGCGCGCGATGTCGGTTCGCAACAATCCCTTCGCGAGGAATGCCTCGACCTCGGCCGGTTCGAGTGGTCTTGGTCGCCCGAAATCCGTGCTTGCTCCATCCTCGCCGTCTCTGCTGACGGGGATGTCTTCCCCGCCGTCTTACACCCGGGCACTGTCCCACAGCTCGCCCAGCTTTGCCTCCACGACACTAGCACCGCCCGCGTCTGTCCGAAACGGTCATGCTCGTGGCACGTCGAGGGACCTGACGCCGAGTTCAACCACATTCGCGCCGTCGTACCTCAAGACCGAGGACATGCGGAAGCCCACCGACGTTGTGAAGGGCATAGAGGGCGAGAACGACTTTTCAGGCAAGAAGTATGTCTGGCTTAAGGACCCACAAACGGCATTTATCAAGGGCTGGGTGGTCGAGGAACTCGGATGTAACAGGCTCCTGGTCCAGTGCGATGATGGGAGTGTAAGTCTGCATCATGGTGTCTCGAGCCGCAGCGCCTATTGACGCCGTGAAACAGCAACGAGAAGTCGACGTCGAGAGCGTTGATAAGGTCAACCCAGCCAAGTTCGACAAGGCAAACGACATGGCCGAGCTGACCCACCTCAACGAGGCTTCCGTCGTCCACAATCTCCATACAAGATACATGGCCGACTTGATCTACACCTACTCCGGTCTTTTTCTCGTGACCGTCAACCCCTACACGCCCCTCCCGATATATACCAACGAGTACGTCAACATGTACAAGGGCAGGAGCCGAGAAGACAACAAGCCCCACATATTTGCCATGGCCGACGAGGCGTTCCGTAACATGGTCGATGAGAATGAGAATCAGAGCATCTTGGTTACGGGTGAATCTGGCGCTGGAAAAACCGAAAACACCAAAAAGGTGATCCAATTCCTCGCCGCAGTCGCTCAGTCCCCATCCCCGGCGAAAAGCAGGGGAAAGCAGCACTCCAACCTCTCCGCCCAGATCCTGAGGGCAAACCCCATCCTCGAGGCCTTCGGCAATGCCCAGACAGTCAGAAACAACAACTCGTCCAGATTTGGCAAGTTCATCAGGATTGAGTTCAACCCAGACGGTTCGATTGCCGGTGCATTTATCGAGTGGTATCTCCTCGAGAAGTCACGGGTTGTACGAATCAACGCCCAGGAGCGGAACTACCACATTTTCTACCAGCTTCTGAAGGGCGCAGACCGGGGACTGAAGCAAGACTTCCTCCTTGACGGGCTGGACACCGAAGACTTCGTCTACACGCGGGACGGACAAGACTGCATTGCTGGCGTGTCCGACCGCGAGGAATGGGACTCCCTGATGGAAGCCTTCATGGTAATGGGCTTCTCTGATGAGGATCAAACCTCCATTCTGCGCACCATCGCCGCCGTCCTACATCTTGGGAACATATCGGTGGTCAAGGAGAGCAGATCTGCAGACCAGGCCCGACTTGCGCCGGATGCCAAGGAGATTGCTGCCAGAGTCTGCAAGCTGCTTGGTGTACCCCTCGAACCTTTCCTTCGCGGATTGTTACATCCCCAGGTCAAGGCAGGCAGAGAGTGGGTTGAGAAGGTGCAAACACCAGAGCAGGTCCGCTTCAGCATCGATGCCCTGGCGAAGGGCATCTATGAGCGGGCTTTCGGTGACCTTGTATCGAGGATCAACCGCCAGCTCGATCGCGCAGGAATGGGCCTTGGTGACACTCGCTTCATCGGGGTGTTGGATATTGCTGGTTTTGAAATCTTTGAGAACAACAGCTTTGAGCAACTTTGCATCAACTACACCAACGAAAAGCTGCAGCAGTTCTTCAACCACCACATGTTCGTCCTCGAACAGGAGGAATACGCCAGAGAGCAGATTGAATGGCAATTTATCGACTTTGGCAAGGACTTGCAACCAACCATTGATCTGATCGAGCTGTCGAACCCAATTGGCATCTTCTCCTGTCTCGACGAGGACTGCGTCATGCCCAAGGCCACTGACAAGACCTTCACAGAGAAGCTGAACTCCTTGTGGGATAAGAAGTCACAGAAGTATCGGCCGTCTCGATTGGGGCAGGGGTTCATCCTCACACACTATGCTGCGGAGGTGGAATACGCGACGGACGGGTGGCTCGAGAAGAACAAGGATCCTCTGAATGACAATCTCACTCGCCTGCTCGCCGCTTCAACTGACGAGCACATTGCCAACCTCTTCGCCGACTGTGCTGACCAGGACGATGACGTTGGCGGAATGCGCAGCAGAGTCAAGAAGGGTCTCTTCCGCACCGTTGCCCAGAGGCACAAGGAGCAGCTCTCGAGTCTCATGGGTCAGCTACACCGAACCCATCCCCACTTCGTACGATGTATCCTTCCCAACCACACGAAGCGGCCAAAGCAGTTCAGCGGACCGCTCGTCCTGGACCAACTGCGATGCAATGGTGTCCTAGAGGGCATCCGTATAGCTCGAACAGGATTCCCCAACCGACTACCCTTTGCCGAATTCCGCCAGCGGTATGAAGTCCTCTGCCGGGACTTGCCCAAGGGCTATCTCGAAGGCCAGGCGGCTGCAAGAATCATGCTGGACAGGTTCGGCCTGGACAAGTCCCTGTACCGGATCGGGTTAACAAAGGTGTTCTTCCGTGCCGGTGTTCTCGCCGAACTCGAAGAGCAACGCGATGCGCTGATTACCGAGATCATGTCTAAATTTCAGTCAGTTGCTCGTGGTTACATGCAGCGACGGATTGCCTTCAAGCGCCTCTACCGAGCCGAAGCGACGAGAGTCATCCAACGCAATTTCCAGGTGTACCTCGACCTCTGTGACAATCCCTGGTGGCAGCTGCTGATCAAGATGAAGCCCCTCTTGGGCGCGACAAGGACAGCGACCGAGGTGAAAAAGAGGGACGAGATAATCCGCCAATTGCACGAAAAGATGCATCTTGAACATGAGAACCGAAAGAAGCTCGAGGACGAGCGACGGACCGTCCATGCTGAGATGCTACGGATCCAACATGTACTCGAGAGTGAGCGCGCGCTCGCCTTGGACAAGGAAGAAATCTTCAAGCGGCTTCAACTCCGGGAGGCAGAACTGGAAGATAAGCTGGCAGGTGCTCTGGAGGACCAAGAGAAGCTTGAGGATCAGCTCGATAGCCTTCTTGAGGCAAAGAAGCGTGCCGAGGACGAGGTGGAACGGTTTCGGACGCAACTTGAACAAGCAGCTGGCATTATCGCGAGATTGGAGCATGAAAAGTCCGAGCTTTCTGGCCGCGTTGAGGACCTTGAACGCGCTATCGACGAGATCACCAAGGCGCAGTCGGAACGAAGTGAACAAGAAGCCGCTTTGGAGGGGGAAATCAAAGTGTTGCAGAGTCAACTCTCGCTGAAGGAACGCAAGGTCCGCGATCTGGAAGCCAAACTGCTCAAAACCGACCAGGATTTGGAAGTCAAATTGATGACTGCCCAGAAGGAACTACAATCCTCCAGGGTCAAGAACTCACAGCTAAGCGCTGAAAACCGCGAAATCCAGCAGCAGTTGGCACAGTTGTCCAGGACGTCGACAGACTACGAGGACCTGGTGAGAAAGAAGGAGAGCGAACTGGCGCTGCTTCGCTCAGATAATAAGAGGTTTGAGATGGAGCGGCGCAGCTTCGAGGACCAGAAGAAGGCTCTCAGCGCCGAGAGGGAAAAGGCCGCCGACCGGCTTCGCGAAGTCCAAGCCCAACTCTCTGCGATGAAATCCCAGCAGGCCCAACTTCACCGGGAAGCCGAGGATGCAAAGAGACTGCTTGAGGCTAGGCTCTCGGAAGATGCCCAGGCTGATGAGAACCGGCAAGTTCTCGAGTCTCAAATCAGGGATTTGAAAGAGGAGTTGTACAACACCCAAATGGAGCTCAGCAGGGAGCGCCAGTCGCGCGATGATGTCGCCCTGCTCAGCGAACACAAGTACCAGACGCTGAAGGACGAGTACGACCATCTGAATGAGTCAAAGATCATCATAGAGAAAGAACTCTACGCCCAGCAAGACACTCTTCGTCGGACCATGGAGGCCCGAACGACCGCTGAACGGGAACGGGACGAGGCTCGCGAGGAAATCCGCCGACTTCGTGTTGCCAAGACCCAGGCTGAGGAGGCTCGTCGGGAGGCCGAAATTGTGGGTGAGCGGGCCGCTTTCAAGGTTGCGCGGGAACGGGAAGAGAGTTTGCGAAAGGATCTGGAGGCAGCTCAAGGGCGGCTCAAGTGGTTCGAAGCCGAATGTGCTAAATTGAACCATCAAGTCGAAGACCTGAACAAGCTGATTCTCGAATCGGGCGAGTTTGGGTTGAAGAACGACCAGGCGAAAGAGCGGCTGGAACGTGAGCTTCATACTGTGAAGAGCCGGCTTGCTGCCTCCGAAAATGACAACCGGGCGCTTCTCAATAAACTCCAGCAGAAGGGCCTCGAAATTGCTCGCTCAACGTCACGAGCAAGTGAGGCCTCGCGTGGTCAAATTGTCGCATTACAGCGCGAGAAGGCAAAGTTGGAAGAGCAAAATGCCAAACTAAACAAGCAGCTCGGTGACTCCCAGGTTACCATTGCTTCTCTGGAAAAGCGGCTCGAAAAGCTACAACTGAATCTGGAGGATCTCAACCACGAGGTGGCCAGAGAAGTGCAGAGCAGCCGCAATGCGGAAAAGGCTTCATCCAACTTCACCGTTCAGTTGGCCGAGGCCAACCGCACCATTGAATCGGAAAAGCAGCTCCGAGCCCAGGCGCAGGGAACTGTGCGTACCCTGCAAGCCACGCTGGATGCTCGGGATACGGAGCTTGCGGAACTACGGGCACAGCTGCTGAGCGCACTTAAGACGGTTGATCCCGAGTCTCTGCCACCCGTCCACGCAGACAGCGGCCCGGGAAAGTTTCTCAGCAAAAACTTCGACTTGGTCCGGAAGATTGAGGAGCTGCAGCAGAACTTGCGTGTGCAGACAGCTGCTCGGGTCAACGCGGAGGCCCAATTAGCGGAGCTGAGGGCATCCAGAAACGACTCTCCCACTAGGCGTGGCCTCCAAGAGATCAGCATCAACGAGGCTCCTTTCAACACCTCGCCGACCCAGAAACGGTCGAAACCCAATGGCCGCCATTACTCGAACACACCATCGACGCCGCCCCGTCGGTTTGCAAACCCCGATCCCGACCATCTCCACGACTCAGTCCGTTCGGACAAAACTGCAGATACCCTAAGCTTCAACAATCGCATGGACCTGAAGACTGAGGTCGAGGAGCTGCAAAACCAGCTGCAGCTTGCACAGATGCAGAACCGGCACCTCCAGAGCCAGCTGGAGCGGTCAGCACCGACTTCAGAAACGTACACTGACGACAGCGGCCGGGTACGGAAGCTGGAGCAGGCGAACGGCAGGCTACACGATATGCTCGACAAGTCCTCGCAGCAAGTATCTGCACTCGAGAAAGCCCTACGCACTGGGGAACTCTCGCTTCGCGACATCCAGACCAAGTCGTATGAGGAGATTCTTGACCTGCTCCACAGCCAAGAGGACTCCCGGCGGTCGCTTCTGCATAGCCATAATGATGCCATCGCTGAGCTGACCGAGATGAAGGGACATTTGGACCGGCTGAGGCACGATCGGGCGAAGCTCGAGGTGGACTTTCGTGATGCCAAGTCGGACCTCCAGGAGATGACGCTTGCGAGAGAGCAGGAGGCCACTAGCCGGGCTCAGCTGCTCCAGGAGTTCGCCGACCTTCAGATTCGCATGGACGCCGAGACTTCCAAGCTGGTTGATGTGACCGCTAGTCTTGCGCTTTACAAGAGCCGCGCAGACGAGTACTTTAGCAAGCTGGAACAGGCCGAGATTGCCGTACTCAAGGCGACCAGAGCGGAGCAGTTCGCCAAGACGCAGGCGAAGGAGGCCGAGGATAACTGCGCAGAGATGATGGCGGAGCGAAAGCGTCTCGAGGTTACCATAGAGGATCTCCAGCGGCAGACTCAGAGACTCGAGGAAAAGATTGAGGACATGTCGACGGATTTGGACTCGGCCATGCAGGCGAAGAAGAGGCTGCAGCACGAGCTCGAGGACTATCGCAATCAACGAGCCAACGACATCGAGGACAAGGAGTCGAGCATGGAACAGCTGCGAAAGAAGTACCAAGCCGAGTTTGCAACCCTCACCAAGGAGCTGGATCTCACGCGCGAAGAGAAGCTGTTCAAGCAGGCCGAGATTACGCGGTTGCGCGAGGAGCTTGATGATCTCCGGTCCAAGTGGGATGACGAAGTGCTCAACAGCTCAACGTGGTCCAAGGAGAAGGCCCGCTTGCAGTCGACGCTTTCAGATGTAGTGGCTTCCCGCGACGAGGCGGTCGCCGCTCATAACGAGGCTCAAGGCAAAGTCGTGTCTCTCCTGTCACAAGTGCGCTCACTCCGGTCGTCGGTGGATGAGCTTACTGCGGAGCGCGACACCCTGCTTCGCGAGAAGCGGAGCATCGAGTCCAGGTTGGAAGAGGCCAAGGCAGGACTTGAAGAGCTCGCCAAGAGCGAGAGCCCTTCACTTCGCAACGCGGCCAACATTGACAAAGAGATTCTCGAGCTTAAGGCCGGACTCGCTCAACAGGAGGACATTGCGGCGGCGGCCGTGGAAAAGATGCGCCGAGCTGAGTCACTCGTGTCGGAGATCCAGAAGGACATTATCGCGGAGAGGGAGGCGAGCGCCGAGCTACAGAAGCAGAAGGCCTCCTTGGAAAAATCGCTCAACGAGGTGCAGCTCAAGCTGATCGACCTTGAGACTAAGGGTTACTCGACGGCCAGCCATGACATCAAGTTCCTGCACAAGCGCATTCAAGAGGTGAGGTCCAGTCCCCACGTTGCTTACCAACCTCAGCATTCAGTCACGTACTAATCCTTTGATAGCTCGAGTCTCAACTCGAGGAGCAGGAAACCGAGCGCAACAAGTCGCAGCGCTCGGTGCGCAACGTAGACCGCATCGTCAAGGATCTGCAGACGCAGATCGAGCGCAAGGACAAGCAGAACGCGCAGCTTTCCGAAGACATGGGTCGCATGCGCGACAAGGTGGACAAGCTCCTCAAGACCATTGAGGAGCTGCAGGCGTCCGAGAGCAACAATGAGCTGTCGGTGCGCCGGGCCGAGCGCGAGCTTCGCGAGGAGAAGGAGAAAGCCCTGAAGCTGGAGCGCGAGCTTGAAGGGTGGAAGCTGCGGGTGGAGAAGGGAACTGCTGGCTCCAAAGTGAGTGTGGCAGGGAGTGTATTTGGCGGGAGCATGAAGGGGAGGCATGGAGGCTGGGGTGGCGAGGAGTTGGTCAGGGTCCCGCAGCGGAAGAGCAGTATTAGCAGAGTGCCTTCCATGACGAAGGGGTTCTTGTGAGGGGTGCGTGGCATTTTTGGAATACGTCTGTCGCGGCATTGTCTGCAGGGTCAGGGTCAAGCATTGATTGGTATTAGGTGATTTCTGGGGATACCTGTCTATTCAAAGGAAACGGTGGTGTAGGGAGCAGGCGACATCGAATTTTTAAGGCAGTTCTTGTTTTGTGTATGGAATATCTGTTGTGCCCCGCACGCAATGGGGTCGTACCCCAAGGTCGCCCACAGAAATATGAAGACCACGCACGGCAGTATCCTCCCCCGTTCAGCCACGGCGCCCGTGGCCAAGGCGACGGTCACGCACGAGAACATGCCCTGGTAGACGGCGACGAGCAGGTCGGGGATGCGCGGGGAGGCCGGGGCCGGGACGGCGAGCTTGTTGGTGAAGATGCCGCGCGAGAGGTCGCCCAGGAAGCGGGACGAATTAGCGGAGAAGGTAAGCGAGTAGCCGAAGAGGAACCATTGCAGCGAGGTTATGGCGAGGAGAGGAGCGGGAGGGTGAGCAGGGACAGGGCGGATTTGCGGCGGGCGAGGTCTGAGTAGAAACATTTGTTCCGCGCGCCGGTCATGGTGATGGGGGCCAAGGGGGGGGGTTGGATCGTTGTTGACTTACCCTACGCCCGGCACTATCAACAGAACGAGGGCGGTGGCGAAGATGATGAAGGTTATGTCGCCGGCCTACATGAACGGGGTTGTTAACCTTGAGTTTGTCTAGAGTGTTCCATGGGTTATAAAGACGAACCTGGTACCAGACGTTTAGGTTGGCGGCCAAGGAATCGCCTCCTACGGCGCCGGTGCCATTATCCGGCACCAGGGGCACGTAAGGAAGGCCGCTCTAGTCGGTGCTGGCCATTGCAAGTGAAGAAATATGGTGGGCTAGGCAAAAGAAGGTATTGAGGTCTCCTGGCTCAGATTGTTGCTCTCAACCTGAGGGTGGTGGTAGAGGAAACTCAAGGAGGTCATGACAATAAAGAAGAACTAGGTTCACGGTAGTAGGGGGAAAAGTGAAAGACGGACAAGAAGTCAGATTTAATTCGTCAGCCAAGGACTTGAGTTGGGGTATAGCCGACTTAGATGCTTTTCTTGAAAGAAGCAAGGCTCGGTGGCCAACAAAACATGTATAAGCACCAAGACGGCTTCTCGGCAGGAGGCAACCTACAAGCTGCTATAAGACCGACAAATTAATAGACACTCGAGGAGACATAGCCGACGGCGAGGGAAACGGGAGATAAAACGAGACGATACGCGAGTTATCATTAAGCGTTTTCCTCGGTCTCTAAATATCTCTCGTAGGTACTCCGTATTAACTATCGCAGACACAACGCCGCGCCCCCTCTATATATCCCGGCATTATGCTGTACTGACCAAGAAGTGAGAGCGACGAAGGGCTGAGATAAGGAGAGACTTGCGAAGGGACTCGACGAGTCTCGGCTGTCGAGCATCGTCAACTTTCTCGCTTCTTCCCGCAGCCCCTCCGAGCGCCACGGACAGCGCAGGTGAGACGGTTGCGACTGAGAGAAAAGGCAAAGCCGTCTCTTGGCGGCGGCGAGGCTCGACATCCATCAAGCCACTTGGCCGTCCCTGTTCAAAAATAAGTGATGGAGTTGCATGGAGGTCCAGATGTGGGTCAAGGGCTCAAATGCGGAAACTTTGAAGCGATAACATTCGTCAATCAATCTCCTCGACACTTGTGCTCGCATTTCTCCAACTTCCAAACGCTCGGATGACCCGTTTCCACTCATTGAATCGCCAGACCTGAACTCACCCTTCTGAACCAGCAGCCTGGCTCGACATCAGATAGCAGTCGCACCCGAGAACATCCGATGTTTCTCAAGTCCCGGGGCCTATCTCTGCGCCCGGCTTGTGCCTCCCTTACTCGTATTTTCACAAACATCTATTCCCCTCGTCCGTCTTTCCCACCGTAGCTGGTCTCTGTTCAATTCATTCCATTCTCTACGAAATCTCAGCCATATTCGCGACCGTTCTTAACCTACAGTTAAATTGTAGTATAAATGGATCAAACGAAGCGCTCGCCTAGCTGGTGTCAAGACGCCATTGCAATCCAAAACTGCCTCCAAGAAGCCGGTCTCTCTCAATGGGGCTTCGTTATCTTCCGCTGTACCTACCGCTCCTAGGAGAAATGGGATAAGTTTATCACCCTTGCTAAGGGATACGCCTGCGAACACTTTGGGAGTATGGAATAGAGAGTATCTACGACTGTATACGCCCGACGGTTATTGAACACGCTGCCGCGCTAGAACCTGGCTGTTTGTAGAGTAGGTCCACTGGGGCCCGGGTAGGGAGGAGATGTATGGCAGCGTGCTTACGCCTTCGCTGAATAATCATCCGAGGTATATACATTTTTGCATGTCGACGAGGAGAGTGGGGAAAGTGTAGTGGATGATGAGAAGGCGAGTAGGACGGCTGAGTACGTTTGTAAGATCGTATATGTAGATCAGATTATGTTGATGGAACAGGAGCGAGAGAAGGCTCGATGTATCGAGGGTGAGGAGGATGAGGAGGTATTGGAGGAGGACGAGTTACGGAACTTGAGAAAGCGGGTTAAGATCGATGATCTCGTTGGTGTATATGTGACAATGCACCCTACCGTTGTATATGGTACGACCTTGCGACGGAGGGAGATATTATCTGGGGTCCTCTTTCTCCTTTAGATTGTCAATCTTGAACTTGAACGCGGCCTAAGAAAATGAACCGCAACGACAGGACCTACTGACCCTCTGGCATCTTTGTGAATGGTTTCCGTAGACGAACAATATAACGGAATTACCAAGATTCTTGGTGTCTTCTGCAAGGCTCCGAGTGCCGGTCGTGCCGAGCCTAGTGCTCATACGAAACACTTTCCCTACCTGCTCACCTTAACCTTATTAGATCAACGGCTCAGCCAAGAACTCTGTCATGAGAGAGTGAGCTACAGGCAGGTGCAGGATTTGGGTTAGCCTCACACTAATAAGCCGTCTTGTATCAAGCTCCCAAATATAAGGCCCCCGACTCTCGCGGGATACAGTCCTCCGCTGACAGATCCTCATATCTCTCGCCATCGCTCGGCAGTCCGGCAGCAGGCTGTGCAATAGACCAATTTATATATTATTATTATATTATTCCTATTCCGTCCTGCATTAGGCTTGCCGGACTATCTATAACTGAATATAGAGTAAAACTATGCCGCAAGCCTAGACTACAAATCTCTATTCACCTTGTGCAAGTCTATTACTTTGAGTCCACCTACTATACTAAAAAGAAATGGTCAGGTAGCTCATTGAACTAGTAACCAGCTTAGGTTCTAGCTATATATCTATCCTATACTCTAGGAGCTTCCTAGAGCCTAGTAGCTACCTAATAGCCTTCTTTGCAAGCCGGCACTCCCTTGTTGGACAGCAACAGTTATAGGCTCGAATAGACATAGACCAACCAGGTGACACTGTATCAACTGAGGCACAGAATGAAGCTTGAATTGGCTGTCTGAACCATGCGTCATGTGTGTGTTTGCTTGAAAGAACCGAGGGCTTCGGGACTCTCGCCAGACCCTGCTTTTGGATGGGTGACGAGTCTTCCACGCTTACTGCATTGGGCAACAGTGCCCAGTTCCTGAACCCAGGTGCCAAGGAGCCGGTTCAGTTCAACATCCCTCGATTAATCATATAATCCATGTAACGGTCTCAGGTAGTATATTGCAACTAGCTGATGACGACTCTACGAGTACACTGAACTTGGAGAAGAAAAGGAGAGACGACAGACTCTGGTAGCTCGCAAGCATACTTATCCTCGTAGGCGCGCTGGTCTGAGCGCGTTGCTAGAAGGTTCGGTGTGCTGTGGGGCGAGTGGGAATAGCCTCATCAGGGGTCTTGGTATTGGCCGAGAGTCGCCGGAGCTCGCACCGGGCCCAGCCCGTTACAATCCATATTACATCTCGTGTCAAGTTGCAAACCAGTGTTGGAAGACCAGCAGCCACGACTCCACGGTAATACGCTTTATGGGAGCCTTTTAAACAGTGAACTTTTCGAGTGCTTAGGACCAACCCAAAATCTGTCAATTGAGTTCTTTCTTTCTCAAGTTACCTGGGTATCTCCCAGACCTTATATAACAGCCGTGTATTACCCCTGACCAGGGTACGACACCGGCAACCCAGTTTCCGAGTTTCAAGTGCCATCACTTCCAACAGCCAGCTAAAGAGGACATTTGTCACGGGCATTGCGCGTGCCAGGGTTAGGGTCTCAGTCCTGTAGCTTCGATGAGGAGCTAGCAAGCCCAGTGGTGGGGCTTGCCAGTGGTCAGTGCGCAGCCCTTCTGCAGGGTTTCCCTGAGGGCTGCACCCTGCCCACAGTTTGGTTCCTCGTGCAACCACACCAATACTAGAGGATACGCAAGTTCAGTCCCTGTGCCCCGTCACAACATTATCTCAAGACTCTAAGCATAAATATGTCCTATCACATAGTATGAATCCGGAGTACTGTGGCTAGATTAACTTTCAAAGCATGTATAGTGTCCGCATTTACAAGGGGCTAGATTTATTGCTTTACGAAATGATAGATGGATAGGAGACTCTTTCATTATATGAGTTTCGACATCGAGGAGCTTCTTATATGGGAATATACCAGCACTAACGTCGAATAAGGAAATGCTCAACTTACTTTAGCTGTGATGGGCTGAGCCCATGATGGCCTCGGCAACCCTCGGCCGTGGTATCATGATAACGTCATCTTGAAGCAGGCAGTGTCTGTGTGTTTGGGAGCATATAAGAGCTGCCCTGTCTTCCTGTCATCTAGTTCTCTCTTTTCTTCTTCTTTCTCCATTCGAGGCAAACTCGTAGAGTCGTCACCAGCTAGTTGCAATATACTCCTGGGACCGTTACATTAGCACTAGTCTAAGGAACTCCTTACCTATAAGAGTAAAGCCTAAACTCTAATCATCAGTTTTCTCTCTGAACAGACCTAAGCAATCGCTACTATCTTAAAAGTAGATCTAGACAAGTTACTTGACTTGCTGTTAGCATCAAAGAGACTTACTAAACTAGCAACTCGCCTAAGATTAGAGTAAGACCACCTCCTTTCCAGCTCCTTATAAGCACTGTGTGACGGGCCAGAGGAACTAAGCTTTCTGATGCGGGATGCACCAGAGGGAAGCCAAGTATGGGTGTATCTGTATTGCTGGAAAGAAGGATGGAGATTCAGAAATTGGTGTCGCGTATCTTGCATGCAAGATTAACTGGCATGGCGGGGCTGCGCGCGCACAGACCTTTGCAGCGGGGCTACTCTACATGATGCCTTCTGGTATCACTTCATTAGTGTAGTTGCATGAAGAACTAAATTATATGCAAGGTGCAGCCTTTAGGGAAACTCTATAGGCGGAGTTGCGCACTGACTACTGGCAAGCCTTATTACTGGACTTGCTGGCTCCGTTAGAGAAATCTATTTACTCTAGAATTGATAAGTATACGTTATAAGTATCAAAGTTAGGAAGTCGCCTATTATTCAAAGAGGTGGTGAGAGAGAAGGTATTCAGGATAGCTGAGCTCATACTAGCAGATGCGAAAGCGAATTTTAGATGCAGATATAAGTAGGTCTCTAAGCACTTATAGCACTAATAATAACCGCAATATCTAAGAAGTGGAGAGTTATAATAGTTAGCGCAGGGGTTAATAAGAAGAGGCTAGGAAAAGGTAGACGAGTAGCTTACGTATAAGGTAGTTACACCTACTATATTTCAGTTTATACCTATTATAGTGTAGGTAGATCTACGTCGAGATACAGATAAACCCATCTAATGCCTCATCGGCGAATTTGTATGATTGGTTCCTGTCGTACTGCTTGTGCGTCTCGCCCATGTGCTAGGCGATACGGTGGTCGATGCAGTATAACTTGCTACTGTACAAGCAATGTAGTTGAACTATAGGCACCTCGTCTCGCGGATCTAGCCTGACTCGCAGGCTGGTGAGAGATAGGAAAGGACTCCCGGGTGTTATGCGAGTTGTGAGAGACGAGCGTACATTTAGGCCAGGCGCGCGGGCACTGCCAATAGGACTCAATTCTGTTAATCACAAGATGGGGGATTAAGGAAGAGAAGCTGGAAGAGGTTGTTGGGCAGCCAACAGTTACATGCTCAAGTAAGCTTAGATCAACCAAATGGTATTGAACAGATTGAGGTATGAAACGAAGCTTGAATTGGAGTCACGATTCCAGAGTGAGACCACAAATGAAGGATCAGATAGTGGGTTAGGGTGCCTCAGAATGTCCCTTTCTTGTTCTTGGAACAAAATTGTCCTCTCTAATCCTCCCAGGGGAATTACTCCCTTATATAGAGACAGTGTGCCATGATATGACATTTATGTCAGGAACTGCGTCATTGTGTTGGATCTGTGTTGACTGAGAGTCTCGCATTGAACATCAGTGCTCAGTCCGTGAATCTTGGTGCCAAGGAACCCACTCAGTTCAACAGAGGTCTCGCGATGCAGAAATCAAAGGCCAGAGCAGATGGGGCACGTGCACTCAGTGGCAGATGCCGCTATATGCACTCCGGCGGCAGACGCCGTCACATGAGTGTGCTTCAAAGGAGCAAGTTGTAATAGTATTCAAACGTCTCGAGACCTTCTGGGCCTAGCGGTATATGTCCTGCCACTCCAGCAACTCTATATATATCTATATAAACAGGGCACTTTAGCCTGTTCCAGTACCTGCTCTCGACATCTAATTGCAACTACTATTTCAGACAGTCTTTGTATATCATTGGCCGGTATACGGAGAGCGACGTGACCTTGATGGGTATATCGCTCAGATTCTTCTTTTCGAGGCACATAGTGCACTACGTTTGCTCTCGATTCCGAGACGGGGTGTCGTGGTGACTATGATAGCTCACTTGACGGGTTAGGTTTGCCCGGCTGCAGTGGACTCTGATGTGATCCCGGTACGTGTGTCCTTGTCTGCCGCCATGGTCACCTGGTCTCAAGTAGTTTTCAAACACTGCCACTGTGAGTTGTGGAAAAGGAGACAAAGAGCTTAGGAACAAACAGCACTCGTATCCACTGCCCCTGTGTGGTTATGTGCATCTGCCCTGCGAACTGTTCTTATAAAGTTTGATTTTTGCTGTATTTTTATCGATCCTCTGTGGCGCAATTGGCTAGCGCGTCTGACTGTTAATCAGGAGGTTGGAAGTTCGAGCCTTCCCGGAGGAGATTTTTTTTTTAGCTTTAATCGTTGGCTATCCTGCGATCTTTCCCTCGATTATGCCGCCGCTTTCAGATCCAGGGCAGCCGATCTACAAGCCAAGAATGGTTTGTTTGTTAGCGCTGATCTTAGATATTCACCAATTTTTCTCTTTTACTTTTAACGTTACTTCCTTATGTTCGTTCTTCTTTTCTCTTCTTATTCATCTTTATCTTTGTTTTCCTCCACCCTCTTGTCGTACCTTTTATCCGCATCGTCTCTATCTTTTTCTTTCTCTTCCTTCCTTTTTTTTTCCTCTTCTTGGATTTCATTTTTTCGTTCATATCCAGGCACCGGTTCTACCCGCCATGTGCCACGCTAATGAACAAACCAGGCCTGGATCGTATTCATTATTGTTCCGAGCCACCGGGACGCCTCTACTTACCTGGGAAGGCGAATACTGCAGATGTTTTTCACAGATTTACTTCAGTCAAGCATTGAAAGCTATACTCCCTGTGGATTGGCACAGTATCAAGCATTGCGCGCGCTATTACAACTATCCTGCATGAGAAGCCGATGCTTGCGGGGAGACAAGATGGGTTCGGCAGCAAGTACGGAACAGTCAAGAGTCTATGAGAGCTACATGCTGACCGGCATACCAAGAGCGCACTGATGGGACAATGCCATTGTCACAGTCCAAAACAACAAAACCGTCCACTGGCGCTGAAGATTCACATGTGTTTAACAACCATACCCAGAGTCTCAGCTCGACCTGCCATGCATCGATCTGTATTCTTTACTTCATGTGGCAGTTCGGGGGCCACAGAAGGCAGTGACTGCCGCTTCTACCTTGACTCTGAAGCATTGAGTGACACATTCGTGCCTCCCAACGAGGCAGGTACAAGAAGTCCGGACGGTTGTGATCACTTGGTTCCTTGAACAGAATTGGTTCCATCCCCTGGTATAAACATCGCCAGGATGGGTTCAAACATTGCAGCTGGGATTGTTGCCCTCCTTTCTACCATCCAAAAACCGTCTCTCTCCACTTTGAGAACCCTGCCGTTCAAAGCACTCTTCAATGAAGCCAATCGTTTTCCTTTTCACAGCTGCCGGTATGGCGCGAGCCCAGAACCTCTCTGGCCAACCCAGCTGCGCAACATCCTGCCCAATCAGCGCCATCAGCGCTGCCGGTTGCGCTCCCTCAGACATGGGCTGCAGTGCGGTCCGACCCAGGCCGCCATCGGGGCCAGCGCCGCACCATGCCTCATCATGAGCTGCGGCGCAGATGAGCTGATGCAGGCCCAGAGCGCCGGCTCCGCGTAGTGCTCCATCTACTCGGCCACTCGGTCGGCTCCTCTGCCGGCCAGCACCACGGGGGCGGTGAGCTTGGCTTCGACAAAAGAATAAACCAGCATCGTCTACCACGGTGGCCCCGGGTAGTGGTTCTGACGGCGGCCAGACCGCGGCTACTGCGCCCGTTTCGACTGGGCAAGGTCGGTTGTTTACCGCAGGCGCTGCTGTTGTTTCTCCAACTATTGTGGCGGCTGGGGCACTCTTAGGTGTGTTGGGTGTTGCTGCGGTTCTTTGATGGGCGTTGTTGACTGAGACATTGGTGAAGGGGCCTGAGACCGTTCAACAAGCAGCAAGTTCAAGGAGGAAGAATGCAGAAACGCTAACTTGCCCCTGAAAGCTGTCGAACGTTCCGATGTTGCGCCACGCTCGTTCTGATGTTGCGCCACGCTCAGGCGGTCGGTCGACTTAAGTATACACTAGCGACTTAAGTATACAACTAGTGCAGCAGCGGCAGGAACACAGAGGTATCAGTTATCCTCACCACTATGCAGTCCTCTCAGACCCAAGCAATATTCAACGTGAAGGAGTCGGCCCGGCATACAGGAGAGATCAACCTGAGTCTGAGAGAAGTCCATGGCACAGATTCAAACTACACCATCATCGACAAGATTGGTGAAGGGAGTTAGGGGGAGGTGACCAAAGTCCGGCGATTCCTGGACGGCAAGGTGAGTGCATTCCCCATACTAGTTAGTCTTTGGGCTCACAGTAGCTCGGTATTTTGACCGATCAAGAGGTCATGGCGTGCAAGCAAATGAAATGTGACTCGTCCAACTTGGTCAATGTGTGGCGGGAGGTCGAGGATTTTGTCAAGCTGAGCAGGAAACCACACATCGCACCCTTCTCGGGTGACGTGGCGTACCACCCCGTCAGTGAGACCCTTCTCCTCTACGTGGACTATTACGAGGGCGGTGACTCCAAAGGGTTATCAACCTTTGTGGCCTCTCCTCGTCCACCGTTGACCCGATCATTGCCATCCTTTTGGCCTATGAGATTGCCATGGGCGTCATGACGTGGCGACAAGCATGATGTTATCCATCGTGATATCAAACCAAAGAACGGTGAGGCGAACGGATCGGAAGCCGTGGAGTTGTCACCGGCCAGACTGACACGAATCGTGCTTCTTGGTAGTCCTCCTTCGGAAACCGTTTCACATGGATGGCAGCAATTCGCTCAGAGCACTGAGGGGGACTTTGGATAGGCCAGCTACCGCTAATGAGATGCCACACGACTGCTTTGGACTGGTTGCCGAACTGACCATGTCCTTGATACTTGAAATAGACGAAGAGAGCGACGTGGCCGCCGACCATATGGAGTGGGCACTGGACATGGACCCAATGCCCGCCTGGTGCTATCTAAGCGACTTTGGTCTCGGCAAGTTGTTGCCCGAAAGCAAATCTGGTCTCGACGACGTCCTTGGCACATCACCTGGCATGGGAACGTCGGGATACAACGCCCCAGTACATCCATTCAAATCTTCAGAGCTTTTTTCACCGCTGAAATGAGGTGCCGATGAGGTAGCAGCAGGAACCGGAGAAGTAGTCGTCGACGGGCTGCTGCTGCAAGACCGACTGCTCGACTGCCAACCTCTGTTGCGGGAGAGTTCATACCACCAGTTGCGCATCATCCAGCCGTCGAACTCAGTGATTTCGGTCGAGGAACCTGCGAGCATGATGAAGTTCGTCACTCCGGTCGGGGTCCAATCTGGGTGTCATTAGTGCAGCTCAACATAATTGTGACGTGTCACGACGGGGCTGAGGCAGTGTGGCAGTTGGTACCGTAGACTGGAGAAAGGGTTAGTCCCAGGTCAGATCAATGGTCATTCTCGAGGGCTACTATGAGGGCACTCACAATCATCCAAGCCAAACGTGTGTCCCTGTAAGTGTTTCGTGGTCAGTCTTACTGCTAGAAAGAGGATACGCTGAGAGTGGCAGAGAAACTCCATGAACCGACTGCTGATCGCCTTGCCCTTGTTAGGAGCACTAGGTCCGTTTCTAGAGTTCTCGGAGAATTCAGATGTGTATAGCCTAGGATGCCTCCTATATCATCTGTGTAGTGGCAGGCTCCCGTTCCGGTGGGCACAGCGGCCAGGTATGCTGCCTGAGGCCATATCATCCAAGTATCCCCGCGAGTTGCGTGCCGCCATCATGGACTGCCTCCACTATGACCCTGCACAGCGCCCGGAATCTCGGGATGCCGTTGCGAGCATGTCCAGCGCTCTCAGCGAAGCATGTCACTTGAATCATGCCTTCCGTCGTGTAGGTTCATGAGAAAAAGACTCCATTTTGAATCTGGTGAGACGACTTACAAGCATCGGAGAGTTCGACACTCGTTCAGACGTCCTCGCCCGGTCATTGTTGACCCGCCCTGACCAAGTGAACACATGGACGAGTACATACCTCGGTGGCAAGGTGGAGGCTTATAGCCAAAAACCTGCTGAAACTGGCTCGACAAGACTGGTGACATGAGAGTGCGCTTATACTCACCGGCGAGCGGCGGGGAGGGTGGTCACAGTTTTGATAATTGAGAATGGTTGAATGAAGGAACGGATGAAGTGGTCGCTAGGTACCTTGATTAAGGTATGTCGTACCGTAGGAACTCGGTGAATTCGCGTACCTCCACTTTGGCTGGGTCCAAGTCAACCCCGAGCAACGAGGCAACGAGCTAGCCAGCCAGATGGGCGTAAAGCTAGCTGTCAGTAAAGAGCGCACGGGCCACGATCTGAAACAAACCTGCCGCCTTCGGATTTATTGCGCTTTGAGCGAATTGAGCCGTTGTTAATGTCGATGATGTTGATGCAGTTGATGCAGGGCAGTTTGAACTGAAAGATAGGGCGGGCGAAACTGGGGCTTCTGATTGGTTGCAAAAGGGAGGCTTGGTGGGTGGGCCTTGCCCAGCCAGGGCGGATGTATTCGAATTCAGTCAGTTCCTACGGTATTTGGAGGATTAACAATGGGTTCAGCGACCCACTTCGTTCATCACAGCCGCCCACTCTCCTGCGCCCACGGTTACAGTAAAGTTCCTTGCGATACACGATCTGTAACCAGTACTGTAATTATGCCGCCTTACAGATCGATCTCCTAGCTTCACCAATGCTCACTCATTGGCACCCTACTGTCTCCCACCACGGTCACTCATTGAGTCATCTCAGGATTATAGGCGTATTCACCAGTGGCTTGCCCAGGTCTTACCTCTATATTTCACTCCTCTCAAGCCTGCATTCCAGCTCACCCTACCCGTAATACATCCCTTTACCATGGCAACAGACGTAGCCCTCGAAACCTCCATGGCAAGTCATTATCCACCATCCCTCATCATCACCTCAAGATGTCACACTGACCAAGTTGATAGGGCACCATTGTCGTAGAGGTACAACAATCACCTTTGTTTATGAACTACTGATACCCATTGTTAGCTGTCTTGGGAGCAGGATGGCTACCGACTGCGCATCTGCTCCCCACCTCCAGACTTGTCCGGAATAAGAATTCACAGCTGACATTCTTGGTTTAGCTGTACAACCACCACGCACCCAAGACGTGCCAGAACTTCTCCACACTCGCCTCGCGCGGCTACTACGACGGCACCACCTTCCACCGCATCATCAAGGACTTCATGATCCAGGGCGGCGATCCGACCGGCACAGGCCGCGGCGGAAGCAGCATCTACGGGGACAGATTTGAGGACGAGATCCGCGATGATCTGAAGCGTAAGTTCCAGTTGTCTGGATTCGGTCTCCTGTACTCTGCCAGTCATTCGAATGACTTACTGAGAGGCATGCGCTAGACACGGGCGCCGGGATTCTGAGCATGGCCAACGCGGGGCCCAACACCAACGGCTCGCAGTTCTTCATCACGCTGGCGCCCACCCCATGGTTGGACGGCAAGCACACCATCTTTGGGCGGGTCAAGAAGGGCATCAGGGTGGTGCAGCGAATGGGCTTGGTGCCGACAGATGCAGAGGACAGGCCCAAGACCGAGGTGAGGATCAACAAGTCTTATGTTGTCACCGGGGAAGACGAGGTTTAGTACAGGGGATAGTTCAGGGCAGTGTTGGATAATGTGTCATTCCATCGTACAGGCGCAGAGCGAGACTGTGCGTGTTCATCTTGATTTGCCTGATCGAGCCTGTATGTTTTCGAGGTCTCTCTGAGAAGATATAATACAGAAATGAGCAGCCGATTGCTCTGCTCCGCGGCATCAAGCAAAATCTGCTCTTGGGAGGAACTGTCCCTGTCGGTGGCATCAATACGGCATGGCAAAAAAACCCAAGTATATCTGCAAATCAGCCATCCAGTGTATACATCCAGACCATTGCCCAACGCCTTCCTTTCCGTCCTCATTGCTCCTGTGCGCTGCTTTGCAACCCCTCAAGAGTCTTTCCTTTCGCCATGAAACCCAGAAAACCGCCCCTTCCATGTATGCCGGCGCCGATGAGAAAATGCAGAGAACGCCACCACCCCAGTCCAGCCCATCCTGGACAATGCAAAGGGTATCTGAACCCCTGGCCAATGCGGTGTGAAAAGAAGATGCAACTGTGAAGTAAGAAGCGAAGCTTCTTGTTGAGAACTTGTGTCTCAATGGGGCGGCGAGGACACGGTACCGGACGATTCGCTTTCCATATCGCGGTCCCTCTTGGCCTTTTTACCAACCACCGAGGGCAATGGGAGCTTTGGTGGCCCCAATTTGATCTTCTTGGCCGGCGAGACTCCCTTCGGAACGGGCGTCTGTTTCTTTGGGGCAACTTGCACCGTCGAGTCCTTCGCGTCGTCATCTGCCTTCTGCTCCAAATAGAGATTCGAGCTGGACTTGGCCTTCTCTTTCTTGGAGTTGGCCTGTGCGGCGGGACTCTGGCTCTTGGACTTGAGGATCACCTTCTTGGGCAACGAGTTCAGCTTCAGCTTCTTCTTCTTGGGGTTCGTGGGGTCGGACTCCTCGGCGTCCTCGTCAAACTCGTCGCCATCGCGCTTTCTCGGGCTGGCGGCGCGGCTCCCGGGCAGCGGCGTTCCCTTCTGACTGCCGGGGGGCGTGTTGTCGTTGTTCTGGCTGCCTGCCTGGCTTCCGTTGCTGATCTTCTGCGCGGCCGCTCTGCTCGCGTTGCGCCCGCTGTTGCCGATACACGACCCCATGTGGTTGTTGAGGCGCGTCACCAGGATGCACCGCTTGCACTTGGAGCACGTCGCGCTCGGGAAGCTGAGCACGTTCGGTGGGCGGTCCTTTGCGCTTCCTTCGGTCCCCGGCAACGGCGAGCTCGGGTCGTTGGGGTCCAACTTCTGATCCTTCTTTTTCTTGCCTCGACCAGGACCAGGTGCAACCCATGTCTGGCCGTAGATATCGTAGCCCGGCTTCTCGATATAGGGGTGTCTCTTGCAGTAGATGACGCCTGGATCTGGCTTCCTTGCGCCCTTCCCGTCCGTCGGGTGCAGCAGCCGCGGGAGGTGGCACCGCGGGCATAGTATCTCCTTGGTCGACTTGAGCGGATTGCCCTTCAGCGTCACTTTCCCTTCCTTGTAGATTGCTGCTTCCGTCTCAATCTCGACCTCGGGCTTGGGGTCTACCGTTGCGCCTTCGATGGTGCTCATGGCGAGCTTCTCGACCTTGATGGCGGCCGTGTTCGCCCGGGCAATCTTCTCGTCTCGGTGCACCTTGAGAAGGAGATCGTGGATGGTGTTGTATAAGAGGTCGTCTAGGACGGCATGGGACTGTATTGGGCCAAGTCAGGAGAGCGGAGTGCCAATGCAGCCTGGCCGACTTACAAGCTTCTCAATGGGGGATGCATCGTCGGAAGCTACAATAATACCGGCCTTGCCGGTCTCCCCTGTTTCTGAAGACATGATCGCTGAAGGTAAAGGTGGGTTGCGGGTCTCGTGAGGGAGATGTGGCTATGTTCAAGCGGTGGGCAGCACCATCCAACCTGAATTGACCCGGGGCCGCAATGTCGGTCTTGGTGGTAAGTAATTGGGAGATGGCGAAAAATGTCAGCCTCTCAGCATGCTTGGCTGCCAAAGGCTCGACCCGTAAATTGCCGGCGTAATGGGGCAAGGAAGTGGTCGAGTTGTGTGCCGTAGCCACGTACTGAGCCCCAGGTCCTTGCCGCAAACTTCTTGATGACCGTACTATTTTGCCGAATGGCTGAATTAGCGTGGGATGGAAATCGCCTGAATTCGGGGAAGAAGATGATGTCTCCGTTCACCAGCCCGCGAATTTTAATGTCACGGCACCTGGACAATGGAACAAGCCCTCTGTGCTTCCCAAACGCCAGGTCAATCCCACCTTTTTTTTCCTCCTATTTTTTTTTAGCTGTCACACACCTAAACTTTTTTGTAGCAGGCCCAGATGGCTCAGGATAGCTCAGTATAGCTATGGAACTAGTTGAAGCTATACTAAGATATAGTTTGAAGATATATAATTTAGTATTTTCAATCTCAATCCTTATTATGATTCCTATACCACTACGCCCTAGGGCTCGCCGGACTCTTTATTATATATTACAAAGAAAACCATGCCTATAAAACTAGATTAAAAATCTCTATCTTTTCTATACCAGTCCGATGTCCTGAATCTACCTATTATAGCAAAAAGTAAGGCGAAAATAGCTAACCGGGCTATCAAACTAGCCTAGTTCTAGCTATATAGCTAGTTTATACTCTAGGAGCCTCGCAGAGTATAATAGTAATAGCACACAACGTGCAGCTATACCATTGCGCCATATTCGTAGAAAAGGGTACAAATGATTCAATCTAACAGATTGAATCACTGGCTGCACTATAAAGCTGTAACAACTGGCACCTGTCGCTGAGCATTGCCGACCTGACCAGCCGTGCCGTTACAATAGTAGCTATCGAATCATCTTCCTTATAAGCTTTCTCTCTTTATTCACCTACTCGTCGAGAGTCTTATATAGGTCACTCTGCGAGCGTAGCTCTATAGCTAGCTAGGTCTTTAGCTTCGATTATTGGCGGCACTATATAACTAAGTATTCCACTATTTTCTTACCCTAGCCGCATTCATAATAGGGAATAGGTATTTGAGGAACTTTAGCTCAGAAGAGGAAGTCCTTAAGGCCTATAGCTGTCACGAATTAACTAACAACAGGCCGCATACCAGAAGGCCATATGCGGAGCGCCAGGAACGCCTGAGCCAATCACTTAAGGAAGCACGGCAGGCTAGTCAGGATGAAGCTAGAGTGCTTTAACGCCAAGACAGACGAGCACATTGCAGCATGCAAGGTGCTCGGATCGATCGAAGGCATAGCATTTCGAGCACTCAAAGAATCGTGTCAGTATATAGTCACTCGTTCTCGAGGACTCTGGGAGTTCTCCAGTAAGCCACTCAAGTGCAAGATTGTCAGTATCCTTGGACATTGCTTGTTGTGAACCCTTCGGCTTCACCGAACCTCACCCCGTTGTCAAGTCTAATCTTCAGGAGTCCCTTTCAGAAGTTAGGGCTTGAGATTCGTCATAATAGCCCTAATCCAAGCCTGAATTAGTAGGGATCACTCGGCCTTCATAAGGCCCTCATGTTCTTTCAAGTGCTCTTCTGTCAAGTTTTGGTCAGTGGTCGGCTAGTTATACGTAGGTAGGGCCTAATTCAAGCCCTATACCGTTATGGTTAGTTAGAAGCCTCCTAGGCCCACCTAGCCTTCCAGGTCTTATTAAGAGCTCTATAAATGTCACGGCCCCCACTACGAGCCCTATACTTAGGCTATTGGCGGGCGAGACACTGTGGATTTCATGACGAAGCGACATGACTCGTAATAGAGGGAGGATATCTGGAGAGCGGGAGACTCAGATTCGAACTTGAAACTTCCCTCTTTCAAGGATTAGTTACTGTAGTTGGTCAAGTAGTGCACGCATGTGACGAATCTCGAAGCCCCAACTTCTGAAAGGGACTCCTGAAGGTTATACTTGTGTTGGAAAGTCGTGGCACTGGAACTTCGGACGCTCAGCTGCAAGTGCCCTGCTGTTGGATGCATGGCTGCCCAACTGAGCGTCAGGCAACGTGAGGGGTAACCAGGGCGCTGGGCAACGAGGTCAGGGCGATTCTCCCGTCGCTGGAGACGTAAGAGAGGAACAACCTTGAATCAAGAACATCTGGGATGCTCCGAGTATCTCAAACCCACTGTTGTAAGCTCCCATCATCTGTGTGATCACCGTGGAATCGTGGCTGTTGGTCTTCCAACAACTTGACAACGGGGTGAGGTTCGGT